ACTACTTTATTCCAACTGATCACAGCAAATATAGCTGCAAGATTTAGATTATTTAGATGAAAAAACACCTGCCAGCCACCGCGCTGAAGAGGAGGAGACGCGCCCACAGGCTGCTGTTGAATTAAGTTTTCAGGTAGAAAAATAGAGCGGGAGCAAAACTGAGTATGATTGTGCTTTATTCATGTATTTATTACAAAGTATTAATCAAACCCATCAAAGTCATCATCCTCTGTTATCCTCAGCATTCCTCTGAATAAAACAGCTGCGCTAAATCAGACATGCCAGTTTCCCCTTCTGCGCTGTCAGAGTCACTTTCCGTGCAGCGCAGCTCCTCAGAAATAATGCCGGCTTTTGCGAAAGCTTGAACAACAGAGCCAGCAGACACAGTCCATCTACAATCCATCCGCAAACGGTGGCGTAACTTGCACGGCGCTGCCTTCCATTTATCATGAAACTGTGGTCTCAGTCTGTCATCCATCGCTCCCACGCCGCTCGCAGCCTTACTTTGAACGGGCGCGTCACACCGATGTCGAGCGGTGGAAGTTCCTTTGTCAGACCCCCGGGATAACGGCGAGCACAGCGTTCATTTGATTCATCTTTTTTTCACATCGGCTGTGAAATGGGCACGCAGCGATGGTGATGCGTGGAAAAAAGCACCTGGTCTCCTCACATACACCTGCCTTTCATCATCTCCTCATCCATCCAGCCTTTTCCATTTGCGTTAATATCATATGTCATCAGAGCGCTGTCTGTCTCGCTGTCAGCTCCCAGATCAGCTTCTCTGATTGGTTGATGCGGCGCGTCCAGCAGCAAAACTTCAATTTTTCCATCTGAGCAGCAGCAGCGCGTTGGCGGTGCGTCAGATGCTTAAACGCTCCCGACGTGCTGCACCAAAATGCGCTGCAGGACCTTTTGCTGCACCTATATGCGCGTCAACCATTGACTTTGCATGTAAACTCGCTGCTTCTGCTGCACCTGCTGGGTCCGGTTCACACCGATGTCGAGCGGTTGAACAGCGAGCACAGCGTTAATTTGTTTCCCCATGTTTTTCACATCAGCTGTGAGACGGGCACGCATGGAGTTACATATTAACAGCGATGGTGAGGGGTGGAAAAAAAACACCTGGTCTCCTTACATTCAGCCACTCTTTCATCATCTCCTCAATGAGATGGTCTCAAAAGTCGCAGTTACAACACACATAGGGCGCACCGCACCATAGGGCACACCGCACATTTTGAGGAAAAAAAAGACGTTTAAGTGCGCCTTATAGTCGTGAAAATACGGTACTTGTTTTTTTTACTTGTAAACAAAAACAAATAAATCATTTAGACATATGATACATATTTTCTGGGTTTATTAAACCATGTCAGATTCAGAACCAACTGCTACAGCAAAGCTTTGCAAAGTTTGCTGGAAAAGATGTAAAGCATTGCAGGACTACTGGTGCCTAATCATGCAGTTGTTGTTGGGATCAAGAGATTCTAAAGTTTTAGGAAGTAACTGTTTCAAAATAGAAAGGAAAAAGTTGCTTTCTACTCTGACTTTTCAACAATTAATGGGAAAATTAAAAACAAATCATGGTGGTAAATTAAATCACCACCAAGAAGTGTTTCAAAATTGACGCCCCTCTATTGAGGAAATATGTTTTAACCTTTGATCAGGGCTGGGCAATTTCGTTTAAAAAGAAAAAGGACGTTTTTTTTTAATACCATACCTAATTAGATTGTTTCTTTCACTTCGGTTTCTTGATAAAGAACAAAAAAAATGTCAGAAATTACTTTCAAAAACTGGCTTTTATTTCAAACATCCCTTCTAGTAGTTGAAAAAAATTAAAAAATGCATCTAAATCAAAGCTTTTAATCTTGCTTAGAAATAGAGTTTGCAGGTCCTGCCTTCATAAGATAAGAAAATATGACATACAAGATGTTTCTGTCTAGCCGCATTGAATGGTATATCAGTTATGTGTAGACATGTATTTAGGGTAGTGTCGGCCTAGTGGTTAGGGCATAGAGCTTGGAATCCTGAGGTTCTGAGTTTGAGCCCCATTCCCACAGACTGCCACTCTGGGCCCCTGAGCAAAGACACTTAACCCCCACACTGCTCCTTTGGCGCAGCACAATGGCACCCCACTGCTCCCCAAGGGGATGGGTTAAATGCAGGGAGTTCATTTCGTTGCTCTGTAAAAAAAGCTAGAAAATAAATCACATCATTTTGAACTATTGAAGCCAAGGAGTATTTTTTGGAATACCAATTTTACAAAAATTAAATGTTTATAAATGAAAAGTATGATTAATAATAAATCAAAATTGATTTATCCCCCAGCAATACTCTACGAGAACCAGTAAGGTGTTTGGAACGAAGGAAGAAAAGACCCACAAAGAAGCTATCAAACAAGAAACTGTACTTTCTATACTATTGGCTGCAAGAGAGCAGATAAGGCTGACTGTAGTGGCAAAACTTGAATAATTTTGATCTTTCAATATCTGTCTTAATTTGTGCAGGGCGATGGTCTTATAGAAACTTCAGAGTTAAGGTAAGGATGGACTGTGTACAGAACGCATATACGGTAATACTTTTTCCATAATGCCAACCAAGCTAATGGCTACATAACATATAAGCTGGCTTTAAAAATGTAAGCCTTAGTTATTTTGTTAATATTAGTTACCACAATACTAACTAGTTATTAGTATGGCCTCTCACACAGCCGGCGGTGTCACTTGGCTGCCAAGAGAAGTTGTTATTAATGACAACTCCTGGCCAGGGAGGCTACTATTTTTGTTTGGTGTCTTAATATGAAGTCTTCATAGAGAAATCAGGACCTGCTGGTCAAACATTCTTATAAAGTAAGGATCTGAAGTTAAAAACCAGGTTTAACCGGCTATCTCTGTTTTATGTAGAGTTTCATATGTACTGAATGGGGTACAATAACAAAAAAATACAGCTTTCTGGTTTATTTGAGAATTTTAAAATATAACCCTTACAATCAGACCATGTTCTTTGATAGAGATGGTCATTTTGAATTGGAATAAAAATAGAAAACAATTTAAGATTTAGTACACTAAAGAACTGTATATGGCTGTGCATGGATGCAATGATTCGTTTAATGAGTTTAAAATTCATTCGCCATTCTTCAGCATTTGAAATGCAAATCACCAATGTAAAGAAGCGATAAGTGAGAAATTGGCTGATAAAAATGTTTTGCAGGAATCCTTAAGCATCTCTAAAGAACAGTGAAACCCTTTGAGAAACGAGAAATCCTAAAAAAAAAAAAAAAGGGCTATTTTTGATGCAACCCTACCCATGTGACCTGGTACAGTACGGTATCAGTGCACATAAAAAATTCTTTCATTCTCTTTAAAATAAAACCTCCTTACACCCTGGCTATCTTCAGGGCAAGTTGGAGCACAAATATTTGCACATCAGCCCTTATCTGATGGCTCTAACACGCAGCTTCACGTCTCCTTCATGTTGCCCAAGCAGCCACGATCCGGGCAAACGCAGGTCAGGGTCTGGGTGGGAAGAGACGGCAGCGAGATAGGGAGAATAAGCTGGGCGAGAGGACAGAATAGGGCTGACTGAGACTTAGCATCAAACAAGTAGAGAGAGAGAGAGAGGTAGAGAGGGGTAGAGAGGGAGAACGTGAGGCTCCACGTGACTCTGGCTCAGCCACTGCAGGCTGTTGCGTAACCGCACCCCCTGCCCTGTCTCCTCATGGACCGAGCAGACTCTCTCCTATCCCTCACCCCCCCACCTCACATGGCTCCTCACATGGCTCCTCTCTTTTCTCTCTCTCACTTGCTTCTCCACCCACTCATTGTACCCCTGGGGAGCCACCAACCTCAGCTGCCTAAGCTGTCACTCTGTCTCTCTCCTTCTGTTTTTTTTCCTGTCTGCCTCTCCCTCTCTGCTTATTTCAGTCAGTCGCTGTCCTCCAGCTCCCTCTCAGCTTCCCCTGCAGTGAAGCAGCAGCTCCACACTCAGGGCTGAAGGGAAACGACAAAAAGAGGCTAACGATGCACTCAAGCACCTATACACAATGTGGCATTTGGCATATTGTCACCGCACCGTCAGGCATGGATAAGCAGAACAGGCTTTAAAAAGTGAAACCTTTAGCTAAAACATTTTTCATCTTTTTTTTTTTTTTTTTTTTTTTTTTTTTTTTAACACAACTGTTAGGGGAAAACTTCACCCAATAATAATAATAATATGAAGAAGAGAAAGACAGTACTGGCTACCATAGCAGAGAATCAATAACCCCAGTTTTTTAAATAATCATTTTTTTTAAAGAGTTTTCCAGAGTGCACTCAGTCTTCATCGCTAGGTTTCATATTTTCCCACCCTAGGAGAGTAATTTAAATCTAATTTTCACACAAAAAAGTAAGCACAAATATTAAAAGAATACAATCAAATTACTGATAAACGGATGGCTGTATAGACAAGGAGATAAACGGACGGACGGACGGACGCACAAATAGATATAAGGACGGATGTAATGTGTCCAATTTCTTTCACTTTTCCAGCAGGTGCTGAACCCCTGCTTATTACAGTAATGTTCAGAAATATCCTGAGTGCACAGAAACATCCACAGGCACCTTTTTAAAACCCCTTTTACTAAATTTTAGTAGACCCTCCTCACGGCTGGTAGATGGGAGGTTCAGCAGAACAGAGGCCCCCCCCCCTCTGCAGTATTGATTTGTTTGTTCAGTGTTTGCACCCCTACCATATCTACCTCCCCCCACTTCCCTCCTTTCCCTTTTCTCCTTCTCACTGTGAGTGTGTCCTCAAGTGCCTCCCTGGCTTATGTTATGTAACACGGGCGAACCCGCAGCATACTGATGAGGGAAAACTAGGCTCTGGGGCGAAACAACTGGGGGGAAACAAGGACTCTGCTCTGCTGGCTCATGAAGACGCGCCTATTACAAACTTTCATATTACTTGACATGTTTTAAAAGGATGGAAGAGCAAAGATTTAATGGGAAGAAGAAAAAAAATTAACTTACGGATTCTTGAAAACATTCTTTTTTTTCCATCATCTCTCTGATGGTCTCCAGGATCTTTATGCACAGCTTCTCCTCTTGTTCCATGAGCTTCTTTGTGTGTTTAATTAGTCTGGCGGAGAGAGGACTCAGCAGTGTCATTTCATTCTTAATTGTTTGTTAGAAGTGCAGGAAAAATCTCATAGAGAAGCCTGATGCAGTCTGAGTAGCCCAGTTGCAACGCTTCAGAGAATAACAGCAGAACAGCTGCATACATAGATAGATAGATAGATGTACTTTATTTATCCCAAGCTGGGAAATTGCAGTGTAGCAGCAGCTTTACACATAGTGACAGTCACAACACAATAAGATAAGAAAAAAGTAAAAATAACATAACATCCACGCGTATTTACATAATAAGGGTAATTTACATAATAAGGGTGCAGTGAACAGCCCTGAGGTGCAGTGAACAGATTATAAATAAGTATTAAAATATGGAGTGCAGTACAGTACAGTGCTGGTTACTGTATGCTGAAACAAGAGTTTATTTTTTATTTTACAGTGTGATGGCATATGGTAGGAAAGATTTCCTGTATCTGTCCCTTCGACAGCGGAGCTGGAGCAGCCTGTGAGAAAAGGTGCTCCGCTGTCTGACCACTGTGTGGTGGAGAGGGTGCTGATCATTGTCAATGATGGATAAGAGTTTATTCAGCGTTCTCCTCTCCACCACAGTCTCAAAAGACTCCAGCCTGAGTCCAAGTACAGAACCAGCCCTCCTGATGATTTTATCAAGTCTGTTGGTGTCGCTGGCTCTGATGCTGCTGCCCCAACACACAGCAGCAAAGAAAATGGTGCTGGCAACAACAGACTGGTAAAAGATCTCCAACATCTTGCTGCACACATTGAAGGATCTCAGCTTCCTCAAGAAATAGAGTCTGCTCATCCCCTTCTTGTACACAGCCTCAGAGTTAGACCTCCAGTCCAGTCTTTATAGAATATTTAAAAAGCCATGATGTAACAAAACAAATAAAAAACACAGAAGTTTTTCATATTAAAGTAGAATGGAAGGATACAAGGTTTTCTAGAATTTCTTAAAAAATATAAATAATCTGTTAAATCCAATAACATTAATTGAATCACCTCATTGTGTAGAGTCCTGTAGCTGCAGTCACAGATTTGGGCAAAGTCTAAATACCAAAGACATTGCAGCCATGTTAACACCTTAACATGCTTCGATCTAAACTACTGTATTGTAGCTCTAATTGCATTTTTACACTCATTTTCCTGCTAGTAGGTGAACTTTAACCTTAGCCTTGTGAAGCCTCCGATATGTTTTTCTTTAGAGGGTTCCAAAGCATTTAAGCAATTCAGACACCACCATGTTTCATCTGAAAACTGCTGAAAGAATCTGGCAAGCTGAAAACACTCCCTTCTCATAGGGAGACGTCCAAAGCTTCAAATAAAGTTTTCAATCCAAACTTGCTCACACATCTCCACAACTCTAATGCTACAATCCCACCGGACGTGTACACATTAAGGTCAGATCTGCATCAGAGCATCCTCGATGCTCCTGAAGAGCATCCAGTAAAGTGTGTCCAGATGCTTCTGATGCTCCTGTGTTCAATGGTAGAGAACAGCTTTGCTATATTTGCTGTGATAAGCGGGTAAAAAGCCGTTTTATTATCTTTATAAGTGAACAGGTCCACCTCAAAACATGATGTGGCAGTCAGTTTATCAAGATTATGATCCTGCCTTAAAATATTATTTTGCTGTCGGAGCCTTTCAGATTCCCACACACCGGTGGTGCGCTGTCACTGCGAATTTCCACTACTGTTGGTCACAGCTGGAAGTATAGATGTAAAAATGCCAGGCACCAGAATAATAAAAACAACCATACTTTCAGGGCAGGTTTTAACATTTTAAGTTAATTTATGCGTTAATAAACCATTTCAGAGGAGTGATTATAGTTCTCTGGATCAGCAGTGCTCTATCAGTCTCCCTGCCATCTCCCAGATCAACTCTGATTGGTTGATGTGGCACATTGAGCAGCTCAAGTTCAGCAGTTGATGCTGGTGAAGCGTGTCTCACGTCTCAGATGCTCAGAAGCTCACAAGGCACTGCTTCAGCTGCTTCGATGCGTCAGGATGAGCTTCTCCTGCAACTCGAGACCTGCTGCAGGACCTTTTTGATTCGCCCAGATGTGTGTCAACCATAGACTTTGCATGTAAACTAGCTGCTTCAGCTGCTTTAATCGCAAGAGATGTGAATGCAACATTAGGCTGTCACAGAACAGCTGTACCTCTACCAAGGTTACCTTGCACCCAGGTGACTGCTGAAAAGGATTGGTAGCAATCAAATTTATTTAAGGTTATCAATGTAAAGAGGTAAATAAAAATGCACATCACACTTTTCAGACCTTTATTCAGAACTTCCATATTTGTCCATGTTTTGTGAAAAATGTGTGTGTGTTTAACAGGTATAAAGATATTAGAAAGAAAATTACTGAAAGTCATCGACCTAATGCCATCTTTTGGGTTTGCTTTGACAGTTCACACTATAACCAGTTAGAACAAGAAGCTACTCACTTGGACATGAAGGCTCCACTCTCACAGCGTAGACGTGCATCTTCTGGAAACAGCAGCTCTGGGCTGTGTAGAACATCCACCAGAACAGAGAATTCAGCCTGAACCTTCGGATTGAACTGCTCCTCCAAACGAGTCACAACCCCCTAAAATCAGAGTCAGAGACATGCAAAGATACACATGGATGCTGGAACATGGATGTCATCCTTAAAAAGCTAGAATTCATCATCCAACCACCAGTTCATTCAACCCAACTGAAAAAAAGAGGCTAATTGTCTTCTTTTATCCTGCAACCGTGGTCATGATGCATACATACACACACACACACACACATATACATATATATACATATATATATACATATATATATATATATATATATATATATATATATATATATATCGTATTTTCACGACTATAAGGCACACATAAACGTCTTTTTTTTTCCCTCAAAACCACCTCATTGAGGAGATGATGAAAGAGTGGCTGAATGTAAGGAGACCAGGTGTTTTTTTTTTCCACTCATCACCACACCATCGCTGTTAATCTGACTCCATGCGTGCCCATCTCACAGCTGATGTGAAAAACATGGTGAAACAAATTAATGCTGTGCTCGCTGTGAACCGGACGCAGCAGGTGCAGCAGAAGCAGCGAGTTTACATGCAAAGTCAACGGTTGACGAGCGTATAGACGCAGCAAAAGGTCCCGCAGCGCGTTTCGAGCGAGTCGGGAGCGCGCCGCCAACGCGCTGCTGCTGCTCGAGATGGAAAAAATTGAAGTTTTGCTGCTGGACGCGCCGCATCAACCAATCAGAGAAGCTGATCTGGGAGCTGACAGCGAGACAGACACATCGCTCTGATGACATATGATATTAACGCAAATGAAAAGGGCTGGATGGATGAGGAGATGATGAAAGCGTGGCTGAGGGAGGTGTATGTGAGGAGACCAGGTGGTTTTTTTCCACGCATCACCATCGCTTTTAATGTGTGACTCCATGCTTGCCCATCTCACAGCTGATTTGAAAAACATGGTGAAAAAAAATAAACGCTGTGCTCGCCGTTATCTCGGGGGTCTGACAAAGGAACTTCCACCGCTCGACATCGGTGTGAAGCGGCCGTTCAAAGTAAGGCTGCGAGCGGCGTGGGAGCGATGGATGACAGACGGAGACCACAGTTTCACGATAAGTGGAAGGCTACTTCCACTTTGTAATAAATACATTAATAAAGCACAAACATACTCAGTTTTGCTCCCGCTCTATTTTTCTACCTGAAAACTTAATTCAACAGCAGCCTCTGGGCGGGTCGCCTCTGGGTTCACCGCGGCGGCTGGCAGGTGTTTTTTCATCTAAATAATCTAAATCTTGCAGCTATATTTGCTGTGATCAGTGGGAATAAAGTAGTTTTAATATGTTTCTAAGTGAGAAAATACACCTGAAAACTTCATAATTGCAGTCAGTTCATCCAGATTATCTATTTCTGTCGGAGGCGCTCAGACCCCCACATACCAGCGGTGCACCGACAGCAGAAATCCCTTCAACAGCAGCCTGTAGGCTGGGCAGCCTCCAGGTTCACCGAAGGCTGCTGGCAGGTGTTTTTCATCTAAATAATTTAAACTGCAGGCACCAGGATACCGGTAATAAAAGCGAACGAATTGCGTCGTCAGGTTTCAGGATTTTAAGTTAATTTAAGAGTGATCACAGCGCACTGTCATCTGCGATGTGTCTGTCTCACGGCCAGCACCCAGGTTTGATTAATACTTTGTAATAAATACATGAATAAAGCACAGTCATACTCAGTTTTGCCCCCGCTGTATTTTTAAATACGCAGTAGAGGTATTTAAAGGTAGTAGAGGACATGTACCTGTATATAAAAAACGCGCCCTATAGTCCGGTGCGCCTTATGTGTGTGTTAAATACAGAAATGGGACACATAACTGAGAGTGCGCCTTTTAGTACGGTGCGCCTTATGGTCGTGAAAATACGGTATATATATATATATATATATATATATATATATATATATATATATATATATATATATATATATATATATAGAGAGAGAGAGAGAGAGAAAAGAGAGAGAGAGAGATCGATAGAGAGATTTTTAACAACTTATTTATTTTCAATAAATAATCACAAACTATGTAACAGAAAATTCAACAAAAAGAAAAAGCTACACCACAGAATAAATTACATTAACACCTTTCCAAATTAGTTCTCCTCCTACCAGAATAAAAATCCCTTTCCCGTAACTCCAGATGCGACAAAAAGTATCTAAATCTGAAACTGATCTGTAAAAATTAAATTTAAGCAATAGCCTAGACTTCACCAGGTTAATAAATTAAGAAACAAAGTCAATATTCAACTCTTCCACCACCTTCATCTTTCTATTTATATATATTTTAGCCTGTCGTAACAAAAAAAAATCATCATTTGACATTTACTTTTTTTTCCCGTCGTGTGAATTAAAATCCACAAATAAATCTATGTTTAGTGAAAATTTCTCCATACGTGGTTAAAAAAAAAGGTTCTCAAATGCACAAAAAGAGCTGACAGATGAACACAGTCAGAAAAACAATGAAACACTGTTTCTCTCTGTTCACAAAATGGATATTTTTCTTCCACAGCAGGATTAATAACAGAAACAAAAGAGAGAGACAGACAGATAGACACATAGATAGATTATAGAAATTATTTAAAAAGGTTTTATAGGAATTATTTAAAATACATTATAGGAATTATTTACATGCTACAAAATTGTAGAAAACGGAGGCTTTAAGGGTGCATAGCCCAAGTTTAAAAGTTAAATAATAGTTTTCCAATTCCCCCCCATGTAATGAGCTTTTCTCCACTTACTGTATTCTCTAAAAGTTCTATTAGTCATTTAAAGTGTGTGATTCAGGCTGAATTCCCTTGTAACGCTCACCTGGTGCTTTTTTGACTCTCTGAAACAGTGGGGCAACAAGTGAACCCCAAACCACATCACAAAAATAAAAATTGTTTCTAATTCTACATAAAAGAGCTAACTGCAATTTGATCGGCTATGGAATCAGAAGAGGAAAAATTGGAGTAGGGAGTTCAGATCTGACCTGGGAAGGGCCCTTTTTTGATAAAAAGGTTAGATTCTCACAATAACTTCAGTATTTATAGTTTCCTTACACAAGATGACATAACTCCTCTAAAGAAAAGACCAGTGGAGTTAAAGCGAACTGACTCCAGTGCTTTTTCCATTTCTGCACAACACTTTTCTTCGTTTCAATATGTCACCAGAAGGAGAAAACCTCTGCAAAACTCTGGAACCCTCCTTTAAGAAGACCTTCAATAAGTGGCCTTATTCTCCTTGGGTTAAACTTCTAGTGTAGAAAATCTAATAAATCTCACCTGCAGTTTCTCGATGATGTTCTTGTAGTCTGGGCTACCCAGAGGCTCTTTGCGAGGTCGTGAACGAGCAGAGGTCCTCCAGTCTTTTGCCGCCCGCTGAACCGCATTGGTGTGGACATTCAGAGAAAGAGTGTTGACCTGACTGTCCAGATCGACCGGGATGGGAATGGAACGGGCCTTTGCTGAGGAAAGGAAAAAACGGAGACCAAGAGGGAATACAGCATAGTTAGCCTAACAGCAACAGATCCACAAAGATGCATGCATTTTCAGACAGAGGTTTACATACAAAAGTCATGAACAACAATGCAAAGTTAGTTAGCCATTTAGTTTATAAACAGTTCCTTTCTGTTCAGTTTCTATTTTAGAATGAAATTGTTGCATAACAAATAGGACACATTTTACTAACATGATTAGATGCATCCATTCACCTGCACTAAAACCCTAAATGACCTAATTTATGTATGAACCATGTCACTGTAAAAAAAATTGAAATCTCAATAAGTAATTTTCTCTTAAAATAAGTGCATTTTTTCTTGAATTGAGCAGGTAAGTGAGAGACTTTGCCAATGGAACGAGAAAATTTACATTTAAAATAAGAAAAAAAACATTGCATGGTCTTGTTTCAAGTGCATATTATCCAATTATCTTATTTTAAGAGTCAAAATACTCATTGCATTGGTAAAAATCTTATTAACCCTCTTAAATTAAGGCTAAATACACTTAATTTAAGAATTTTGTATTCATTTCTAGATTGTTTTTCCAGGGTAGACATCATCAGGCCATCATCAGAGATCGGCTTACTCAGTGTTTCCAGAACAAAAGCAGAGCAAAATAAACGCTGCTTTTCTTTGCTATGGTCTGGAAAAACTCAGTGAGAGTCTGAAATACTCAGAGTCTTTAAATCAGAACTGAAAAAAAAGAACATTTGTTTACATTTGATAAAAGAAACCCGATGAAACAACTGCTGTCTGATGAGTGACTGAATGAAACAAGGATAAAAAAAAAAATAAATAAATAAAACGAATTTTAATCCAAAGAAAGATTTAAAATTGCAATTGCAATATTCAATATATTAAGGTTTTTAAGCAAAACTTAAAAGGTCATTTTCCTTTGATGTCGTGAAAAAATTGCTCTTTGCATTTCCCTCTATATAAATGGTGCTGGATACATGAAGATTACCTACCTTTAACAAATACACAAATACTAACTTAACAGCAGAGCAGAAGAACTCACCAAAATCAGCCAGTGCCTTGATACAGGTCTCAATGTTGCTCTTCTGGGATGAATTCATAACCTTAAGGCTGTAGATTCTGAAAGATGACTGGATCAGCTTAATGAAAGTAGACTGGTTATTCTGCAAAAGAAGGGGGAAAAAAATTAAGATGTTATTTTTTTATGAGGAGAACAAGTGTAGAAAAATGTGTATATAAGTTTGTAAGGAAGATTCGAACAGTGGCTCCGATGGGAACTCGTGTTCAAAACAAACGAACACCTGGAGCAACTGCTCTGGGTTTGAAATATAAAAAAGTAAAATCCCATGTGAATGTGCAAGGAGAAAAGCAGCCTGTGGTAAAATACTGCTACTTTACAGAAGCAAAAAACTCACAGAAGTTGGAAATGAAGAGTACCTGCAGCATGGAGTGGTTCACAGAGAAAGTCGACTCAAAGAAACTTTTGATTATGGCCATCACCGTTTCTGTCACGTACTTGTCCAGGGCATCTGGACGGATGCGTTCTGTAGAGCTGCACATCTGAAGTATAAACAGAGAAACAGTTTTCCACCAGTCTGCTCTTTACCTTGCAGATAAGTTTCACTCCTCGGAAGGTGCATTGCAATGGCATTTTAACCATTTTCTTACCGGTCGGGCAACACTTGCAAAGCATGTAGAATAGTTAAAATGCTTTTCTTTTAGACTCTTCTTAAAAAAAAAAACATGCTTTGATTTAAACCACCCTGCTGTACCTCAGGATAGTTCTTAAAGGTTTTTGTCCTGGAGTGAGTACAGCCTCTGACTGCTTTTCTTCTTTCCATCAACTGCCCTGTGCGGTTGGGGAAAAAAAGCCTTCCCACACCCTGATTCAGCCACCTCCATGCTTTACAGTGGAATTTGTGAGTGGAGGCTTTCCAGTCTCAGTTTTAAGCACATAAAAACTTTAAAATGGCCAGAGGGGTGAATCTGGCTCTCGTCCGACCTTCAACCAAAATTTGTAATGTCCCCTGCTGGTAATGTTACGGCTGGCTCTCATCTCCCCACTCTGTTATAAAGGCCACGGTGTTGAGGTGCACAACTTATAGTTTTCCCGTCAACATATTCCTCCACTTTAGTTGAGAAGCACTGTAACTCCCTCACTTCTGACCAAGGCCCTGGCCTGCCGGGTTAGAGTTATGGCAGCTTTGCCCCAGCCTATCAGTGTCATACGATTGAACAGGAGCTCTGTAAGATGTTCATACCTCAGGAGATGTTTGAGAAAATACCTGCTTTAAAGTTCTGGACTACTTTTCCTCTATCCTGTTTCGTCTGTCCTCCATCTGTGTTGGTAATTCATAATTAATGTTCTAATATGGCCTCTGGAGATCAACTGTGTGAGGGCTGAGATTATATCACACCCACACAACTGTTCTTCTAGCTTAATGATCAGGAAATTAATCGAACAAGGGCTGAAAATATTTATTAGGTTAATCCAATAAATATCATTGAAATTATTGAAATAATCGTCAACTAATTTAGTAATTGATTAATTGTTAACTGGAGTATAGAGACTGTAAAATGTGACTTTAGCTGACAGGGCGACCCACCTTGAGCAGCAATTATACCAAAATTGTAAAAAAAAAAAATATGCATTTAAGATAAAAATCTTTTTATATACAGAACTTCTCAAGTGGAAAAGCTTTATTTTCACTTGGTTTAATTTAGCAAAAACTTTTTTTTTTTTTTTTTTTTTAGAAACCTTTTGCCATCCGATTATTAATCAAAAAAATTTGACAGATCAATCGATTTGCAAAATAATCGTTAGTTGCAGCCCTAAATCGAACCGCAGAAAATAGTCCTAAATACAAATAAACACGAGGGCGGCACAATGTCACAACAGTGTCACTATCACATTCATCTGCCTGTTGGCAGGACAACTCTTAAAGTAGCAGCATTCATATAAAAATGTCAGCCAACGGGAACTTTTTTTAATGAAAACTTCTTTTTGAGATCAGAATATTGATTATTTCGAAAGAAGCTGGATGGGTTGCACATCTTCTCGGGTCTATGTTTGCAGTGAACTCAAAGAAGGATGCATTAATGTTTGCAAATTCGTTATATTGTTATACAAGCGTCCTGTAATATTTTCTCATGAAATTCCACTAAAATATAATCAATGATCAATGAATCAATTGCATCGGTTGTAAGAACATTCAAAGGAAAGGCTTTGTATGCAGATTCAGTGTTCATAGATGCTAAAACACACTGCCTTATTACAAAAACAAAAAAAACTGTTGTTGTTTTTTAGTGTGTCATTTCTTACAGTGGCCATGTCAACCAGGAAGTTTTCAAATAGCCTCCAGATATGAGAAGATGTGTAGATCTCTTTCATTTCCACTTCGGTGTCCACGTAGCAATGATTGACAAAATTCACATACGCCGTTTTAACCTGTGGAGGAGAAAGGATCCAAAAATGTTTACAGATTAATGACAGTGTCCAAATGTAAAGAAATTCAGAGAAGGAAAATTACCTCTGGAATACAGTTCACATCCGTGACCACTTTCACAATGTCATCCAGCGGCAGCAGAGAGTTGCACTTCAGCTCGGTGTAAACGTTCTTCCCCTCTGTGCAGGCAGCTAGCAGATCCACCAGGGTGTTGTGGTACGCCAGGGCTCCGTTCTCATCCGTACGCTCGCTCTCAGAGGCCATCATCTGGAGCAGCACAGCAAACGACGAGCGATCGTTGTAGAAGACCAGAACGTCCTCGCCAGCGTTCACCAGCTAAACGCACAGACAGCGAAAACAGAAAGTGAGAGAAAGGCATATTCTAAGTTTTCATTTTATATTCAAAATTCTTTAAACCATATTATTCACAATGCTTGAAATTCGAGGGAGGGAGGGAGGGAGGGAGGGAGGGAGGGAGGGAGGGAGGGAGGGAGGGAGGGAGGGAGGGAGGGAGGGAGGGAGGGAGGGAGGGAGGCAGGAAGGAGGAAGGAAGGAAGGAAGGAAGGAAGGAAGGAAGGAAGGAAGGAAGGAAGGAAGGAAGGAAGGAAGGAAGGAAGGAAGGAAGGAAGGAAGGAAGGACTGTTTTCCCCCCAAAACGTATCCTGAAAATATTTTTAGCAAACACAGAACTATTTCTAACTTTTCCGAAGTGTGGAGGACCCCTTATAACAACTTTAAAAAAAATACATGCACTGCTAAATTCCTACCTCAGTCATGACTTTGTCCTGACATTTCTTCATGTACTTCCCTTCACATTTCACGATTGTTTGCAGAAACCTGAGGTACTGAACGTGCCGTCCGTGCGTCTCAATGCAGTGGACAAAATGGTGAACCACTCGGTCGCTGATATCATTGCACAGCTGATTGTTGTTCATGAAGATGTGACGCATTGTCTCAGCTTCCAGTAACTGGAACAAAAAAGATAACAGATTTAACAAAAAATGACATTTAAAAAGTCTACTTGGGGTATAAGGAAAAGAAAACATGATCCTTAGAATGTTGAGGTCGACGAACCCCTGGAGTGAGGAAGAGGTTCAGGTGCTTGTGGAGCAGAACTTGATTTTCAGGGTTTCCTTTGCAGAAGTTTTGCAAAAACGTATGAGCCAACTTCATAATCTCATTCATCTTCTCATCATTCTAGAAGGAAATCAAACAAACCACAGCAGAGAGGGTTGGAGGGTCAAACAGAGAGAGACCACCAGCGAATGATTGCTGATCTAGACGGTCACCTTTTCGTAGGGGATCTGCAGCAGGTCCAGGACCACAGTGTGAGCCCCCATGTTCTTCAGCAGTCTCTGCAGCTGCAGCCGGTTCTTCTTATTCATGCAACACATCCTACTGAAGCGCTCCAGGATCTAATAATAGGAGATCAGTCTTTTTTAGTAAAATAATGAGCAGACTGAGAAGCAAAATGAGGACATGATGCTCACTTTTGTAAGAACGTCATAGTTGTTTTCTTGGTTGCTGTCCATCTGAGGCTTGCTCTCCCCATCTTGTACCGGACTTAGAACAGCCTCCTGGTGGAGAAAAGAAGGAAATCTGACTAAAGCTTGATATTTCTCTAAAAAGCAAGATGGTACAGCCGAATACCTTCTGTAATCATCAATTAGAATATGGTAAAAAAAAAAAGGCATAACTGAAAAAAAACAGTGATATAAAGAAAGTGACATCAAAGTGAAATTTCCTCATCTAACTGATACGGATCAGAAACACCAAAACTTGCTGAAGTTCTTTTGTTCTGTATGCAATGAAAATGTAACTTATGTAATGCAAATCCTCTCTTCATCTCTCACTTCTATACCTTTTATTTTTTGCCTTCATCTTGAAAACAAAAGTTTAATATTTACAGTCAAAATTTGCTTATGTACAATTTCTGCATTTATTTTTTCTTGCTGTATTTTTATATTTCAGCTTTATTTTATAACTTTTTTCGCTGCAGTTTATTCTCTTTTTGCTTGCTTCTTTAAAATATTAATTTTCCAGCTATAGTATTAATAAAGCTTAATTTATCCTACTTTGAGTATAATAAAGTATGGAGTTACTTTAGTTATTTTTATTAAATTTAAGGGAAAAAAATGCGATCTCAAAGGGGGAAATAATTTCAAAAGTAAAATAAACATATAGGAGAGAAAATACTTATGTAATTTGAGATTGAAGAAACAAGTTTTGAGATGAATGATTTTGTCATTTAATATATAAAAGAAATTTAAATTGACATTTGGAATATGATTCCCAAGGGAAAAGAAAAACTTTTTCATAAACATACTTTTACTTCCAAATATATTTTATTTTATGTAATCAGAGTAAAAATATCTTCTCTTAAAAAACATTTTCTCTCTCATCTTTCTTTCATTCTCTATCATTCAAAACCTTATTCTCTGATCTCAATTCAGGATTTTTTCTCTAGAAGTGAAAAATGTGTGATGGACGGGACTGTGTTCCTATTGATAACTGGGTGGTGATATTGCCTTTTTTTATTTTTTTATTTAAGAATTCAAAAAACATAAAACTAAATCCATAATAAAATGCTCTACCAGCTGATTGAGAAAAAAATAATTCTAAATTTACAAAACTTGTATCTTTTGTCAGAAATATATGAATAACGCAGCAAAAAAAAATAAAAAAAAATTATCTCCCAAAGATGCAGAGATGTGTTGAACACATAATTTTGTTGGGTACTTCCCTTGCCTTACCCCAAGCTCATCACTGCTGTACATTCCACTTTTCTCCACCCAAAGCTCCGACTTCTCCACAATAAGACGCAGCTTGTCCAGGTCTTCCTTGATCTGCGTATAGTTGTGTACATCCTGCTCCGAGACGAGGAGCTGTACCTAAAAACAGAAATAAAAGCAGAAGTAAAGCTGACAAATATTTAGATTATCGTTTTATCTCTGTTTCTGTGCATCAGTATTAAAAGGTATAATGAAGGATTCTCGTGAATTTTTGAAATGATCCGCCCTCTCCACTTAAAAAAAGCACAACCCTGTACCCACTCCTGAGGGTGTACGCCTAGTAAACACATGCGAGAGCATGCACAACAATATTTCTCCTCGTGCACGCTCTGTTTAAAAGTTGCTATTTGTATCACTCATACAAGCTTAATTTCCAAATGGAAATTTGCAATTTTTTCACTTTTTCAGACTCACCACTAGTAAGTGAAAATGGGGATGAGCATGCAACACAGCATTACGTAAACATATCACCAGAATGATTGATAATAAGAGGACCACTTATTTAGATGATCCACCCGGAAAAAGAACATCCTCCACTACCTTTATGTTCACCCATGTTGAAAAACGAGAGCCGTTTTGTCATAAAAATGGTGTATTTACTGTGTACCTGTTTAAAGGCCACCAGCATCTCAGACCTCTGACTGAAGTGTTTGAAGATAAGCTGTAGTGATCCAGAGACCAGAGGTGGATAATCTTGCATGATGAGATGAATAAGAACCCTCAGAAATGTGCGGCCACCTTCATCATCAAGCTCCAAAGCACTTAATTCAGAGCTAAAAAAAAACAAACAAAAAAACAACATTTGTTGTTAATAAATGTTTGAGACAGTGTGGAAAAAGAATGACCAAACCAAGTCTAAGCTTTTCTTCACCAACCTTCCTACAAACATGCCATCTGCTTTTGCTGCAATCTCATCAATGTCTGGTTCAGAAGCTGAAGAACAGATTAAAATATGGTAATGATTAAAATAAAAAAAAAACAGTCATATGGATATGCATGACAGGAGATGGATCTCACGTGTAAATGGAAGAAAGTCAGACATTGAGGAAGAGCTGTCAGGTATCGTTTTATCTCCAAACTCTTTCTTGTAGATGGACAACAGATAAGTGATCCTGTAGTCCAGCCTGACGCTTAGGATGAACTTAAAGGAGCACAAAAAGTAAACAGAGATTAACAAAACATTCTGATTAAAACAACTGTGAAAACATGATGGCTAATTTAAAAAGAATAAAAGAATCAAGTAGCAGCTCGCACTTGGAGGATTTCAATGATCTTCAGCTTGGTGTCCATCACCACCACGTCCTCGTTGTCCGGAATGAGGTGTCCTTTCCCGTAACGCAGGGAGGGGGGCGTGTCCGGCAAACCATGCGGCACACCTCGACTCATCACCATCTGAGTCATCATTTCCCCGACACCGTGGATTGTACGCAGAACATTGTTTCCTAAACAGAACAACCAATTCAGTCTGCTTGTGTTTAGAGGAGCATTAGCTGTATATTTGTTTACAGACGATAAAACGTAAAAAAAAAAGCTTATGACATGCATGGTAGAAAAATTAAAGATAAAAATACAAAATGCAGGACACCTTACAAGGATAAACAACAATTCAGGAGTACTAATGATTTATAACTTATTATGCTTATAAGGGTTTATAATGGTCAATATGTAATTAAGGCATAGATAAGATTAATTTGTCATTCAGAGTTGTATTTTCACTCCTAAAGCATCTTATAAGATTTGAATTTATTTTTAGGTTTCAAAATAATTAACGACCAAGGCCACATTAACCAATTGATCTTGAATGCTTGAAGTAATCTTGATGGTTTTATATATTTCCTTAATTCTGCATACATTGATCTGCTGCCTAATTTAATCAGAAATACTCAAACTAGAAAAGCACCCAGAGATCGCAGACCTCCGCCAAGCAGATATGACCTATACCTATAGCTAAAGCTCACATGACTGGATCATGACTTTTAAGTCCAATGCTGAAGCTGTCATGTGTCACTGCTGCCACCCTCTAACCTGGCAGCAGGTGTAGAACTGAGTTGAGTTTTATTAATCCGAGATGGCTGCCCTTTAATCTGTCCGTGAAAAGGAGGGACGTTTAGTACAATACTTTCAGCTGATGTGCCAGCTAGTTCCCGCCTTCATTAATATGCTTTCAGCCAATCGTAGCAGTTCATTTTTAAGTGACGTTCCGTAAGCTGATAAATCAAACTTTTTCCAAATCCTGTCGGAAGAAAAGCACAGACATCTTTCCGATCTACAACTGTAAAAATTGCCTCTCTTTGCTCCTTTTTAAAAAGAGAAATGGACCATATTTTAGCTAAAACTGAGTCAATTGTGACAGGTGAGTCCTCCAGCGTAGCCTTTTGTTGTAATGCCCCGGCAACATCCTTCTGACTGTCGTTATTCCTACATGCCCTTACCAAAAAAACACTGCTGGCATGTCATTGGTCCGATTGCTGGTTGTGTTAAGACGGGCGTATTAGCTGGAGTCTTTCAAGATGGATTTGCTGTTAGACTGAAAACTCAGAACTCATGATCTTGCAGCGCAAGGTTAGCCGCCCTGTTGTTTGGGGGGACACTGCTCCTTTCCTCCATAAGTCCATATCTCACAATGTTAACGAATCCGAATCGAAAAAAAAAAAAATTTCTGTATCAAAATTATGATCTGAATCATCACCAAAATTTAACAGATTGTTTCCTGACATGACGCTCACCTCTGGTAAATGTCAATAAAGTCCTTGCATTACTTTTCAAGTTATCCTATAACCAGACAGACAGAAAAAAACTCTCCTGAAAACATAACCCCCGTGGGCAGAGGTCAGATCAGGGCTCTCACCTGCCACTATGTGTATAATATAATTCAATCCAATGTTAAGAATCAAGTACTTTTGCTTCAAAACACTCATGTGCACCTTTAAACACAAACATGGCCTGATTAGGAGAGTTTGACATTTTCGGTTCACTAACCGGCCTCTAGATTCTTGCCGAGCTTGTTGAGCAAGCCAAAAGGATGCTGGACGATGTCAAGGATGGCCAGCAGGGTCCGCGTGAGGCGCAGCAGCTCACTGAAGTTGTAGAAACCAAAGTACACCAGGTTTCGGGCAAGATTCACCACCTAATAGATATTTACACAATAACAAAGATTTTAGGAAAGAAAGATACAGAAAGGGCACCGGTATAATGCTATAATATGGCCTTTGACAATAAAGAGAATATTTAAGATTTTATCTCAAATACAATTTGGATTGAAAGCAAAATGTTCTGTTTTTGTCATGTTTTGAATAAAACAAATCCTGATCTGTGCAGAGAAAAAGGACTCCAGAAGGAGTTAAATAATCCATTATTCTTGATTTTAGTGAGTGTGATTTTTTATTTTAATTTTTTTATACATTTTCCCTATACATCGACTTGTATGTAAAATACAAAAAAACATTTAGGAGGCTATCTTATAATTCCAATGTCATCAAAACTATATCTAACTTCTTAAAAATAAAGTTGACTCAAATGGCGTAAATTAGCTTGTAATAGTTTCCCTACTAGCTTTCACTAACCGGGTAGGCCAGTAGGCTATTTAAATTCATTTTCACAGATAATTGAAATAAAAACGCATTGACATTTTCATGTCTTTATCCTGATTTTTTCATAAGGACAGTTTGCATAAATAAAAAAAATAATAACTCATAACAGATGTACCAAAGAGTAAGTTTCAAAGAATGAATGTGGAAATAAAATAAACAAATACTTTGTTCAAAATAAGGTTCTGCCTGATCTTTAAGCATTTTCCCAGGGATTTTTTATTGCATTTAAGTTCTAATTTCAAGTTGTAATCTCTCAAAGTTCTCTTTCAGTCAAATTTTACATTTGTTTTTAATAAATTTTTCTCAGACATAACGATTTACAGGCAACATATATATTAAATATTTATACACAAACACAAACATAGAAACACATATACATGTTCCTGCATGATATAATTTAGGATTTTAATTCAAACATAAGCTTACATAATTCCTTTTTGTACTGAAGTAAAAACTACTTATCTGGATCCATGCATTCACTTCATCCCAAATAATAAATCTATTTAAGAAATTGAACTCATGCAAGTATCAAGAAACAGTCACACCATAGCAAACCATCCTACTACACTTCAATCAATCGAAATAAAGAACGTGAACATAAACCACAACAGAAAAAGACAGCAACAGAGCCCAATTCTCATTTAGTCTCAAACTGTACTTTGAGCCACGGTCTCCAGATTGGTTTAAAATAAAAAACATTAAATAAACAGAACTTTTTGTTATTTTTGATCAGAACATAACTTTCAGATGTCATATTAACAGTCGTCCTTTCCTCTGCTGCTACCTTCCTCCTCAGTATGATGGATTTTTTGCGAAGTCACATCAAAATGCAAGCAACTGTCCACAGCAGTTGCATGCCAATCCGGGAGGAGAGAATCTTTCAAAGTCAATGACTCAATGCAACCAGCTGGGCTTCCTTATTATAGAAAACAATATTAACTAATTTGCTTGAATGGCTCGATTGAATTGACTTTGAGTTCTCTTGAGATGGCATGAGTTGTGAATTGCCTCTACCTAAATTAAACCCACTTCATTTGATTTGACAGAGAAAGCACAACAAAAAACTTCAAATGAGAAAAAAAATCATTGGAACTTTTCCTGTACTGAAAGCTTTGATCTGTGTAGTGGAAAGTTAGGACATGGATTTTATATATATATATATATTAATCACTCAAAATTACTTTTAAATCACCGACATTCGCTTAATAAAGATCCCAGTCCCGGCGCCATTTTTGTTGTTTTGTACACATTCTCGAGTGATTTGAAAAAGCCGCGAGATTTTCCGCCAGATGACGTGATTTTTGTCCGGTAATTGGCACGAATTAGACACACCCACCACCCAGATAACCCTAGATTAAAAATTATTGGTCAGGGATTAGGAAAATTGCCATAATTGTATGCCATGCGCACAGTGTAAATATGGCTATCACATGGCAGTCCTCTGTACAGTGATGCAGGTCATACATTTAAAACTGTTCAAAAAAATTCTTTTCTCTTAGAAATTGGAGAGGTGCATTTAAATGTTATAGAGCTAAACATGTTAAATTGGTGACCTGTTATGTTATTATTATTGTCTTGTTGCTGCATTTATTTTGTCAGGGAAAACTAATCCTGAGTCAGTTAAAAGTCAGGGAATTCTGAAATTATATAAGACTGTGGAAACCCTGTATAAAATAACTGTATAATGATTCTCTAGAAAAGTCACATTATATTAATAGTATTATCTTGAATAAACATACCGTGACTCTAAAATAAAAGCTATTCATTTGTGACATTGACTTCTGTCTTGTGATTTATCTTAAGTTTTTAACCTGTCAAGTTTTTTTTTTAGATTTTTAACATTACAATTTATAATTTTCCAAGCACACAACAGTTTAAAGCAAAGTTTAGTTTGAAAAGAATGTGCAGGAAGGATTGAAAAGCATGTTAACACGGTAATGTAGGCTTGAGTTTATTATCTGACGCATGCATGTAAACTTAAAAAATACTGAATTACAAAAAATATATATATATATATATATACAAAATTTAATATGAGGAACTATATTTATCAAACATTATTCTGGGCAAGTAGAAATTGTTTCTGTGCAAATGAAATGTGAAATTCACTTTCCCGAAGGGCGAGTGGTAAAAATCCTTTTTTTTTTTTACTTTCTTACTTAAAATGTTTTAGAATTTTTCAGCTTTTTTATCAAACTGGTAGATAAAATGACATTTTAGTCTCTTCATGTCTTAATTTAAGAAGTCAAAGCCTATCCGTATGTGGGCATAAGGAAATGCTAGCATTTATTCTAACCGTACATAGCAGTGCTTTTTAAAACCCAAGTAATGTTTAAGTCTAAAATTTTAAGGTATTTATTGAGTGTGAAAATTTGTTATTAGCTTAAATTATAACAAGAAATAAACTAAAGGGTTTTTAAAGAGGATATTTACCTCTTGTGTGAGTTCGTTCTTTTCTTTGTCCCCAAACGGATAATGTTGGGCGACCACATCTTTCAGATAGTCGTCCACAAATTCCATAGTGCTTTTAAATCTCCTCTTCATTTCCTCTCTGGAGTTGTCAGTGGATTCATACTCAAACCTGCAGAACAAACCAAAGATGTGAGAGAATGTATTAAAAAGAAGAAGACTAGTCATTTTAAAATAGAGATGCTCACTCTTTTATGGAGATCTTGGAGGGAATTTCAGTCCAAAGACGGGCATAGCGGACGGGAACCACGGCCTCCTGTGGTTCGCAGTCCACATGCATGTGAAGCATGAGGCGACAGAAGGACGCTCTGAGGTTGTAGGGCAGGCAGTCGTCAAACATGCAACGCAGGATTAGATCCACAGGGAGATGGACAGAGATCTGGTTGATGGCGAGATACTGACGATCCAGACACATTTTGGCAAAAAGGTTCAGCTGACACCTGGAGAGGAATAGAGGGAGACAACGAACATTGCAATTCATCTTTGTTGATTTTAAAACAAAAAAAAACCTTAACATAAAAACCTGGATGACTTAACTTTCTGCTCCTGAATGCAGATAAAACAGACTTTATAGGCTTTTGACCAGAGTCTGATTAGTCAGTTACCTCATTTAGATGGGAATAAATTTATCTTGGATAATAAAGTAAAAAATCTTGGTGTTATTCTTTTTTTTATCCAGACCTGTCATTTAAATCCCATATCAAAGATGTTTCTTGAATTTCCTTCTTTCATGTGCGGAATATTGTAAAATATATTTTAAAATTTAAAATCTCCTGTTCAGGGGTGATACTGAGAAACTAGTCCATGCATTTCTTACTTCAAGGCTGGATTATTGTAAGTCTTTTACTTCTTTAGCACAAGTAAAAAGCTGTCTAATACATAATTACTCTAGTAAAGTATAGATTTAGAGACAACATTTCTACTTAAGTGAGATAAAGTATTTGCATTTTTTGTTACTTGACACCTCTGGCAGTTGTACTATCAACAGTGTTTATTATAAATGTTATTATATTTTTTTAGGTTATTTTATTTTTTGCAGTCATGTTCAAAATAAACTAATACACTTCGCTAAAGTTTTTTTTCCTGTTTTCTTTTTTGTGTGCTATTAGAATACAGCATCCTTCTCACCAGCAGCCAGAACTGTTGATAAAATGCAGGATGGATCACAGCTTTCATGCTGTTTATGCCAAAGTCTGACCATATGCTGCAGCTGAAGTGGAAACTAATTAGACCAGGCAAAGTATTTCTGATCTGTTATAACCCAGCTTTGGTGGAACTGTTTTATACTCATTTAGCTGAGAGGAGTGACACCTTGGCCTGGTCTTCTTCTGCTGCTGCCCATCTGGTTCACAGCTCAACATATGCCTTTAGAGGTGGCATTCAGCAGACCTTGGCTGTGGCTACAACCAACCTAATGATGTATTTTATCATCTCATATGCCCCTTCTCCTCTAACATCAGCTAGGTTTTTATCCAAACAACAGATCTCAGGATGGTTTTCTTTAGTGTGAGAAAAGTATCTGGAATATGTATGGAAGAAACAACCACAACATGTGCAAAGTCACTTATTTCCCCTTTAGTAATTCTGTGTTTGAACTTAGATTCCTAGATAGATTTTTTTTTGTTGTTAGATGATTTGCTTATCCATTTTTGTTGTAGTATACCATCAATCTGCTGTACCCTTAACCCCCCCCCTCCTTGGCGGTTTTTCCCCACTTCTTGACAATCGTTGGCTCAAACTAAACAGGATGAATGCAAAAGCAGCACCATTACCTGTAGAAGGTGAGCACGCCTGCATCCATTTTATGGTTGTTTTTAGCATCCTGGGCCAGGTGGCGGATGGATTTGCCATAAGGCTCCTTGTTTTTGTCGATCCAGTAGAGCCAAACCTCCTCTTCCTCCCCCTCATCTGGGGACATGGAGGAATCAAGGGAGTTGTCCGTGCTCGAGATTAGCCTGGTGAAGAGCAGGGACAGATTGAGAGCCTATCAGAAAATAAACAAACAAAAAGGAACAAACACAATCGACATAGAGCTGCTGCAGCGGTAAAATATCCATTTCAAAGCAGGCACAGCATTGGAGGGAAAGGTGCTGTCACACACAGAGGAGACTGTGTGCGTGTTCAAACATCTTTAATGTGTGGAATATGACAAAATGGTTGAACTGTAGACGTCTCATGGTAGCGACTTACTTTGTCTTAATGAGGATGTCCGCATTAGTGGCATTCAGCATAAATTTAATGATAAGCTCCTGTGTGACGGGGATAGCGGTCTTGTTGGATGCACAGAGATCAGACAGGTAATCCAAGAATCTGACAGGATGAACCAGACATGAATTGATCACGTTTTATATAAAATAAGACCACAGACCAGTTAAAGTTAACATAGACAGTATATTTATTCTTTTATTTTTATTGAAAAATAACCACTGGCTTTGAGAGTTGAATGATTTTGTGTCTCACCTGGGCTCTCGATTTTTCCTCAGCAGGCCAACGAAGGTCTCAATCTCTCTGGCTGTGATGTGTTTTTCCAACAGCTTGCGGTTGTTGTGCAGCAGGGCGGTGATTGTGTCCTCAGCCAGAATCTCATATCCCATCTGACCCTGCATGATGTGGAACTTTTTGGCTATATATTCCTATGAGGCAGAAAAAAAACAACACTTATGTTCTTTGTTTTTTATGTACAGAAAACTTGAAATGTAAAGAAAAAAAAAGAAATTCCGCATGACTGAAAGCTACTTAAGAAACTGAACCTAAAAAAAACATTCGTAGAAAATTGAAAGTCACAGCTGGAGTTTATTTTTGTCAAGATTAAAACAGCTATTTATGTGAGCAACTAATTATAAAACACCTTTTAAAATGTCAAAAATGATGAGAAGCTTGACTGAAACAATTCAAAGATGGTAAAGAAGTACTCCAAAGGACTTTGAACTGACTGTTTGGGCAACAAAGCATTGACCAGTGCAGTGAATGCCAAACTTTCCAGATATTTCTTTGATAATACAAAACAAGAAAACAAAATTTTTAATTTAATTCAATTATACTTAAAAAAAAAAAAAAAAAAGATGAGCTGTTATAACTACAGGATGCGTGAAGGCTCGCTTTATACCTGGTTCTTGCGGTAGTCCTGTTGGGAGTGTCGCAGCACTCTGTAGCAGAGTCTAAACATGTATTTGAAGTGAGCGTAGCGCTGGTCTCCCAGTTCCTCCAACCTGAACATTGGACCATCACCATTATCTTTGAATGGAGCCGTCAGGATACCAAATATCTGAAGGAACCAAACATGAAGGATAAATTGGAGCAGATTAACACCCAGAGCTGGAAATCACTAGGATATTTTTTTTTCTTGCACTTACCTGGGAAAGGATGTACTGCTCCCTCATGAGTTTCTGCCTCTCACGGTTGGGCGTAGAGGTGGCCACAGAGAGGATGTCCTGTCCGTGGTTTGGCACCATGCACACAAAGAAAATCAGGTCCTCCAGTAGTGTCGTGACAAACCTAAAGGGATAACGCAGCTTGAAAATCCAAAAGTACAAATGCCCCCAGCTTTTCCCCACCTCCCTTCAGTTAGCGTTCTTTACCTCCTCTCATTCTGAGTGATGTTGGCGCACTGAAGCTTCCTCACGGTCGCTTCCAAGACCTGGTTGGCATCATTGGCAAAGTCCAAATCTCTGACCTCTGATAATGGGACAGAGACGATGGCAAACGCCTCTTTGTCCTCTTTTGTGGAACAGGTTCCAATCTAATCCCAAAAGAAAGCACGTTACCCATTCTGCATGTTGGGCCTATTAGTGTTTGTTAAGTTTGTGTGGAGCAGTTTGTGCAGACCTTGAGCATAACTGGACGCTCCTCATCTGTATCAATGGCAATGTTGGTGCTTGTCACCCAGGTGTTGGTGCACAGATGTCGAAGTCTCACGTAGGAATTTCTGAGGAAGAGTTAACAGACTTGATGACTAAAAAACCACATGATATAAATGTCGGTTAGTTTGAAAAAAAGTCCTGCAGAGCGTTGTAGTCATTTACCACCATTTGTGGGAAAACAAAACCTGCATAAAAAAATTGTTTATCTTATATCTAAATTAATTATTTCATCTTTATTTGTCCAATTTCTAAGCAAAAGCAATTTAAATCAAAATTTCCTGTCTGAAGTTATAAACTTGTATGTAGATATTCCCTAAAGCAATCGCCTTATATTTAAAATTAAATTCTGTAATTTAGAAAACAGAATAAGAAAAAAAAATATAAAAATTTCAAGCTTATCTTTTTCTACATACTTATCCAGGGAAATGATCAAATTAGTTTTCAAAGTTCTCAAAATGGCATAAGAACCTTAAAGTCAGTTGGATCGACAGTACTTGTAATAGTCATACATAATAACAATGAAAAAACGATAAATGAATGACGACAAAAGTATCTGTGGGTCAAGCAGTATTAACACACTTCCTCTGGTTCAAAGGAGTGAATGCATCTGGTGCAACCTGGTGAGGGACTGACCTGGGCACGAGGCAGTCCGCCCGCTGCAGGGTGGTGGCATCCAGCTCAAACAGAGAGGCAATGTCGTTCCCATGGGGAACAGAAACCAGAGTGTAGGCAATCTTCTCTGCGGCTTGGTGCTTCCTCTTGGAGAACACAGCTTCGGTCTCATTCTGCAATAAAAACAAACGATGACACTTATTACTGTTACCACATTAATCCTTCCCTCTGCTCACCTAAACATATACAATCCTTAATTTGTGATGTATGAACTAATAGCTTAGTTGCTGGCCTTAATTAGTGCACACAGTTCTTTATTTGTGAGGACTATGTGATAGTTATTGTTTTTAGTTATTGTTTGGGTACAATCCATCCATCCTCTTCCACTTTCCGACGGCGGGTCGTGGGGGTAGCAGCTTATAGGGAGGCCCAGACGTCCCTCTTCCCTCGGCCCAGCTCCTCCTGGCATTCCAAGGCCAGCCGAGAAACAGTCCCTCAAGCGTATCCTGGATCTCCTCCTGAGCCTCCTCCCAGTGGGACATGCCTGAGCCCCCTCAACTGGCTCCTGTCGACGTGGAGGAGCAGCGGTTCTACTCTGAGTCCTCCCCGGATGACTGAGCTCCTATCACCCTATCTCTAAGGGGCTCTCCCAGACACACTACGGAGAAAACTCATTTAGGCTGCTTGTATCTGGGATCTCAGGCTTTTGTTCATGACCCAAAGCTCATGACCATAGATGAGGGTAGGAATGAAGATCGACCGGTAAATCGAGAGCTTTGCCTTTTGGCTTAGCTCTCTCTTCATCACAATGGACCCGTACACCGGGTTTGGGTTTTAAGTATTTTAAAAGTATTTATAAGGAAGGTCAGATGCTGATGTTGGCTGATGAGGCTCTCTCCTCCCTTCCAATCCTCGCTGTCAGGTTGAGGTCAGGACTCCATACAGAGCGCTGCTGGATGCATTTATGTCCAACAGGACAGAGAAATCTGTTGCTTCTTTCCAACCCAATGGGCCACACTCATTTGGCTTCAATTTAGCAATTTAGTAGCAGTGTTTCAATCTATAGAAAAGAGGTTCAAACATCTAGTAGTGACAGCAGGATGGACCAGGAAATAAAATAACGAACGGGCCAAGTCAGTTCTTCTTTATCCTTCCTGCTCTCACCTGCAACCATAAGCTACAGATCCTTCACACTGAAAGGAGTCCGCTGAGGTCGTTTGAGGTTCTAAACAGGATACCTCCTAGGCTCAATCCCCAGGGGTTTTCAGCAGAGCCAGAACATGTTGGTGGAATATATATCCCCTCTGGCAACAAAGCACTTTGGGATTAATAGGGGGACAGATGTTTGGTTTTCCTGACCGAACGGACAGATGGATTCAGATAAATAGCAAAGGACAATATGTTGTACTACTAATTATATGTTTTCCAGGATTATTAACATAATAAATTCAGTCCTTCTCAGAAAGTAGAAGCTGAGTAAAGTAGATACATTTTTTTATTGATGTTACTCATCATTAATGATAAAAATTTTATAAAAACAACAAAATAATAGTTTAAACCAGATCCTAAAGATTTACAGCATATCAACCAGCCCTAAATTCCGTAATTCAAAAAGTTTGAGAAATAAAATGTTGATGAATGCTAATAATCACTGCTGACTGACTGAAAACAGATGGACATGCGCCACAGTACAGTTGACTGCATCTCCCACTAATGAGGTATCAAATCACACAGACGAGCAGACAGACAGGCACGACGTTCCTGGGCTGCATCAGTTTGCAGATGCAGCAGAAGAAGGTAAGGGTTAACGTCTCCCACTGTTCTCTGCATGTCAATGGGAAGCTCCCCAGAGCTGGCTCTACGCCTCAGCTTCTCCATCCTCTCAGCCCCCCCCCCCTCCGCTGGTGACTCACCCAACCAGTTTAGCACAGACGAGTGAAGCGGAGCAGACAGCACGTCTGCCTTCCCCCTCCATCCTCTTGCACTTTTTCCTCGCTTGCTGGGCACCCCCACACCCAGACGTTATGTAAGGAGCCCCCTGTGTGCCTGAAATTCGGACTTAACAACTTAACAAGTGATTTGCATAATCACAGGAGACAGGGAGCTGCCTTGAATTCTGAAAGTGCTGCAGTATTTGTTACCACCACTGAAACTCTGATAAATACATCACAGCGCAGCTCATTTTCTGTGCATCAAGCAGAGGGAAATGGGAACTCATAATGTCAACAACAACCATAACAAATGTCAAATAAGTGTGAATGAATCTCGTATTAATTGGCAGAACGATGGCTTTACAATCAGGTGCTTTGAAAACATGTTTACTCCACTGACTCACCTCTCCTTTGGGCTCCTCTATATTGTTTTTGTATTCCGGATTCAGCTGCGGAGAAATTAAACAATCAGAATCAGAGAGCTCTTATAACGGACCAGCTGTCATAAAATACAACACCTAGGATTAGATGGTATCAGGGAAAACAATGGGAATGCTGCCACCTACAGCAAGGTTTTCAAAAGCCTTTTAGTTGCAATGAAAGCAAAATAGAAAATCGTTGCTATAAAGGTACAAAAAAAAGTGAATTAATTTGCGAAAGTTCACTTATCTGATATAAAAAGTGAAATTAATATTAGACATTTAATGAAGACAAAAAGATAATTGATGATTATGGCTTATAGCTAAGAAAAAACTAAAGTTTATCTTCTTAGAATCTTTACTGTATCACCGCAGTGAGTCCATGTTGCTTCAGACTTTGCCTACGTCTAATCTGCCTTATATCAGGTTTCATCTTCATCAGCGGATGAAAGAGCTTTTGTAGGTTTTAGGTCATGTGTGTATGCTGGGAGTTTAAAGATTACAGAATGTTTCATACATTTAAAAAGAGAAGCCCTGTCCAGTCCTCTTGGTGCTGAGACCAAGTGAGAAGATTCTGCCATCGTCTCTGGTTCAATTTTGGATTAACATACAGTCGTAATCAGTGGGTTTTTTTTCCAACCCAATCTTCCATTATTTAACATGAATGAACCAGTCTGACCAACCAGCTTCTTTAATGACCTTCCATGGATCATCCCCCTTTTTGGAGGGTCACAACATGCCTGTTAATTCAGCTTTTTCCGCCATGATTAAGTGGCCCATAACATAAAAGCAATACATTTTCATATAAAAACAATAAAATTAGATTAATGATGTTATGTCATGACCGCATCTTCTTAGAAACAAAATCTTTTGTTTTAATTAACTTCAAGCCATAATCATATCAATCCTAACTAACAGAAATAAACATTATGAATATATCCCTGTGTGTAATAATTCTATACAAGTTTCACTTCAAACTGAATCCTTTAGTTAATTCTCTTTCTTTGATAATTTACTTTAAAATAAACTGCATTACATCATCGGATAAAGAAACGGGTTAAAACAGAAACCGAGAGCTGAGTGTAGTCTCACCTCTGCAGCCAGGTAATTCCCAGTGGCCAGGTGTTTGAAGCGGAAGAGACTGTTCCACTGACCCGCTCCACCCCTGCAGGGGTCATAGTGCACAACCTGCCGCAAAGGCAAAACAAGAAAATCATTCACGTGGAATTATCTCTTTTCACCAACTCTTCAGGGTGTTTTCTGAGTTGGCCTGCAAAAAGTCTTCTATTTTGCAAGTATTTTGCAAGCGACTGTTAAACAAAATGCTTCATGTTAAATTAATTCAATCGTGAGATAAGAAAAGAGGTCAGAGGTGCCCTTTTTGATTCGTAAGCCCTTGCAATATATTTCACCTATCACAGTGGGACAGAATGGGGCTTTGTCATTGTTCTGCCTAACGGCTTTTCAGCCGCTGATATGGTAACTTAAGTGCATCCTGGCACAAACAGTTGTGCAATAACAGGAACTTAGAACATGTTCCTGCTGATAAAGATTAAACATCGAGCCTAGAAAAACGAAGTAGCCTAACAGACACATCTTGCTAGCTTCGATTCAAACATATTAAAGCACAGTCATTCTGTTGGTGCTTTTAACCAAAACTATACCTGCTCTTAAAAGGTTTTTAATAGAGCAATGCTCTACTGACCAACAGTAACAGAAATGCATCATAAGAGGGAAAATGAACTGAATGATTACACTGGCAGCCATGTTTAAGTCAGAAGAGGCTTTAATCAGATGCAAACTTTCTTTGATCTGAGTATTATGTTTGAAATAAATGTACAGTATTTATTTATTTATTTATTTTCCTTTTCAAATTGCTCTTGAAACACCTGAATTTTTCCACCGTGGAAAAATCAAGGATCACTATTTTCTATTCTTATTTGAGATTTAAAAAAAAATGCTGCAGTCATTTTCTCCCCCAGATCACTCCTAGCTGGTGTAGACAAAATAAATGTGGGTCCCCATCCCGCTTTGCTCATCACAGTTCCAGTTGTTTTCCACTTTTAATTATAGCTTTGACTATAGACCTGGGCACATTTAGATCAGGATCCAGTTCCTGAATTAAAAAGACCAAAACATTAACACTTCCTCAACTGAAATAGCATGCTTTTTTACAACTATAAAAGAGTCTACTGTCAACTAAAAGTCACTGGCAGGCTTTTAGCTAGCCATGCATACAGCTGCACTTGGTACTGCCTTTACTAAAAAAAAAATTGTAGGCCCTGTTTTTCCCCTGGAATTTTCACTCAAATGTTAAAAATTTTACAAGCAGTAGTTGCTGGATTTGGAAAAATTTAACTTTGACTGCTCGATGCACCAACCAATCAGAGAAGCTGATCTGCGAGCTTGCAGGGAGACAGACAGCACTGGTCATGCAGGGTTACTATGATCGCTCCACTGAAATAATTTATTAATGCCTAAATTAACTTACAACATCTACTTCCAACCACCATGAACAGTAGAGAAAGATCCCCCAGGAGGTGACCTGGCCTGAAGCAGCTTCTCCTAGGGATTCCATCTGACATCGCACCTCTGGTATGTGGGGGTCGGCGCGACTCCAACAGCGGAATAATATTTTAAGGCAGGATTGTAATCTTGATGAAATGACTGCACAGATAGTGTTTTGAGGTGGATTCTCGCTTGAGAATATATTAAAACTACTTTTTACCCAGTGATCACAGCAAATACAGTAAATCCACTCACTGCCAATGAGAGTAGTACAAGGAGCAGCACAAGCATCAGACGCATCTGGACACACTTTACTGGACGTACTACTGGCTGGTCAGATACTCTTGAGGCATGTCTGAGCTTAATGAGTACAAGCAATAAAAATAACACTTTCTGATTGCAACATTATATTATACCTAAATATGATCTCATATTTTCCTTATGAAATTTCCACATCTAGTCAACCACACATAGTTACCATAATCAGGACAAAAATAGTGTTGCAACAAGACAAAAAATGTAGGAAATAGCATTTCGAAGAGTCTAAATTTCAAAATTTTCCAAAGGAAGATACCCCTAAGCCTAAAGATGTGATACACCAAGGTGCACACCCCATTAAATATTTCTAGCTAAAAGTCTGGCCACTGGTGTCCCAAAGCTTAAAAAAGAATAAATAGGGTAAACTAATCAAATCCTGATCAAATTAAAGATGAAAGAAAAAAAAATGACCAAAAATAGGTTTACTATCTATTCTAGCTAGTTAATAAGCCTACTCGGGTGATTTTGTTCAAAATAATTATTTGTCAAGGCAGATTTCCTTTAGACACTAAATTAATAAATCCAAAAGTTGGATTTAAAAGTCCAAATAAATTGGAAGGTAAATATTAAATGTTTAAATCAAAACATGATCTGAAAATAAGAATGTCTGAAACCATTTTGTGCTTTACCTCAATCTCCCAGAGAGCCTTGGAGCTGGTGGCCGAGGTGGCCGACTGCCGCAGGGTGGTCCTGAGAAAGACATGCTGCTGTTCCTTGTACTCATCACCGGTGAGAAACTTCTCCTGCTCAGCATGAAACAGCCTCACCACATCACCCTGTTTCAAGAAGGCCACAGCTAAGAATACAATCCCAACAACGGCATTGCATTTTGGTCATGGCAAAATACCAAATAGCCAACATACCCCCTTCAAAACGTCTTCCCTGTAGTCACTGAACTTCATGAACAAGGTGACTTTCCAGCTGGTGTTACAGTTGACAGCATTCACCTGTAACGGTTAATAAAAAGCTGGTTAAAAAAAAAACTAAAACACTGCTTCATGCCGATAGCGTTCAAAAGGTGAAGCTTCCCCACCTCTTTGCAGCCACGATTGTCCAAAAGCTCAATGTTGCTGGCATGAAGGGGCTGCCCAGCATTCACTGGCATCAGCACCACCTTGTCTCCAACCACCACCTGGATGCAAGTCGGAGTCAGTTAAATACAGGCAGGAGGGACAGGTCTGCACTTTAGAGTGCTTTTTTTATACATAAAAACTAAACATAAGACAACAGTGAATTCATGCAAACTTCTTTTTTTCCACAGCAGTGTCAACACAACATGCTGGGCTAATTGTGAGAAAAAAACTGCATTCATAGAATGTCCAACATATGGATTTGTCTAACCCATGGTGAATAATGAGGAAAACTGTGCCTAACTATCATTGTTTCCACATAACATGCTGTCTGACTGAGAACCACAAAAGTTGCATCCTTAAGGTCAGACATTTCTGCAAGCACCCACAGCCACAATGCCACTGCTGGAACAGGAGATAAAACCCTTTCACTGTGCAATGCAGGAAACAGTCTCCATGCTTTTGAAACCGTTTTTACAACCATGCTTTTCACTCTTATTCCGTGTCTAAACATACAGGCACCATGCAAAAAGCAGGGGCAATACCTTAAATTACAGGATGCTAAAAGCCAGAAAAGAAGGACAAAAAAAATAAATAAACATTTTTTTTAAAAATCGGAAATGTTACTGGAGCAGCACGATGAACTGACAGTCCACTGAAGACAGAAAGAAATGCCAAGTTACTGGGATACAGAATAACCCCGAGACAAAAAGAAGAATGAAATAAGAGGAACCTACATTGTCTCCTTCGCTGCGGAGCTTCCAGAAAGGCTGGATGTAGAACCAGGAGCCCTCATTTCCAGCTGGGTCCAGAGAAACCCGCATAGCATTTTTCTCCAGTAGTGCAGGCAGACGTTTGTTCACCGTCAGGTACTTATTACTCTTAATGTGGAGAAGCTAGAACCAAACAATTAGACTGGTTAGAGCATGCAACGAGGGAAACTTTGGCAAATAAGGACATAATGAGTATTAAAAATGTCAACTTAAGGTAATTTTGTCACCAGTTATGGTGCTGTGAGCAATTTCTTTTTTATGATGAAAGAATGATAAACAGATATATCTTAGCTTGATCTGGATCAATTGCTCACTCCTTGTAGTTTTCTTAGGATTTTTCCAAAATAATGAAACCTAAATAAATCCATATCCTAAACATTATGTAAAAATGTCCTGGTGCTTTCTAAAACTTAAAATATCAGTTATTGGGAAGGGAGATTTAACTCTTCTGACTGATTTTTGACAGAGTAAGACTACTATACTTTTATTCATTCATATATATATATATATATATATTAGTGCTGTCAATCGATTAAATTTTTTTAATCGAGATTAATCGCATCAATGCCTGAGTTAACTCGCGATTAATCGCATTTTCATCGCAAATTTTTTTTCTGATTGAAAATCATTTAAATACTCTCGATGACATACAAAAAATACATACAGGCTAGGTTTGTGCCAATGTTCTTTTTTTAAAATGAAAACAGGTCACAGACACTGATTTATGCCATAGAAACATATGGCAAGAAGATGGGGAGGCATGTAGCAAAAAATACCAAATATGTAGCCAAAAAAAGGCCCTGAAAACAGGCTGATGTAAAAGACAGTCTTTACAGTTAATACAGTCTTTTGAACAAAGACAAGCATTTTACCCTACTGCTATAAAATGCAGTAGAGTTAACATTAGATGTTAATTAACCAAGATAATAATGAACAATTTTCAATCAATACATCAAAATCAATAGACCAACATCACTAGATGGAGGTAGTCTATGCTCTAGAAAGTTACTTTTCAGCCTCTTAACAAAAATGAGAACACACACACACCCACCCACCCACACACAGACACGCGATACTGACCTGTGGCGTACACAGACAGCAAGAGTGCCGTAGCAGATTCCATTTCACCTCAGTAATCTGTTTTCTCAGCGTATTTCAGGTTGCTGCTAGTTACCAGACACTCAACTTGTTTGTTGGTGGTGGGGCTTAAAGAAAAGGCACTAGCGCTACCCAGTGTATGAGCGTCTTTTTTCCTTGAGGAGCTCCGCTCTCGAAGCCTATGGAAAATGCATAGACTGAGGGAAAATAGCCCCGCCTTCCCGCAGGCTGCAGCGGGATGTACTTGGAAAATTGTACCATAAAACCACATAGCGTTATTCTCACGTTAAAAAAAATTATCGCCGTTAAAATGGCCTCGCGTTAACGCGTTAATAACGCGAAAATTTTGACAGCACTAATATATATTTATATATATATACACACACGCTTTTAATATATCAATAGCATCTTTCTTGGAAAAACGGATGAGGAAGAAATAAAGAGTATTGTCAATAAAATTGTGGATAAAAAATCAAAAGATTGGGTAGACATGGACATGACCTTTGTGAAGGAAATCATGTCTTATGTAATTAAACCATTTACCTATATCTGTAATTTGTCATTTTCATCAGGAAAATTTCCAGACACCATGAAAAGTGCAAGGGTAATTCCCATTTACAAAAACAGTGAGAAATGTATGTTTAGTAATTACAGACCGATATCGTTGTTACCACAGTTCTCAAAAATTTTGGAGAAATTATTTGTAATCAGATTAGATACATTTATTGATAAAAAATAATATTTTAAGTAGCACTCAATACGGATTTAGAGCCAAAAACTCGACATCAATGGCTCTTATGGAACTGATAGAACAAATAACAAATGCAATTGATCAAAAACAATATTGCGCCAGTATTTACGTTGATCTAAAGAAAGCATTCGACACGATTGACCATAGCATTTTACTCAAAAAACTCATTAAATACGGGATTAGAGGGACGGCATTACAGTGGATCTCGAGTTATTTGGAAAAAAGAAAACAGTTTGTACAAGTACATGATACTAGATCCGAATTTTGTGAAATTACATGTGGAGTTCCACAGGGTTCAGTAATTGGACCAAAGTTGTTCATCCTATATGTTAATGACTTGGTAAATGTGTCAGAGTTTTTCAAATGTGTCCTATTTGCGGATGATACCACTTTTTTTTGTCAAGGTACAGATATAGAATGGATGTTAGAAATAATGCAAACAGAATTTATGCAAATACAAAAATGGTTTAAACTTAATAAATTATCTTTAAATTTGGATAAAACAAAATATATGTTATTTACAAGGAGACAAAGAACTGTTAATATTCCATTTAAAGTTGATGGTGTAGAGATTTGTAGAGTTAGTGAGGTGAAGTTCTTGGGTGTGATTATTGACGAGAGATTAACATGGAAATCCCACTTGAATTATTTAAGAACAAAAATAGCCAAATCAATTGCAGTGTTTTATAAAGTAAGGGATCGATCATGCACTGTATATGTTGTATAATGTATTAATTGTTCCACACTTGGTCTATTGTGTTGAGGTATGGGGAAAGGCATGTTAAACTAGTACAAAATCTGTTTTTGTTTCGCAAAAAAGGGCTATAAGAGTTATTACTTGAAAACATGGCAAATATATTGTTTTGTAAATTGAGGTTATTAAAATTCTATGATTTAGTTGATTATAATATTTTGTTAGTTATGTATAAGGCACACCTAAATACATTACCCTCAAACATCCAAAAAATCTTTGCAAAGAGAGAGAGCAGTTATAACCTTAAGGGGACACAGATTTTTAAGAAACCCAAATTCAGAACCAGTTTGAAAGAACGATGTACCTCGATACAAGGAGTCAAACTGTGGAACGAACTACAAAATGATGTTAAAAATGCCAAATCACTGCACATGTTTAAGAGAATGTTAAAGACTGGATTCTTGAAGAAGTATGAAATAGTATAAAGTGAGCTCATACTATCGTTGTTTAGTTGAGATTGACGACTGACTTTGTTTTTGTTGCAGAAGATAACCATTTTTTTCCCTGTTTAGTTTCAGAGCTGAGAAAAAAGGGGCAGATATTATAAGATTTTTTTCTTCCTTCTGCTGCCTTTCATTTCATTTTGTTTTAAAATTTTGAAATACATATGTAGTATGTCTGTGTGTATATATGTATGTAATGTATGCAGATGGATATGTAGTTATTAGGGATGGGACGATTTATGAAAACCGTCAGAATCGTTCGGTTCGACTGTCTCGGTTCGGTTCGCGTGTGTTTCGTTCGGTTCATGCGCTGCTCCTTTTTCTCATAGAGGAAGCGATTACACTCCAGAGCAGAAGGTGGCAGTACTGCGACCAAAGCCAACCGCCAGTAGTAAACAAGAAGAAGAAGAAGCGAAGCAGCTTAGCCGGGTGTAGCAGGGAAAAAAATCAGTTGTGGAGAATTGTGTCGGACTGGCGAGTGGGAAAGAACTGGAGTTGGAAGACGCGCCAGCAGCACTTTATAGGTCTGCTGTATGGGACCACTTTGCATTTAGAGTGACCTACGATGACGGCGGAAAGAAAGCTGTGGATAAAAGCGCAACAGTGTGCAAGCATTGTGCAACATGTTTTGTTTATGCTAACAGCAACATGTCATGCTAACCCCGAAATCCCTCATACTCCGTCAGCAACCCCCGCTGCGCTCCAGACCGGCTGCTCAAAGCAAAGCCTACAGCCCCCGCTGTGGCTTCGTCCGCTCCGCTCTGAGTCCCTTGGAGATGGTAGAGAGCATGTAACCTGACAACAGCCAGATGCATGTCTCGCTCCGCCACATGCATCTGGCTGTTGTCAGGTTAGAGAGCATGCGCCAGATGATTAAATTCAAAGCAGCAAAACATACGGAAATGATCCAGGGTTTCCGCGGATCATTTAAAATAATTACAATCCATTATTTTTGGGGGGATTTTTTCATTAATTTCATAATTTTTTATGGAATGTATCAACATGTATCGAATCGAACCGAAAACCGTGACCAGAAACCGTGAATCGAACCGAACCGTAGATTTTGTGAATCGTTCCACCCCTAGTAGGTATGTATGGATGGAGGTGTATTTTTTATTTTTTAGTATATCAAAAATTTGATAGGCTGTTTTTTTTTTGTATTCAATGAAATGAATGAATAAATAAAAAATAAATAAATAAATAAAAATAAAAAATATATATATTTATGCTTTAATTTGATCAAATGAGTTATGTTTAAATATTATAGACCTTACACTTTTTGGTTTAATCATAAAATAAAACATTATTTTTTCAAATATTTCCCATAAAACTTGTGTATTTACGATCCCATAGTGAGAGTTAAACAATCATTATTATCGCCTGTATTTACAAGTTGTCTGAGGTTTTAGCAGCTGAATGACTGCAACAAAATTGTCGGTAAATAAAAGAAGTCAAACAAAGATTTGTGGTTCAGGAAAAACTTTAATCCGCAGGCGTCAGACCATACCTGGATGACACTACTGTACTTGACAACCTCTCCAAGGAGCTTCTTGTTCTCCGTCTCATTCTGCTTCTGTTCCAGTTCTGCAGCATGCTGAAAGGGAGAAAAAAATAAATAAAAACATTTTAAAGCAACAGATATCTAGAGCTACTGTCATGCTTTTCCTACCCTGGCATATGTGAATAAAAGATCCAGATTTTTATGATACATTAAGCCCTGTCACGTCCCTGGACTGGAGCAATGTTTTCTTTCCTCCCACGGTAAATGACTGTGTTACTATCTGCTTACAGTACATCTCACTATTCAATACAGAGTTAAAAAATTGTGAAATATCTGTGAACCGACTTAAAAGTCAAAGTGGCAGCAATCTTTTTTATTATTTTATATATATAGAGCTAGATTATTTCTCCTTATTAAGGATATCAATTTAAATACAGAACTTAGAATTTACTCAATTTATCTTTTTCTTATTTTAAAATGCAGTTTTCAGATGTCTCGTTTACATGCAAAGCCTTTTGCGGACGCCATCTAAAGGTATCAAGAGGTCCTGCACAAAAATGGGGTTAAAAAATGTTCCTAGGAATGTAATGAGAAAAATTCCGGCTGTGCAAAAGCTCTCCAGAGGGGCGTGAAAGTAAAATGTCAAACATAAATCAGCCTTTGCAGCTTTTTTACTTCTCATTGTTATAAGGGATGTGGAGGCTATTAATTTTTAGCTTAATATCATTTTCTTTCAGTGGAAAATTTATAATTTTTCCACTGAACAAAGATTCAAGAAACATTTAACCCTTATTTAAGTGATTAAAAACAAAACAAAAAAGTGTATATGACAGCATTTTTAATTTGGTATACTTTGGATTTTTATTTTAATATAGCATTACTCTTATCCGTGTGCAGTTTTTGGCTTCTCCCCCTAACTCTGATCATCTTACCAAGGAATAATTAAGCATTTTACCCAATCAGAATGGGACACGGAGCATCCAGTTCATGGTGTATGTTTATGAGACTTCATGAGTGTTTTAGGCTGCATGGTCTCAATGTTATTTCTTGTCTGATGTTCCTGGGTGGTGTTTGAATGGTAGGCAGATACACAGTGAACCTTGTCATTGGAAGTTGTTTGTACTGTTTGGACTTATAAAGTATTTATGGAAGGCAGTGTTTATAAGACGTTGCACTATGAAAAAGTGTAATTTATAAATCTGTTTCTTCATTTGTTACTTTGCCAACATTTTTCAAATGTTTTACTTTGTTTAGAAAATACAGCGATTTCTCATTAGCCTAACTCTTTTGCTTTTGTTGCTTCTCTCAGCTTAACGTATGGCAACTTTTCTCCCCTCTGGCCCTACTAAATTGCAGGTGAAGATATTGGGTTCAAAATATGATCTGAAACGGGGTTATGTCTTAAAACAACAAGTTTATACCTGTAACTTTTTGAAAAGCTCCGCTTGAGTGTTGTTGTTTCCTTGTTTTCCTTGTTTTGCCTTCCAGAACTGCTTCTGAGCCGAGTATCTGTTCATGGGACACACCTTGAAAAGGCAGTCTGCAGAGGAGGAGATGAATTCACAGTCGTCAGTCCTGCTTGGTTTGAGTTACTTAACGTTGTGCTTAAAGCGAGCAGTGTGCTCAAACAACTTCTTGACACGAAAGAGGATCCTTTAAATTCTAACATAGTATGAACTTGAATTTTTGTACATCGTATAAACTTACCTCTAAATTTCTTAGGTGGATTGGCGAGGTCTCCTGCATCGGGCTGCACCACGCACCTGTCATCAACAAGTCTGTAAAGAAGAAGAGAGAATGAAAGTCAGGACAATTATTCCTGAAACCAACATTCATTTGGCCACTTCTGTTCACCGCTCTGCTCACATTGAAAATTCAGACTTCCACTCTACAAACTGTAGTGAGGCATCACAGTTAAATGCAAATACATGCAGCAGAATCTCAGCCAACTCCAAAACCACTCATTTGACTAGGTCATTCATTGCCTTCTATACTAGCCACCTGCAGCCTGAAAAGCAGTAGATAGAAATAGAACTTTATTGATCTCACACTCTCTGCATTTAACCCATCCCCTTGGGAAGCAGTGGGCTGCCACTGTGCGGCGGCCAGGGAGCAGTATGGGAATAAGGGTCCTGCTCAGAGACTCAGAGTGGAGGCTGTGGGGATCAAACCGGGTATTTGCAACCTTCTCAGGGCACAAGCCCAGTGCTCTAACCACTAGGCCACCACTCCCCCAAGATGATGACCATTTCAAATTTTTGAGATTTTCCTTTATCAGATGAAGAAACAGGTAAGTCCTGGATGTAAAGCTTTAAAATTAACACGACAGACCTATAATTAATAGAAAAATCCCTATATTTCACACAAGCTGCTCTTCTTTAAAAATACTTTTTCTATAAAACAGGTGATACATTATGGTAGGAAAAGAAAACATGGCCTATTAGCAGAACAGATGCATTTAAGTAATCTTGGAGCTATGTTGGCTTTGCTAAGTTCATGGACTCCTGCAGGGAATCCTGTAAATTGTTTGATAGGGAAATGCTGATATAATCATAACTTGGTGAACCAGACTCTTCCGGGCCCTCTGTGTTCTTTGGATTCCGTCTTAGGATTTTAACGAATCCAATAATATTAATTCAAATTCATACAGAGAAAAATGTGTTTTTCGCCTGTTGTAAAGCTATAATTTATTCAGGAGGAAAACTGAACAAAAAGGCTGTTTCTGTAAAACATGTTTTGGTGTCATCGCTCAGCTAGACCAGTATCCTACTAAGTTACATTAAACCAGTTTAAGTCACAAAAAAACATGTTAATAGGGAGCGTACCAAATGTAAATTTAAAGATATTTTAATTAGGGTTCTTAAAAAATATAGAAATTCAAAATGCCCCAAAATTTTGTAATCCATTTTGGTTGTGTTTTTTTTTTTTGCTGCTCCTACTTGAGAGCAAACTACAGTACGTATGGAATACAGTTCCACACAACCGCCATCGAAGCCCATCATGCCCATAACGAAGATGTGACTCCAGATACCCAAATAAAAAGGAAAAATATAGTATCATAGTAGAAAATCAAGCTTGTTGAAGAGACTTATTTTTAACTGCTTACCTTATTTAGTCAATCACAGAAACCTTTTGTACCATCAATACCCTTGTTTTGGAATTTGCAGCAAATAAAGTACTCTAATACTTTGCTTGTAAATAAAAAAAAAAAAAAAACTTGACTTATAGTTAGATGTCATCACAGACTTAATTAAGGTGTTCCTCAGGATGTACTCTTTGCCCCCTTTACTTTCAGAATGTGCTTATTTTTTCATGCTAAGGCTGTATAGAACCAAGGTGTGCATTTCTATTTTCATGCTGATGACACTTAACTGTAGATAATGATAACCCTTAATACCACTGCTCTTACAGATATTAAATCCTGGGTTGTCTGGATTTTTTTTCTTTTTTTTCCATCAGGATACATCAAAGGTTATTTGTTTGATCCTGCAAGTTTTCTCTCATCCCTCATGCTCCAGTCCTACCAGTCTATCAAGTAACACCCAAGCTACTAGGAATCATGGAGTAACACTGGATTCATGTTAAAATGTTTTGGTTCCCAAATAACAACAGCACTTCACTTAACATTTCAACTGCTGACTTAAAACAACTCATTCTAGCCTTCCATCCATATCTTTACCTTGATTATTGTTTCAGATTATTTCCAACTCTTTTGCCCACATTTTTGTGTTATCTTCTAACGTTTACCTCAAGATACAACAAGTTTAGCTCCAACTGTTTGGATAAACATCTGCTGACACAAACATTATGGATACAATGAGATGGCCATATGAAGAGGCATCGCTGTAGGTATGTTTCTTCAAAGACAATAGAAACAGAGTTGAACCTCAGAAATGGTTAAACAGCGTTTCAAAAAGCGTAAACGTTTTAGCATGGTGTGGAATAGGGGAAAGAATTAAAACCTCAACAACAGCCAAAGCCAAAAAAACCAACACTAAAAATATCTGTTCCTAGTTTCTACAGTAAGGTCTTCACATCCTTGTATTTCATCACTGTCCTCCCGAGGCAACTTGAGTGAAACAGACACATCCATTCATTCGGTCCACAGTGGAGAAACACAATGCAGTCCACAATTCCTCGAATTCAAAGTCGACAGCCCTCTCTAAATGAGCTGAGCCATTTCCGTTTCTGTGCCAGAGCAGTCTCTCAGCGACAGTCATTTATAATAAACCCTTTAACCACCCATCAACTTTACATCTATATGAGAGACAATAGATACTAACAGGATACATTATTAAGTGCAAAGTGGCTTAAAAGGAAAGGGTTCAGGAAGAGGCTCCATGGCTCATAAAAAAGCAACTGTAACCCTGCAGAGGCTTTGACAGGCTGGTAACGCACTGTAATCAAGTTAAACATGAACTACTGATAAGTGCACCGGCCTGAACACACACACATGCACGCTAATAATAGCTAAACTCAGAGAACTGACACAACAAAACAGAAAATATCTAAAATGATACACAGACTAAAAGGAGGCTTAATGCGGTTTCTCCTCTGAGGTGTTTTCTGCAGAACTAGAGAAGGAACTGAGGAATGACTGTGAGAGAGATTTCAGTAACTGGTACAGCGTGTTTGAACTTGCTGATAAAGTCGACCCAGCAATGTAATCAAGTTCCACACAACTAAAAAAAAACAAAAAACTAACAATTTTAGCACTATTTGTTTGTTTAGTTTTTTTACTTTAGCATCTAACAGAATTTCCAAAACTAAACTGAAGTGCTATTTGTAAGTGCATGTGTGTGAGCAGGCCAAAGATTTAGTGCAATCCTGAGCAAACAAGGGCAGGGGCAGCCTTGTGCAGATGAAGGTTGTGTTCATCTGCAGCTCAGCAAGGCTCCTGCAGGCTCCATCCATGTGATATTTTCATTCTTAATTAAATACCTAAGATAGAATCAAAACTGTTATTGGAAATGAGGAGCAATTTCCAATATTTTTACAATTAACAAAACAGCAGAAGTTAAAAGCAAAAATCACTGTAGTGCAAATGTGCAGCTCTTGTGTGCGAAACTGTGGCTTAAATTTGCATTATTAGAGGCCTCTGTAGCAAAAGGTTTTCCTGTGACCGCGCTATAGCATATCTGTTTGCCATTCATACAAGTGCTGTTTGTTAAGACATGGAAAAACTGACTGAGGGGTGTTTTTTTAGCAAGAAATTGGAAAGAAAGCTTTACCAACAGAGAACCTTAAATGGAGACATTCACTCCTCAGGGTCAAACCATTTTTTCAAAACCGTCCTGCAGGCATAGTGACCACAAAAGCCCTGAAGCTTTAACCTTACAAGTCGTTCAGCTGACAAGGAGGTATGATAAATCACAATAAAAATTTTGACAAATAATTGTTGCATAAATGACCAATTTAGGGCCAAAACAATTAATCGGATTAATCGAGATGAATGGATTATTGAAAAATCGTCAACTAATTCAGCAATCGATTAAACATGCCTTTAGCTGACAGAGCAAAACATTTACAGCAGTTATTATGCCAACATTGTAAAAAAATATATAAACATTTTGCATTTAAAAAACAAGTGGAAAAGTTTGAGTTTCATGTGGTTTGATTTTGTCAAAAATCTTCTTTAAAGAATCTTTAGCCATCATTAATTGAAAAAATAAGTCAACAGATTACCCAATTTGCAAAATAATCCTTAGTTGCAGCCCTAGACCAATTATACTATGACTTTCATTGAAGTGCTTCCCATGGGTCAGTAGGGCCAACCTTTATAACCATTAGTGTTGTACTCCTATCCGCTACACCACCTCTGTCTTTTTTGAGGAAAACAGACAAGAAAAAAAAGTGAATCATAGTTATGGCAGCGTCATGATTTAGGAACGCATTTTTTCATCAGGAAAGGGGAGTTGCTAAAGAGAGTGACTTAGCAGATGGAGCCATTTAAAACAGAATAAACTGGAAAGAAAAAACTCTCAGTAGATTTGCAAAGGGTTTCAGTTTACCCCTCCATCGAGACAATCCTAAACATACAGCCAGAGCTGCAATTGTTTATATCGAATCATATTTATGTGTTAGAATGATCCAGGCAGTGTCTGATTTAGGCCCATTTGAGAATCAGAGGCAACGTGAGCAAGGATATCTTCCATTCAGGTTTTATAAATTAATTTGCAAAGAAGATTTGCTAAAGTTTCAATCCTCAGACATGAGATGATACAGAAAGAACTTCAGACTTGTAGCTGTAGTAAAAGAAGCCTCCTCAAAGTTTGACTCAAGGGGATAAATGTACTCCTCACCTCTCAAACTTTAATAAACAACCTAATAAATTCCTTGAAATTCACATTTATGCATTATATTATTAAAGACGTGGGAAAAAAATAGTAAACTACTTCCATTTTCTTTTTTTTTTCTTCATTGCTTTCCTTAGGTAATAAACCTTTGATACAAAACACTAAAGAAATATAGGGTGGTCAAATAATTTTTTTCACGACTTTTTTACAAAAGACGGTGATTAAGTGTCGGGGCTTTTTCCAGACAACCCTCCTTTCTATTTTACAAAGATGAATTCCCTTTGGCTAAGGCTGCCAGTTGTTTAATTTCACCCAAAAAACTAATCTGGAATCCATCTAGTTTATTTTCAGTCAACTTCACAACCTGGATACAATAGAAACGTACAATCTACAATAATGTGACAAGTTGTTGCAAAATAGGGTTCCTCCTTGACTCTTATCATCCTTGAAGAAACACTAAGATCCCTGAACAAGAGAATATTGGCTTACTCTGGCCTCCAGCTAATTTGTGAGTGGCTCTTAACACCAGAATAAATGCAAATATATACCCTTTATTAGATTTTGTAATACATTTTCTATCTAAGCATTCAGCTAATATGATGACATGTTTATGTTATGACTTGTTACAGGTTTCTTAAAGCTGTGAAAAGTGTTTTTAATAAAAGCTTCTGCTTCGACTTCAAACTTATCCGTCAGATTAAGATGAATGTCTAATCTTATCAAGTTAAGGTTGTGAATTTATTTAAAACTGCCTGCATAACATTAAAATAAATGTCCAAATGTCTCACACAGAACTATGATATGGCCTCTAAATGGGTCACCAGACCTTCCACAATACCAGTTTAAATTACAAGTGTACTTTCTCTGTTATTGGCTGATGCTGAGTGAAACAGGATATTGGCTCTTCATGCCGTTACCTGTCCATTCTGAAATTTTTATTTTTCTATTCAAAAGAACTATGGAACATAAGAAACTTTACAGATATGTGCCCAGAAATGAAAGGAGTATGAAATTTATGAAGCATCTGTTGGTAGCCTTTATCCGTTAGGTCATCAATAAACTTTAAAAAGGCACATAAGTGTGTGCTGTAGGTTAGACTGTTGATGGATAGAAAATTTACTAAGTTTTGATGCATTTGATAATTAGGAAACAAAACTTCTGCTTTGTCTATCAGCCTGTTCATTAGAGAAAGTCAGTGAAAAAAATCGGCTAATGTTCTGTCATATCAGCATACCCCATCAGACTAGCATAACCATAGTCAATAAGCATGCACAAGATGTCAGATTTGCATACGCATAAGCTAGTCCCATTTAGCCCTTTAAGCCGGGCATACACTGTCCGATATTTTATTCATTGCACGCAGCTACAAACTGTATGACAAAACCGCAGGGTTTAAAAGTTCACATCTCATGATGTATGTTTTCACACTGTGCAACCCGATGCTCTGATGCAACCTTACGACGGCCGACTGAATTCCTAACATGTTGGATTTTCTCCAGACCTTACAATTCCTGATCTGTAGGTGTACCACTGTACACTACACGACGCAAGATCAGGCTGAAATTCGGCCCGATCGAAAAATTCTCGCACAACTGGAGTATCAGCCCCAAAAGGGCAAAAAAATGGCACCGTTTATCCCCGTTTATCCCTTTAGTTTCATATGAAAAATACACTTTAAACTACCTCGACGGGCATGAATGCCTTTAGTCATGGACAAAAAATATTTAAGATCAGATTGCCGTACGCTTCAAAAAACACAAAAAAGTAATTACATTGTTTTTGTTGTATATGATTAAAAAGGCTGATTTATACTTCAAAACCAGGTTGCCTGCGTAGGTGTTGCAGTGAACGCGGAGACGTCCCCGCCCCCTTCGCAGACACTCTGCTGTGCCTCTCCCAAAGTGTAGGTGACCGCAGACAGGAGGCCTGTATGTCCTGTTTGGTACTTTACAGGCTTGTTTTTATTGTATGACCACCATTGTGGAAAACTACTCGTGAAGATGGACCAGCTAGAAGATCGAGATGCGCGAAAACGCTGGGACCCTTTTTCACTTGGATCCCTGCCCTTTTTCTCCCTAATTGTCCCTCTACGGTCGCACAAGCTTTCCCCCACTTCCTCACCGCCTCGGCCGTATCTCGACCCACAGCTAGTTCCTGATTGTCCCTCTTGTGTTGTGGCGTGGAATACCATAGCACACACCACGCTGCAATACTGAGCATAAATCAAAAATATCTGCGGTGGAGCTAGATGGGGGGTGGGGGGGGGGGGGGGGGGGCACCCTTAGCCAATCATCGGCCACCCCTGTGGCCACCCCTACCATTTTTCCCCCTGTAATACAGATGGCGGTAGCAGTAATACTCTCAAGTGGAATATTTTCATATATTACTTACCATTTTTACATGTATTCATAATTTCTTGAAAACAAAACTACTGTGGTTAATTATACACATCAATATACTAACATTAAAGATGATAAATACAGAATTTATGCTCTTTTCAGAACTAGATTTTGTGTTATATGGGGTTAAGAGAAAATGATGTGTCTCCGAAAGTCATCTGGGAGCCTTCAGTGAAATCATAGATAAAAAACTATTTTAATAAAAACGTATTAAATAATCAATTTATGTAGATATTAGCACTTGTAAATATGAGTTTTATGCAGAGTGATTATCGATAAAAGTAGGTAAGTAATGACAATGGAAAAGATGTTTCCCCCAAAACTCAAACCTGAAAATATTTTATCCATTATACCTTTTATCTAAAAAGAACGGATGTTTAAACATATGCATCTATTTGTCAGCAAAGACTGTAGGAAAGTATAGTTAGTCTTATCTTTGGCTTGACCCTGAGGTTCTGGCACCTATCCGCTTTCGGCCACCCCTCAGTGTACATTGGTTATTGCCTGGCCACCCTTATAAACATGTTCTGGTTACGCCTCTGGCGACAAGCTCCCTGCAATTCACTGCTGCCCTTAACAGTATACATTCAGATAGTTTAAAGTGTATTATTCATAGAAAATTAAAGGGCTAAATCAAAGGGATAAACATGCATTGACAATGGCTATGCTGGTCTGACTGAACATCGGCTGGAACCGGCCAGTTTCTGACAGATCGGTGCATCTCTCTCTATATTGTGACTGCATGTAGTTGCTTTCAGACTTGTCTTTCAGGTAATTAACTCCACTTTCACTGGTAAAAACAAGTTGCACTCCTTCCAGACTATAAAAATAGAAACCATAGGCCCATCTCCTTCCGTGCGCACCTGGAATCACGCCGTTTTGCATTTCTGTTACATTTTGCTTCAACTATTTCCATAAACCTAACAGTTTGCGCGCTGTCAGGCCTCCACCGCAAGAAACTTTGAGTTGAGCGAGCAGGGGGGGAGGAAAAGCAGGCAGCTTGTGTCAGAGGTGAGGAGGAGGAAAGAAAAAAAGCAGCAGCTAGTCAGGAGTGGAGCGTGTGCGCGTTGGAGACATGCATAGTTACCCCAGAGTGCTGATGAAGCCATTCACAGAGCCCTCCGCGTAAAGAGACACAATGTCTCCGATGTGAAGAAAACTGGATCTGAGCTCCGACATGCTCACTGCTCTCTGTTCTGCTTTTCCATCTATGACCTGAAGCGGCTCTCCTCTGCGCTCCTCGGCCGAGGAAACGCGCACGTTACCCCGCAGACTCTAACAGCGCTGCCCTTCATCCACTCTCAGCGACATTATTCCAGTTTTCCCCTCCCACGTCCTCTGGGACGACTTAGAAAGTGTTAAAAGTGCACGAAACAGCAGCAAAGTAGAGGAAAAAACAAGCGTGGTGTTCTTGTGTAAATCAAAAAGACTTGCACCACTTCTTCCTGTATATTTCACAAGGCAGGACGCTCTTCTTCACAGCTACTTCAGGGGGGGAGGAGACTCCTGCTGTCAGAGCTGTGCTTCACTTTCACCTCTTTTCACATGGCTTTCAGCTGAGTTAAATTAATGAAGGTAAAACATGTAATAATTTCTCATTTTGGAGAGAAAAAATTCTAGAAAGGCACAGTTCTTAGGTTAAATGTAGATTATATCACTAGATTTGTCCTGAATAATCAGGGCATTGTTGGGGGGGGGGGGCTTTATGGTAGATTTGTTTCTTTATCATTCAGTCAAAAAAAAGGTTGCTTCAATCAAAAAATATATTTTCAATCAAAAACACCATCAAAGAAAATCATTCAAAGAAAAAAAAGTATTTGAATGCAAAAATATATTTGAGATTCTAAAAAATACATTGAACACTGCTTTTCTTTGATTGAAAATGTTTTTGTTTTTTTGAAGTGACAGTTTTTTTAATTGAAAATATATTTTTTGATTGAGGCAACCTTTTTTTTTATTGAATGATAAAGAAACAAACCTTCATAAAGCCCCCTATGAAGGTAGATATGTTTCTTTTTCATTCATTAAAAAAATGGTTGCTTCAATCAAAAAATATATTTTCAATAAAAAAAAAACTGTCACTTCAACAACAAAAAAACAAACATTTTCAATCAAAGAAAAGCAGTGTTCAAATGTATTTTTTGGAGTCTCAAATAAATTGATAGAGTGCTTTATAAAACCCAAAGTCAGTTTAAGAAATTATCAGGTGAGATTATTGAAGATCCAACAGTTGTTATCCACATTTTGGACCAATGCACTTTCATCTGCAGGACACAAAACCCGTTTCCTTCCCAGGCAATATGATGGCTGGATAGACCCATGGTGTTTATGCTTGCATATAATTGTTTGACAGATGAATGGGGCCCCTTGAGGTATGTAGAAATAGGCCAAACACTAACCAGAATTGACAATTCTCTTTAAAATCGTGGCTGATTTATTCTGACTTTCCCATTATGTTACACAAAGACCCAGAGTCTGATTCACCGTTTGCAGGGTCAACAGTAAGAACTCTATCAGGGGTAAGAAATGAAATCCAGACTGCTGTCCTGAATCTTGACAGCTTTCAGCCTTACAGACGTCATTAAATGACTACAGCCTTCCAGAAGAGAACTACAAAAATGAAGTTACACAAAGTAGTGAACTGCTAAAGCTCTTCATTATAAAACCCAAAACATATGGAGATGCATATGCTGCACTCAGTGTGCTTTAAAAAATTATGAATTTTTAATGAAACTATGTGAAGTTGGCTGTGCCTGTAGGTCCTGATTATGGACAACAGTATAGCTTCTACCCAGCAGATAGTAAGGTTGGGTCTCTTTGCTAAATGGACTATCGATAGGAAGAGGAGGCAGGATGCTTCCTATCTCCTTCCTTACTAGTGGCACTAACCGGGTAGCATTTATGGCCTAAGCCTCCTTACCAATTTTCCTGATTTGTATGAACCATCTGTGTTTGAATCAGGCAGCTGCATCGTCTGAAGGCCAGATTACATCATAGAGCAGCGCAGAGGCCTGTTCGAATTCAAAGACTCCTTGATATGCGGCCAACAAAAGCAGGTTTCTTTTGGCCTGGATGGAAGGACAGGTCCGCTGTACCCTTCGTTGCCTTGTGTATCCCGTCATTCATTGTCAGTTCAAGCTCATGTGTAATCAGAGGTGAATGGCAACGAATAGTGATGATGATAATACGAGTATGTGAATATTTCCTTCTTAAATTTATGAAATAGTATAAATTTAAATGGTTATTGAGTCAGGTATGTTGTGGGTAATGTTTGGCTGACATTTAATACCAGATTCCAATATCTGTGCTTTGTGGGGACTACAAATCTGATATCTGCAATGACGGTACTGCTGCTAAAGCTCCTCAGAAGTGAACTTAGCATCCAGAACAGTAGTGAGACTGTGGGAATCGATTCTTTGCCTGCTTTGTGCAGGCAACTGTAAAGGCTAATTAGCAACAGAGCTCAGCTGAGTAAGGGACAGTGACACTTGGAGAAAGCTGGACCTGTTTGAATCTATAGCTGAACTCCTCTGGCCTCCTCATTCTCACGGCTGGGTCCTTCAGAGGATGCAGCTGCTGAAATCAAACACAGCCATATAGTGTTTTAGGTGTGTCCTTAAATCCTCCACAGGTGTCTTAAATCAATTCAAACTCTGTTAATAAACCTGTCAGAAGCTTCCAAAGAAATGACATCATCATCTGGGCGTTCCCAAATTGCTTAAAGGCATGGTGATCTTAGTGTGTATAACAATTCTCAATATGCAGAAAGTATTTATGAAATTTGATATTTTCATTCTTCTAGCATTTAGAAAATAAAAAATAACAGACCTAAAATAGGAGAAGGTTATTCAGATTTCGTTACTTACTTAATGTGAGCGAAAGAAATGTCTACTGTATGTCTTTTTATATAGTGCATGTAAGTAAAATTCTGGTTTCATATTATATGGGTCATAATATTTATTTATTTTTTGCCTTGACATGTTAGTTGATTTTGTTTGGACCAGGCCTGCCTCATGGGGAAGTGGTTGCCTAATGGTCAGAGCGTTGCACTTGGGTTTACGAGGTTCTGAATTCAAGCCCCACACACTTCCACGGACTGCCACTCTGGGCCCCTGATCAAGACCCTTAACCCCAGACTGCTCCCCAGGCGCCGCACAATGGCAGCCCAGTGCTCCCCGAGGGCATAGGTTAACTGCAGAAAGTTAGCACTCTACTACTTGTGACATTGTAATGACAATAAAAGTTTAATTCTATTCTTCTCAAAGATAATTTGCCTGCGGTGCCAAGATAGTAATCCCTGATAATCTGAAAATGTAAAAATAAAAAACTAAATCCAATGGGTTTAACTGGTTGTTTTTACATTTAGAGTCAGATTCTTACAATACATATTATTTAAAATAAGAGAAATAACCCTATGAAAACCTAATCTTAATGTGAGACACCACATAATTTAGCTTTAATTATTTTAAAATACTATAATTTATCTTTCCTTAAAGCTACATGTGTAATTTTCACTATAAAGGAAAAAAGAATAGCACATGGATATGAATAGAAAATGTGTTGAATCTAACCGTCTCTCCTGAATAAAACTTTTAAAAACTACTATACGCATAAGACTGTCAGCATATGGCACATCCTGGTAATTATTTGCTCTCATTAATTCCAAGATCAATAAAACTAAGGAGATAATCTCTGATCGCTTAGCAACAGCATCTGTAGGGTATAAAGAATGGAAACCCTAAAGTTCATCAAAGTGCAAATCCTCGATGATCTCACCCGGTGGTCCCCACAGAAACCAAAGTTTAATCTTAATTTCGACCCTGTTCCAGTAAATCAGACAGGAGGGTCATGCAGAACAGCTGAGATGTTTAATCATTTTTTCCTCCTGTCTTTAATCTGCCTCTCAGCCGTTAAAATGACACAGCTCTAAATATTGTCAGGTATTTTTTCACCCCAATATATACTTTTCCCAAGAGCTGTCTTTTGGAAGCAGATCAACCAACACTCTGCTACAAGTTGGTAAATATACTTAGACAAACTGTATTGTCTTTTTGTATACACTCTTGTGTATACAAAATGAAGTTTTGTTTTGTACAGCTCTCATTGCATTTTCATTTCTTAAAGTGCAGCAGTGATAAAAAGTAAACATTGTGGAAGAAAAAATATGTTTAAAAAAATGCATTGATATGGTCAATTTGATGCAGAGTCTAAGACATGATCTAGTGTTATTTCAACAGTTCAGCACTCTGAGGTCAGGGGAAGAAGCTGTTTCGGAATCTGCTGGACCTGCGTTGAATTCTGCTAAACATCTTCCTAGAGGGCAGCAGCAGAACAGTGGTGGGGATGATGTTATGCCCTGGGATGAATTGACTTTTATGGAGGAAAGAGGAGCCCCGATGATCTTCTCTGCAGTTCTCACTACACTTTTCACTTTCTTACAGTCTGCAGAACTGCAGCCCCCTCACACAGTCTCTATGGTGCTTCTGTAGAAGGTGGTGAGGATGGGTGGAGGCAGGTTGGCTCTCCTCATCCTCTGCAGGAAGTACAAGCGCTTTTGTGCCCTTTTGACAAGTGAGGTGGTGTTCATAGTCCAGGGGAGGTTGTCTGTGATGTGCACCCCTAGGAATTTGGTGCTGCTGACCACCTCCACAGGTGGAGTGATAATAGTCAGATTTTTCCTGAAGTCAACAATGATCTTCTTCATTTTCTCCACATTCAGGATCAGGTTGTTATCTTTGCATCAGTCCACCAGCTGCTCCACCTCCTCTCTGTCGTCCTGGTCGTTGTCGTCTCTGATGAGGCCCACCACCTTGGTGTTGTCTGCAAACCGCATGATGTGATTGGTGGTGAACCTGGGGACACAGTCATGTGTCATCAGAGTGAAGAGCAGGGTGCTCAGGATGCAGCCCTGAGTGGGGCCTGTGATTACGGTGATGACATCAGAGGTGTTCTGTCCGTCCCAGACTGACTGAGGTCTGTTGGTGAGGAAGTCTAGCAGCCAGTTGCAGAGGCGTGTATTGAAGCCCAGCTGTTCCAGTTTGCCCATCAGATGCTGTGGGATGATAGTGTTGAAAGCTGAACTGAAGCCCAGGAACAGCATCTGCACGTGGGTGTTCTTCTCCTCCAGGTGTGCCAGGCTCTGGTAAAATGTTTTTTTGCTACAGGGAACATACCAGGTATCAAAAATAAAGTATAACATTCAGACCCAGATCTATATTAAAACAAAAAAAACATATGCTGGGCTCCTCATTTTATAGAGATAAAAACTTAAAATGAGAAATATTAACTTCATTGTATTGCAGAAGAAGAAATGGATTTTGTGATTTCCACCGTACCAGCAGGGGGCGCTCTGTATCAAATTGTGAAAAACATGCAGTCATCCAAGTTGCAAGTCTGAGCTGCTTAACCTCTCCACCTGTTTTAACTACAAACACAACACACACTGTTATTTTAGAGATTTTCCAGTGATTGGGACTGTGGGTGTCCCAGTAAGCCACTCATATACGTGACCATAAAAATGTGATAATCTGAGTTATTCCTCTAAAACTGTAATAAATAATAGGCCCATATAGTCTCAGGGTCTCTTTTAAGAAAGTGACATAAAGCTCCGGTAGACCCATTTGTTTTTTACAACACCCATCATAGATAGAAGCTAATTTAATGTTGGCACGAAGATTAGATTATATATTGCTGCAAGTGACATCTTTACACGTCATCATGTTCAAAACAAAGTTAAAGTACAAAGTACAGTGCTTCATTATCACTCTTCTACTTTATTGGAGTTTAATTGCTGCATTTTTAAATCATTTCTAAATCATTTCTGAAGTCATTAAGTATACGCACATACTTGTTTCTGAAGTAATTCTAAAAATCCATAAAACATCCAAGTTATAACTAGCAAGCTTGAAAATTATACAAATAGATATCCAAACAGATGGCTGGATGGACAGATAGAGGCTCTCAAAGTGAATACATACCTGTTAAGATGCCTTGATTAATAAATTAAATACATTTTCTCCAATTGTGACAAATAAAGTAGTCCCATATAATTCAACTGAAAGATGTAAAAAGAAAAAAACTATTTTGATCTGTTAGTGTTGGTCTTCTTTAATTGGGTTCTGTCATTCAAACTTACGTGTTGATAAAATTAGTAACTTCGGCTTCGAAAACCTCTCAGCTTGTAAGGAATTCATGTCTGTTTTCCTGTAGGATTTTTCTGGACACTAAAATATAACTTTCTCCTCATGATACCCCTCCTTTATGTTAGGTGCTTGGACTCATTGCTGTATCAAAATGCTAAAATTCTCTCCATGTACAGATTTTAAGCCACATTTAGATTTTGCAATAGTGTCTAAAACTGTTTATTCATCTTGAGAAAAGATCTAACTCCGTCTGAGGAAAAGTAACCACAACATGATGATGCAGATACCAGCACATTTCACCGTCAAACATCTTTTTGATCTATGGTCCAATGGTTTCACTGTGGTCAAGGGAGAGCAACATCTAGTTATAGATAGATAGATAGATAGATAGATAGATAGATAGATAGATAGATAGATAGATAGATAGATAGATAGATAGATAGATAGATAGATAGATAGATAGATAGATAGATAGATAGATAGATAGATAGATAGATAGATAGATAGATAGATAGATAGATAGATAGATAGATAGATAGATAGATAGATAGATAGATAGATAGATAGATAGATAGATAGATAGATAGATAGATAGATAGATAGATGATAGACAAATATTTTCAGATTTGTAATTTTTGGATTTTTTTTGTAAAACTTTTTTTTAACCTTTTTTAAAAGGTAATTTTAACACAACCCTATTAAATAATATTTACTTGCATAATAAGCCTTATTTAATTGAAAAACCTAATCCTTTAGTATTAATAAAGTTACTCAAAATCAATATTAACAAGTGTACTTAAAATGCATAGTTTGCTGTTTGAATTGTATTATAACCAGGCTACCTTCATGTAATTCAAACAAGAAACAATGTATTTTAAACAGATGCACTATTTAGTACCAATTTTAAGTAACTGTGCTTTTTAATTACAAATAAACCTGATGATTTTTTGTTAATTAATAATTTTTATTATGCCAATAAATATAAATCATGTAAGGTTTATTTATTAGGTTTGTGTTTAAATTATCTAAAAAAAAAAAAAAAAAAGGAAATGGTAATTTGTTATGTAATGAAATTTACACACATCTTAAATTTAGGTTAAATGTTTTCATATATATTACAGTCTTTGACTGAAAGTGAATATAAAAGTGAAATCAGCTTGTAAACACTGTTTTTGTCGCTCTGCTGTAACTGTATAATGAAATGTAAATGATAACTGTATAGTATGTCATTATTCAGAAGGCAAAGGCATCCGGGGTTTAATTTTCCTCTCACATGACAGCAGTGTGCAGCAGCAGTCAGAGCAGCCTCATTGTTCCAGGCAGGCAGCCGGTGACGTTGCTTGGTGTCGCTGAAGGAGGGAGGGACGCCTGATGTTCCCAGGCTGGAGGCGCGCAGCAGGCGCACCTTTCCCACCTTCTCACAGAGGAATAAAGATCTCCCTTCACTCTTTATGTGGCTCCATCCTGGAAAAACAACAAAACAAACAAAAACAAAGGAAACAACTCGGATACTTTCTCCAGACTTTTTTCCCCCAGTCCACCTGCCGCTTAATTCGCCGCTCTCCACTTTCCACCGCCGGTGTGGAGGCGCAGCTGCGCCGCTTCATGTAAGTCAACTAAAGTTGATTCATTGTTCACCTTATTTCCCAAACAGGTGCGGATTTCATAGCAGAAATATTACTAAGGAGGGTAGTTTGTGGTTTTACGCGCTCTTTTGTTGGATATTATAAAATGCACCTGACTTGCAACAAAAATAAATATGCATATAATATATCTAAATAAAATAAAGTAAAGCAAGCTTTATAAGTATACTAACAACCGACTGTATGGTTGGAGCCTTTGGGAGAAAGAATAACAATGTTATAATCATTACAGGCTGCTGTGTTTCCGGTGCAGATATCCTTTTTATTTATAAATAATTATTTTTTAGGCATTCCAAGAAAAAGGAAGAAAAAAAAATCCCTGGATTTTGTTTCCAAGTTTGAAAAGTCCAGTGGATTGTTTTTTTAAAAACTTTTTTTAGGGAATGATTATGACCTGGATGATTGAGAAGCTTCACCAGCATTTATTTTTTAGGGTTTACTTCCGGTCAATTTTCCATGAACTTCAGTTGTAAGTAGATTAAAAGGGAAACACTCAGCCTGATATGTTCCTTCTGACTGATCTGTGGAGGGAGTTTAAAGATTAGGGTGATGGCAATGAGGCCGTCGATTAAAGGTATTGGAGCTTATCTACACTATAAGATGTCATAAATACCATTGCTGACCATTGGTCTGCAATTATGAGGGGGTTTGATCACTTAAGTGATTATTTAGAAGAGCATGTTGTTGATGTTTTGTTCTTGTAAACAAAACCTTAAAAATCATTTATCTAAATGTCATATCCTTGGATGCTGTTTTATTTTTTTTTTCCGATTACTGATGGCTTTTTGTATGAAAATAATTAGAAACCTTTTCGCTTTTCCTCCAGAAATCTGAGACTTGAATGGTGCGAAAGTACACCAGGATTATCACCTGACATCACCTTGAGGGAACTCAAAGTGATCGCTCTGTAAGATTACCTGTTCTCCGATGTCAGCTGCACTGTAATAATGCCTTTGAGGCTACAATGTCGACGCTGAAGCACGTTATTCTGCAGGATAAAGACCAGGACAATGAGAAGTTGGACTGGAGTTACATCAGCGACTGGGCTGACAATGAAGTTGTCACGACAGGAGTCGCAGACGCAGAAACCCAAACGGACTCGGGGCTTTTTGAGCACAAGGAGTGTCAGACCAGCAGCCCCGTCATAATGCACATAGATCTCACCCGGACACACTCCAAACTGAGACACGTTTCTCTGATGGACACCGAGGGCCTGGTGGCGCCTTTGTTCCAGTTTGATCGCCAGGCTCCGGGGCGCATCTCTACATCTCCCACCTTGAGGAGGATGAGGAGCACCAGACGTCCTGTGATTGATCCTCTGGAATCAGGCAGGATGGGGAGCACTCAGGAGGAGTCCTCCCCTTTAAGCCCCCTCTCTCCTGTACAGAGAGTCAAATCTCCCTTAGCAACAAACCCTTCATCCGATGGAGAGAATAGTAAAGAACCTCAGTCAGTTTCATCGTCTGGCCGACAGAGAACCAGATCACATAGATCAAAGACTTTTGAAAATGGTATCCCATCCACCAAACTGGAAGGCTACAGTGCGGATTCTGCTCTAATGAAATCGTCTGGGGTAGAAGTACAGGTAAGTGTTTTCTTGATATCCATTTAAATATAATTGAAACATAAATTATAGTGTCTCATCCACTAATTATACACTTCAATCTAACATCTCTGGGCCATTCTTCCCCAGTGTGTGGCCTTAAATATATTAAATAGGTAGACATTCCTCACTTGCAGAAGCCCTCTCTGCCTCATTCTGCCTTCCCTCCTGCAGCGGTCGCTCACAATGCAAGCTTTTGACAGCAAATGAATCAGCAGTTACATGCACTGACAGCTCTGACCAAACCCACTGCCTGAAGAGCCCTGGGAAGTGCTCTCCTCAGGCCCCCATTCACTGCAATCAGCAGTCACCCAATAATGGAGGGGTCAGTGAGCGATTGGCAAAAGATAATGGGCAGATCTATTCATCAGCTCGTGGTTTCCAGGCGGGCGCTTTTTCAATAGAGTGTCGACAGTCTCCCCACAATGTAGAGGGCTTTTGAATCCAAGCAACCACTTAAAACACTGATTCCGATTCCGGTGTCTTTGAAAGTGATCTAGTTTTGATGTTGGCGCAAGAAGGCCTTTAGATGCTCAGTTTCTACTGCTTTTTAAAGCTTACAGGTCTAATAAAGTCTCTCTCTTTCCCCACAGGAGACAGAACGATGCCATCGAAGGTAGGAGCTTTTTACCTGTGATATTGTCATCATGCTAGTTTTGCATGTGTCGTCTATTTGGCCTGTTTGCACACCAGCAAAGAACTCCTCTAATGTGTGGGAACCCATTTGCTTATCAGTAATGTAGTAAAATTTCCTGACACCGGCACAGAGCTCACATTTTTCTTTAAGCTGACCCTAGTAGCCGCCTCCTGTTTCCATGACGATGCTGTGCTGCTTTTTGGCAAATAATTGATCTGCAAATGAAATAAAACAGGAAACTAAGCTCCATCACATCAAAGTTCTTATGACCCGATCCCAGGATTCTGATTGGACCTTTAGCTTCAGCGGCCCTTCTGTGTATTCATTGTCCTTCACGTCTTTGTTAACGCTTGATAAGCACGGTGGGTTAAGTTTTGAGAGTCCCATGGTTATATTCGGGCTAGACAAACCCTCATTAAAGCTGTTTTCCTTCATCGCCACCCACGCCCATCCTAATGGCGGCGAGGGGGGGCAAGGCTCTTCCCCACATTGGATAATTAGGCAGCTTTTGTCCCATTAATTACACCCTGGCACGGTGCCTGGGACAGTGTCCGGGCGCTGCAAGTTGTCGGTTGGGGCAGTTTTGTTTTGGAACATCATTATTTTCTCTTGTTATATCAGAGACAAAACAGGCAAGTGCTCTTTGCTGATAAAGGCTGGTATAGAAGAGGCTTTCTGCATGAACACAAGGCAACAGAACCTCATTGTGAGGAGGTTTTGGAACAAACCACGAGGAGGGACTGACCTGGTTTAGAGGCAATCTGGCCTTTCTGACTGTCCCATAGAACCAGGCGGTGTTCAGGTACTGATGCCAGCTACCATCTGTTATTTGCATGCATTGAGCTGGAGCCGGGGATGGGTGGGGGCGTTTATCAGTTTACCAGGAAGAACAGTGAGAGAAAGAAACAGTTGGGGCTTTCACAATTCAATAAAAGCACATTGGAGGAATAAAGTACAACTTTACTTCTGTTTTTAGTTTGTCTGCACACTAGTTAAACCTCCAAAACATTAGAGTTAGCTCTGCAGACATCCAGATTACAGCTGCTCTCAAATAATGTCACGTACTGCTTGTGCAGACATACGGGTGCAATTGCAAAAGTGCAGCCACTGTACTGAATGCCGGTGCTATGCACTAAAAGAGGAAAAAAATTAACGTTTTGTTTTTGCATACAATAGCTGACATTAAAAATGCTGAACTAAAACGTCTACAATAGCCTATTGTTGGGTGATGATTTCAGTCAGTAAATGTTTATAATCATAATAACAGTTTTAAACGGCTTTATCTGCCAAGTTTGTGAAAACAAAGCAAGGAATTTTACTTCCCTTCCACTTTGCACTCATGCAGGGAGGCAAGTGCAGCAAAATATTTTAAGGGTTTTTAGAAAAGAGGAAGACGTGGTAAAATTGATACGATTTTTTTCACTTTCTTTTTATGAGATTAAGTTATATGTTAAAAACTTGGCTCTTCTTTCGACCACTCTTTGTGGAAGTTAAATGGAATTCAAGGTACGGCTAAATCCAAGCTGTATAACATATTTGTAAAAGCAGCTGTCAAGCCCTGGCATTAAACAATGAAAACAAAACACATGAAAGGTTTTACCTAACAGTCAGCTTTTCTATCAGGTATGAGAACACATTCAAGAGCCAAAAGTAATAGAGTGGTGTGACTTTGAATAACTGACATGGGAAGGAGGGTGAAAAAACTAATTATGTAGAAAAAATAGACTGACCTAATATGAGATCTTCATTAACAGCAAATTAAGTTATCAAAACTGTTTATTGCCCAGCCTCAGCATTACTGGATCAGTGCCTCATTGTTCCTTTTGTAAGTATTCATCAGTATCTTTTAATTACCAGTCTGCCTTGGCAGAGGGCCGCTCACACTTAACCTGGTTCTGCTGGAGGTTTCTTCCTATTAAAAGTTAGTTTTTCCTCTCCACTGTTGCTTCATGCATGCTCAGTGTGAGGGATTTCTGCAGAGTCAACGACACAGTGCAAGCTAATGTCTGTTGTCACTACATATTCAACCATGAGAAGCAAAAACTGTGAATTGGTGGTAAATAAATTGAACTGAATGGCAGTGACTAGCTCTCTCTGCATTGACTTGGTTTTGCAAATAGTAGCCCCAACTTTGAAGGTAAAACTTCTTGCGTAGGTGAAGATGCTCCCCAGTCTTGCTGTGGAGGAACCCTCTTCACAGCCAGAGTGACAAAAAATAAATCGATGTACTGGAGCGTGAAGGACTGGCCACAAACGATGGGTCTTGGGCTTTAGAGCCCATTCAGATCCTCCTCTGTGGCCTTTAGTCTAGGCGGGGGGTCTAAGGAGAGGCGGGTGGTTGGTGCATGGGGAGTTTTTGTGTCAGAGTGAGATGTGGACAAGTAGATGGGTGTGAACACTTGCTTTTCAAACCTGCAGTAGAAGCTGTTAAAGTCATCTGTCAGCCAAGGATTCTGCTCAGAATGGGGGGATGTAAGTAGTTCTGTTTTTCCAGTCAATTCTAAACCGCTATGAAGTTTTTAGCTGAGAAGATTTTTCTGACTTGTTGCTGTAACTTCTCTTAGCTGCCTTGGCCAGTTTGTTTATGGCCTGCTTATACCCAGTTCTGCTTCCACTCCTGCAAGCCTCTTCCTTGTTTCTACGCAGCTTCCTTGAATGAGAAATAAACTATGGTTCATTGTTGTTACATATACAAAAGGTCTTGATCTGTGCACATTGTTTAGTGAACAATAGGACTCAACTATTGCTTTAATATTTTCCATCTGAACTGGACTTTAGTTTTATGCCATAGCCATTTCTTATCCCTGAACTTTAAATTTAGATAAACTAAAAAGAGGAGTTGAAAAAAGATCTCTCGTAAAAAATTATTTATATTTCTTTTAAAGAAATTAGGAATTTTCTTAGCTATGTATCATTATTGATGCACCAGGGTTTTGCAGTTGCATAAACATCGAAACATTTATATCCCCCATTTGTGCTCATAGATGACGTGGAAAATATATTCATTTACATATTTACTCCACACAGTATGCTTTTTATTGAAATATTAACTGGGTAAATAATTAGCAGACTCAAAAAAAAAACTATCAAAAATCTGGTAAAAGTTTAACTTTACAAAAAAAACAAATTCTTGAAATGATGGAATTAGGTTTGATTTGGTCAGAGCTGTTTGTTGGTCAGCAGGGAAGTCCCGATCCGATGCTGATGTCAGACATTGGTCCAATAATAACAAAAAGCTGCATATTAGAATATATATATATATATATATATATATATATATATATATATATATATATATATATATCAGCCTGCCTCTTAAATCCCTGATATTAGAAAACTCACAGAAACACTTTACTTCTATCCACTTTTGTTTAAAGCTTATGCTTACATACCTGTGAAACTTTACTATAACTCCACACTATTACCGGTAAATGTTTACTAAAAGTATGTATAATTAATGCTGATATCTTATTGGGTCAATACTTAAAGCTGCAATATCTGTATCATATCCAAAATGAATAGGATACCCCATTGGTCAATGTGAACATGCTGAAAGTAGGTTAGCGGATGGTCAATGTTCATACGGTATGATAACCCATAGTTAGTATTTGCATAAAAAAGACATGCCATGCCTGTTCGATGATCCTTTTCTAACACAAGCTAGTGTTTTATAATTTTTTAAAAGGTAAGCAAACCTGTAAATTAAATTTCAGTTAGATTAAAAAGTAATCTAACTAGTAAAAGTTAAAATAATTACTTTTTTCCATTCTTCTCATTATAAAAACGATTCAAGTTATTACTATTATTATTAACTGGCTAAGCTAATAGCTTTGTTTTGTTATGCTGTCTGCTTGTGCAGTTATCCTGTAAAAAAAAATATGGTATCTTGTGTTTAAGCAATTAAGCAGTAGTGTGGAGCAACAGGTGGGGGAGGGGAACCTCTGTTACTCTTTTCTCTATGCAGCTGTAAAAGAAAAAGCTGGTTCCGTCCCGTCGGTGCTTTCTCTGACATCTCATATAAAGCAAGCAAAATTGTAAAAATGGTATGGAAATGTTAGCCCCTTTGAAATGGTATCAAGGTGTTATTCTGTGGTATACGTGGATGTCTGTACATCCATTCGCCTGGGAAATTCAGCCTTAAACTGAGGTGGAAGTGGTGCATCTAATTATTAACCGACTGTGGCCATATTTAGTAGCTGCTTGTCTCCTGTTAGGGCTGGCACATTTTAATTGCGATTGTTAGTTGGCGTCTTCACATTCAAGTTCTTCAAGGTGTAGACTCATTGAATTTCTAATAAATGAGACGCCCCATAGCCCTGCCCTCTATAGTTATTTCGCTGGCTTATCTTATGTTGCAATCCGTCACATAATCATATTCCTCAGTTGCTAATTTTAGATTTATTTTCACCCAGGACCGTAATCCCAAACGTAAGGCAATAGAGAAGTTATAACATTTTAGAACAGTGTGAGCTTTGCCCCCAGGCTATAAGACAGGCCTGTTTTTTTCCAACCAAAGTCATGCCTCAGTTACTGACTATGAAAAGAAGACTGAGAGGATTACAACTGGCACACATTGACAGCTTGTCTCCTTCGACAACAACATTAATCGGCAGCTGTCCATGCATGAGCCAGACACATAACACTTATCCTCCATAATATCTGCTACTCACATTAATCACTGTTTATCTGCACAAAGCAGATATTTCAGGGACATTTCTTCCTCATGAAATGACAAAAGGAATTCTGTTATTTAAGCCCTGCTTCAACGGTCTGAGCTTATTTACATCCTTCATATACCTATAAGTCTGTAATGGTGGGATTTAGCAAGGGGACATATTTTGAAATGTTTAACATTTGTCCTTGTCCTTTGTTCTTAACCCTTCAAAGCCCGATCCAAGAATAAAACAAAACAGAAAATTACTATAATTTGGCCTTTTAACAAGATATGTAAAAAGAAAAAACAGAAATACATTTTTGATATTAATAATTTATTACTATGCGATAAGTCAAGATTATTTTTTGTGTAATCTTCTACTGGCTGTTATCAGGTATATCTGTTGTGTACAATTGGATTTTGAGCAAAGTTTTTACCATTAAATTATGCAAAAGGTGTCAGATGCAAAACATTTCAGAAACCGTATGTATCAAATACGATACATTTGGCATTATAGGGTTAAACCAAAGGAAACTCTTTCATACATGTGTCCAGGCTTTTACCACATACTGTAAATCAATGCTTTGTTTCCGTTTCCATTTTTTTGATCTATGTGGAAACAAAGAAATAAAAATGGATCCTCAGATATTAAATCAGCTTTGAGCCATTAAGAGCCTTTTTTATATTATTTGAATCTCAACATGTTAAAACTGTTCAAAATTCAAATCTCTTCATGTTTCCTCTTCAGGGTTCATGAGAGGAGGCGTAGCTCAGTGGTGGTCAGTTTACCTGGACTTGATGTCTCACCCGGAGACCTGTTTGTGTCTAACGGAGCCGCAGACATGATCAATGATTCAAACCTCACTGGTAAAATTCCTCATTTATGGGGATTATACTTTTATATGTTCTTCTGATTGATCCTGTTATGATCCCAGGTTATAAAACCCATAAAATCTGCCCTCTAATTAAATTTGTCTTGTTATGAGTCAATGTTTTAACAATTTGAGTCTTGATTCCCAAAGGCTTGACCATAACCCACCCATGTTTGCTGATAATGTAAGCCAGGAAACAGAGAAGTTTGGGTTTGGCTATGGTTTAGTTTCCTTAATGGGAAAGAGGTTGTGGACATCTCCCTGGAGCTACATTTGCTCCATTGTAAACTCTGAAAAAAAAAAAAAAACATTTAAAAGTGGTTGTCACTCATTTCAGAAAGGGAAAATTCTTTACACACAGAATTAAATATTTTGAAGCCTTTATGTGTCAAAAGTTTGACTATATTGCATGGTAAAAGCTCAAAATGAAGTTTTAGATAGATAGACAGAGAGATACGTAGATAAATAGATAGATGAAGCAAGTATATGTAGATACTTGATATATAGATATATATCTATATCTATCTATATATATATATATATATATATATATATATATATATAGATATATATATATATCTATCTATATATATCTATATATATATATATATATCTATCTATCTATATATATCTATATATATCTATATCTATCTATCTATCTATCTATCTATCTATCTATCTATCTATCTATCTATCTATCTATCTATCTATATATATATATATATATATATATATATATATCCATAGATAGATATGCAGATAGATACGCAGATAGATACTGTATGCAGATAGATAGATAGATAGACAGACAGACAGACAGAGCAAACTATGTCAATAAATCGTTCTGTTTCAGGCTGTAACCAATAAAACACAATCACTCTTTGTTTCTGTGTTTTATTTCTATAGATACAAAGAAATCAAAGTGGCCCTTTTCGAGGCGCAGTACGGTAGGTGTGCTGTTTGCTGGGTGTGTGGCTGGGTCCATTGACGTGGTTTGTGGTTTGTTTTGATGTACTTTGCCACAGAACTGGTCAGTTGATTTGGACATTGTTCTCTGACCCACTTCTCAAAGCAGATTAGTGTGTTTCCCCTTATCCCCATTGGGTCACAGTTTTATAGACAGTAGGCAGTTGAAATGCAGAACTGGGCCAGACTTCTTAATTCACTTCTGGAAGAGCTAAACTGAAAATAAGCAAATAAGCAGTTGTTTTCCAATAGAATATTGGAAAGTTTTAGGTTTTTCTTTTGTTTTCCTTTTCAGACTAAAGGGAAGTCACAGGCAGGCACGGTATCAGATATTGAAAAATACCTTTCAGGGGTGCAGATTCAAGACTGGAGAAATGCAGAAATTCTGAAATATAAGGTGAGCAGTGAAAGTCATCAGAGGCAAAGCTTCTTTCCTGGGTAAATACATCACTGTGTTGGTTTAGTCTGTGTTTAATTCAGGAGAGATTTGAACTGCAAAGATATTCTGATTTACAATTTAAACACCACTTTGTGTTTGCTAAATGACAAAGACATGACATGACAGCAATTAGTGGGAAGAACTTTCAAAGCTTAAATGACACAGATTGCGCAAGAACCAGAATTTCAAGGACACGACCAATCAGATCCTACCTACACCGGTTTATAAACAAACACTGACCTGCACATGATTTACCATGGTGGTGGGAAACTTACAGTCAAAGAAAATGTCTCACTTTTTTTATTTAAGTCAGAGGAAGCTACAGCTTCCCTGATTGTGATCATTGTGTTGTTTGTCTGTACAGGACTTCTCACTGGCTGAGTTCCTCCAGGATCAGCTCTCGCAGGTGGGTGTTACCTCTGACCCTCAGGGTCGAAAGAGACAAGAGGCCATCTGGGAACTCTTCACCAGCGAGTGCGTTTACTTCCTGGATCGGCTCATTGTTCTCAAAGAGGTGACTTTGCCCATTCAAAAGCCTCACAATGCTCCACACAAATACACAGGACCACAAACAAGAAGACCAAACCCAAATGAAACCCAACGCCTGTTGCTTTGTGTTCTTCATCTCTGAATTCTCCTGTTTGGTTCATGTATAATTTTCTTCTGGTTCTCCTTCCCAAAGCAGTGGATTTGAAATTTAATGCCAGATTTCAACAATTAGCTCTTTCTGTACGTGACTGTTTTGTTCCTTTCAGGTGTTTTTTGTCACGCTCACGAACCTGCAGGAGAACAACTGCCTCACGGATGTTGATCCATGGAGCCTGTTTGCAAACCTGAAAGATCTTTGCCTGGTGAGACATGATGCAAAAAAGCTACACGAGCCTTAATTAACAGCTGAATCAAATAACTGAATTAGCTCTACAGCATGCCATCAAGTTTGGCAAATGCCTTGTAACAAGCCATTCCTTTCATTCAGCAGGGATGCATCTAAAACCTGCAGGACAGTAGATCTTAAGGACCAGTGGTGGAGACCCCTGCTCTATGAATTTTAGTCGAATTTATACAAAAACTTGAAACAGATATGCATGTTCCAAAGAAAAAAAACAACGAAGTAGCAATAATTCCTACTGCTACTTCAAGGTATAGTGGAGGATATTCGCAAATATTTGAAAAGACCCACCCTCTCCACTTAAAAAAAAAAAAAAAAAGCACATGCACAACCCTATACCTGCTCCTAATGCATGTTCTGTTTAAAAGCTGCTGTTTGCATCGCTCATACGAGCTTACTTTCCAAAAGAAGATTTGCAATTTTTCCACTTTGTCAGATTTACCACTGGTACAGCAGATAAAGTTAGCCGTTTAGCTTGATGTCTTAATATTGAGACTAGAGAACAAGCTAGAATGTTTTTCTCTGGCTGTTTAAACATGGTTTGGTGCACAGCTTTCTTCTCCCTACCCGCTGCAGCTCATTGCACATCTGACCTAAAGAGGCATTACAGAGTTTTCTAATGATACTGCCACCTGTGGCCAAAACACAAAACTGCTGCACTATTTTGACGGTTCTCTTGTTCTCTAACTTAACAGGGTTTTTTTTTTTACTTTTTTCACCTGATATGGAGTTACCATTGGTGTCTGATTGAGCTGGAAGTTCAGTGAAAATAGGCTTATAGATGCATCCGCGTTGAACTACTGGGAAGTCATTCTGCTCATCAAATTATGTTTTAGTCATAAAGGGTCGAAAAAATAGGTTCTTTTAAAGATGTTTTTAAGTAAAAACGTTGTTGTCCCTTTAGAGAACCTGAATTTCATTTCATTGCTAAAAAAAGCTGTTCCAGTGAAGACAAACACACAGATTCATGATGTGCAAAGAGAATGAGCACAAGCCTAGCCATCACTTTTATTAAGTAAAGTTTGGGAGGTCAGTGTTAAGCAGATTACTTTAAAGGAATAGTACACCCAAAACATGATTAGCCTTCATTTGCTACTCACCCCCATGCTGAACAACACTCTGGAGTACTTTTTTGATATCTCAAATGCATCTGGAGATCTGGGAGGCTTCTTGCTGTCTGCTGACATTCAAATAATGGAGGTGCCCAGCGCCCGAGGCAGAAAGGTCCATAAAAGTCCACAAAAAACGTGTCAATATTCCTCCATACTGCTCGTCCAATGTATTCCAAGTGTCCTGAGTGGGTAGCATCCATAATTTACTCGAAACGAAGTCATTTAGAATGTTTTTAGAGCATAAACAGTAGTGTATAGGATTTCCTGAAAGCGCGCGCCGGCGCGTTCATGACGCTACGGAAGCCGGCAGACCAAACCAGCGCATTCAGCTCGGCAAAGAACTCATACTCTACCTCAACACTGAAGTCCTCAGACATTTTTCTTTCGTTGTTTCTTTCTTTGCACAGGTAAACAGCATTTCTTCTTCTACGCTTGCATTATCATCAGAGCAGACGCTGAATGCGCACTTTCATCTGGTTTGGTCTGCCGGCTTCCGTAGCGTCATGAACGCGCAGGCGCGCGCTTTCAGGAAATCCTATACACTACCGTTTATGCTCTAAAAACATTCTAAATGACTTTGTTGCGAGCAAATTCTGGATGCTACCCACTCAGGACACTTGGAATACATTGGACGAGCAGTATGGAGGAATATTGACATGTTTTTTGTGGACTTTTATGGACCTTTCTGTCTCGGGCACCATAGACCTCCATTATTTGAATGTCAGCAGACAGCAAGAAGCCTCCCAGATCTTCAGATGCATTTGAGATATCAAAAAAGTACTCCAGAGTGTTGTTCAGCATGGGGGTGAGTAGAAAATGAAGGCTAATCATGTTTTGGGTGTACTATTCCTTTAAGGTATTTACAAGAGCAGATTACCCAACTAGTTAACCAACTTATGCCAGTTAGTTAAACTTGTCATTAAATAAAGAGCAGAGCTGCAGAAAGGTACACTAAAATATTTTGTAAACTAAATAAATGCAAATACTCCTGAACTTAACACTGACTCAAATAAATTATTCTAGCTATGCACATTAATTATTTATTTTTACTCTGTCAGCAAACACTGTTAGATAATGTTTCAGATGCACGTTTAAAGAATAACTTGATATCATGAACATGTGGTACTTTAACCCAAAGTTTTCAGACCTTGTGTTCTTCCTGTGGCTTCTCATGCCTGTTTCCCCCATGGTTGAAATAATTTTTCAGTTGGATGCATTTCCTAACAGAGACATCAGTACGAGGGTTTAAAGGTTGGGAAATTTTATTTGCACAAACTAAAGTATAAAAGAGCTGGGGGGGGGGAGATTTTCACACTTTGGCATGATCCTTTTAAAAATCTAATTAAAAAAATTATGCAAATCTGTTTTTGTCTTCCAAGTATGGGAAAGACAAAAGGAAAGTAAATAAGACTGCATAATATTCTTCATTTAAATTGTTTGCATCATCTCTGCTGTCAGCAACTGTTTTGAATTCACCAAATTGCAATTTTTGTGCGCTCAACTCATCGTCGAGCATGCAAGTCTCTTCCGGTGAAAAACGAAACAAAACTTGACATTATTCCAAAAATTTAGTAAAATACAGAGCCTAAGTCTTTGCATTGCACATACAGATTAAAGCACATTATCACAGACCAGCAGGTTTACCGTTCTCCCTTCTGCTCCAGCACGACAACCACAGAGTCACACAAGCTTGTGCTGCAGAAGGGGAAAAAAATAAAGGCAATACAATGTGACTAGAGGTGCAGAGTTTTTCAGTTTCATTTTATAATAGTTACACAAATGATCCAAAACGCAGATAAAAAACGTGATAGACTTTTATCCTAGTTGATTGTTTCGGCTGTTTTTTTTTTTTTTTTTACTTGTATACTTGTTAATATATTTAGGTGGTGAAAAGAAACATATTAAATCCTCTGGTTTGGATTTTTTTGTTTTGTTTTGTCACATTAAGACAGTAAGTCAATAAAAAAAATTACCCTGAAGCATGTTTTCATTTAAGAAAATGTCTTAATGCTAAGTTACATTTAATCTTGTCTGTTAAATAGATTACTATATCAACATGTCAAGAAATACCCGTTTGAACTCTTAAGCTGCTGCGTCATTTTCAACTGAAAGTTCAGAGTCTCTTGGCCTTGCATTGACGCCTGACTCACTGTTTTTTTCTTGTTTTTTTTTTTTTTTTATGCAGGTCAGCCATAGTTTCCTGAACAGCCTCTTGCGTGTCATCAAGAACATGTTGAGTATTACCCAGGGGGGCGGGCCCACCCTGCTGGAGCTGCTGAGCAAGGCAAGTGAGACTCGCATGTGGAGGCTCATTGAGCTAAGGCTGAACTATTATATTAAATCAAAACAAATTTTTTCTTCAAACTAAAATCATAATTGTGACTTTATTTAGATTTGCTTTTGCGACAAAGGCAAATATAATTATATCACATTTTTCATTTGCAAGACATTTTAAAGCACTGTTCATGAGAAAATAAAATGCGCATTGCAGGGGCATAAAAATAACAAGGATATTTAAAGACAATAAAAAAAAAATAAATGTAAGTTGATAAAATCATAGATGAAAAGTAAAAAGGAAAGTTCATCAAAAGGCTACTTTACACAGGTATGTTTTTAATCTTGGCTTTATTCCCGATTTGTGGAACATCCAAACTAAAACCAGCTACTCCATGTTTTTAAGAAATGTTTTGCAGTTCTATGCATTGATTTCTTCTATGCATTTACCCAGCAACTGAATGAGTTCATAGTCTCCTGATGACATCATAATGTGCAGCTGTGCATCGTCTGCATAGTTATGGTAACTTGTGTTGTCATTTTCACAAATCACAAGCATGCCGATGTTTCATTATTCTCATCACCTTAAATGCCTGTTTGCCCAGAGTCGACTGTGGAAACATTTATTTCTTTTCACATGCATGGATCTGCACGCTAACTCAATCTCTTCCCGTCTGTGGGGCGACAAACCCACTTTAAGCATTTTACCCCCCTCTTGTGAAATGTAATATGACCAAATTCAGTGCTTCTGTAATTTGAAAATGGCTATTTTTGTAAGTGCAATTAATTGCCCAGCCCTAACTGAGACACAAAAAATGTTTCTATAAAATAACTAATTGCGTCTAATGATCTCCTGCATTTATTTTTGTGTTTTAGGCTGAAATTCAGGTTTGCACTATCTGGATAGGATTAAAACCATAACCCGCTGTATCACCGCTTTATTGTTTTCTTAAAGGAATGTAAAAAATATGTGAAAAACAGGTGCTTCTGAGCTAAATTGATATTATTTTGTTGGGATTTGAATTAAAAGAAATGTACACACACAATATACAGTATAAAACTTTTATTACACAACTGGCTCCACAGGGAGGGAAAGCCAAAGAAAAGTCCTTCCTAAAGAAGATGGCTGATTACAGTCATTAATTAATGGAAAGTTGAGTGGAAGGAAAGAGTGTGATAGATTATCTGCATCAGTAATGCGGATGAAGGTTTAAAGTTGGTGCAACTATGAAACAGAAATTTTCACTGCATTTTTTGCATCTTGCTTCTTAAAACCATTTTGGAGATTTTGATTAGATTTTCCAGTAGGACCTAATACCCGCCCACACTGCCAGAAGTATTACTCACTGGTTTAATGACCATAGTGAATGATTGACAGACAACTGAAAAAAACAAAAAACAAAAAACAGGTGAGATGCTTCTTATGTTTCTGTTTTAAGAGTAGGTTAACAATAGGACCATGACATAAATAATGGCCTGCATACACCTGCCTCTACCCTCAAATCCCTTTTATCTTTTGAATTAGTTTTTCTTTACCGTTTCTCCAAAGCTGCAGTAATACTTGTTGCTTTTGCACTTTTTTTATGATTGTTTTTCCTTCTATCCAACTTTCCACTTGTAGATACAGCAACAGCTTTCTGTGAGTCATTACATGGACTTCATGTTATACAATGCACCACAGAAAGAAGCAGACACTCTATTTATCTGCTTGTCAGGATAAAATTTTCACCTACTGTTTTCGATTATTTATCTGCAGCCCGAGTGCTGATAACCCAACACTTTATCTGCTGACAGGTTTTCCAGGAGAGCATATGTCACTGCTTGGAGAAGTACTGCCTCAACTACTCCTCAGCTCTGCTTTATCTGCACAACCTGATGTCCAGGGAGGACTTTGGATCATACGTTAAGGTACAAGAGACAGCAGAGTTCAGGCCACAGCTGATTTGTTTCTGTTAGTCAGCAAATACCAGAACACAGTGTACATTTGACTGCAATTTCTGCCAAGTATGAGTGAGGACACCGAGCAGCATATCTTAACTTTTAATTTGGTGTCACAGAGTCCTCCTAATGAGGAATGTCAGCCTTTTGTTGACATGTGCTTCTGGTTATTTCCCTACGTAAATTTTATTTCTATGCACCCTTGTTTCCAACATTGTGTCTCATTCTAGGAGATGCTTGTCTTCTCTGTGCCGTCTTTCTCTCATGAATCCTTTTCACTGTCTCCTCAGTGGTGTGAGAGGAACGAACAGTGCCGGAGGCTACAGCTACGAGACCTGTTGGTGGCACCTTTGCAGCGGCTAACCAGATACCCGCTGTTACTGAGGAATATTGCAAAGAGATGTCAGGTGTTGGAGGAAAGCCGAGAGCTGCAGCTTATAGCTGAGAGAGTGGAGAAGTCTATATGTGAGCAGCAGGCACTCTCTCCTGAAATATTTTCATCTATGATGCATATCACTACTTTTCATGGTTTTGGCCTTATCGCTGGGTGAATAATTGGGTTTTGCATGGTTAGCAGTAAGATTTGTTAAACAGATCTTATAGATATTGGGAGAAGACAACTGAATGACACAACATCAAGTATATCTCTGTTTACAATCATATTAGAATCCAAATCACATATAAAGCAGATGTCAGTTTGGTTTAAGCCTCAGGACAAACCAACTAATGTCTTTAAAACGTACGAGGCTCATTTGTTTTGGACAGCAGCCAGCAGACCTGTTATGGCAGTTTGTTCTTTAACTAGAAGGACAGGATGTGGAAAAAGCTCTGCAGCCATTTGCTTTGGTGTCATTGTGTACTTTTGGACTAAAAACCTGTAGTAATTAAATATTCAGTTACCCTACAGCCATTTTAATTAGACTTAGAGAGATTTATTTGTCATTTTGTTTACACGAGTGTAAAACAAAAAGAAATTTCTTTTAGAATTTTTTTTTAAGTGCAGCCTTGAAAAATAGTAAAAAATATATAAAAGCAGTAATTTAAACATAATACTGTAAATTTACAGTTTGTTTTTTTACTGCGATGTGTACTTCTGCAACGCACCTCTTTAATGGCTGGGATCATAAAAGGACAAGCTGTTGGGAGTTTTAGAGTCATGGCTGAAATATGGAGGCCAATGTCCTCTATGGGCGTGGAGAATATTTACCATAAAAGCTGGCAGAGCTGTAATCTCTCACGAACTCCAGTCACACCCATGTTTGGCATCACCACACAGCTCATGAATACAATAAGCTAAAGTTTCTTTAGTGTGCCGTCACTCTGTAATGAGCTTAGGTGCCATGAAAAAGAGCTTAATCTGACATTTCTCTCTGAATGTCGGTAAAGGGAAAATATTACAATTCTAAAAGACCATAAAACTATTTTGATAAATAACTAAATCCTGTACATCCCTCCAAACAGTATTAATTTTCATCAAATATCAAAACAAAAAACAACAAAAAAAGTTTTTGTAGGAACAGTGTTATATTTAGGAGTTTAGACAGATAGAATAGATAGAATAGTTCAAAGCCTTTCTGATTCAGTTTATTTCCAAATAGTGACAGAAGTGAGCCTTTACATCATAAACCTACAGTAGGTAATCTGTGCAACATTTGTTGTAATGTTTTAAAAAGCTCATTCAGGTAATTAATTTGAATAGTATATATATATATATTTTTTTGTGTGTGTGTGCAAAATCTACATCTAAAACAGAAAGAATGTCAAAGTTTTCTGTCTCAGACATTTTGAAGGATAGCAGTGATCGTAGTAAACTGACCTGTTTAACACAGCTGCGGGCTCATCAGCGCGTCTGTACAGCTGTTTATAGAGAAACACGGGACTAACGGTCTGAACGGCTCACACATATAAGGGTAATGCAGACTGTCATGTGCCAGAGGATCAAAGAGAAAAGGTTTTAAACCTCTGACCTTATTTCTGTGATGCAGCTCAATGGCTGTCATGTTCAGATCCATCATGCTGGATGCTGCAGTGTACCCATCATGTTTAATACACATTTTTTAGGGTCAAATTCCAATTCAGCTTATTGATTTGAATTCATATTAAAATAAAAAATCTACCACTGTCATCATTGTCCCCTTTAGATATTCAGTTGTGTTTGTTCTGTTTGCAGGTGATTTGGAGGGGAAGGTCAAGTGGCTGGATAACTACCAGAAGATGAAACTACTGAGAGATGCGCTCGTGTGGCTGCCTGTTTGGGAAAGAGATAAACGTGCCTTCATCCCAGAGGTCTGCCTGGGTTTTCTTTTTATCAACATCTGTGTGCATTTTACATGTTCACAGATATATCACAAAACTTGATCATTACAAATATTTATGCGTAAAATGCTGTGAAAAATCAGAAATAATTTGACCCGGTGTGGAACTTAGATCTGAGCTAAGTGTTCGGTTCTGTTGCAGAGTCTGAAACATCTCCTAAAGGCTGTCACTCTGGACAACCTGATACCCCACAGAAGTCTGCTGCTGGAAGGAAAGCTGGTGCTCTCAGGTATCTACCGCTGGATGAAATCCAACACATCTCACGTGTTTTAATTTGTGCCAAATCTTAAGAGTATCTTTCCTTGGTTCATCACCAGAGAACACAAAGCTCATAGATGTTTATCTGTTCCTGTTTGACGAATTCCTGCTGATCACAAAGATAAAGCGAAACAAGAAGGTATGAACTGTCTGATCTGGATGGATGTGGTGTGAAAAAGATTTGTGCCTAAGCTTTTGCACATTTTTGCTTTAATTTTGTCCTCAGAGGTCTGTTAGTTCTGAGCAGAACCACCTGAGGCTGCAGCAGAACCTGGAGCTGGATCAGCTGCTGAAGGAGGGATGCACCTTTACTGTTCTTGATCAGCCCATCTCTCTAGACCGCATGCAGCTTAAGAACATTGATCAGCTAAATGCTTCCAGTAACTCACCTTCATCCAGCCATTTTCTTTCTGCGCTGGGTCACAGCTCTGTTTACATATTGTTTGTTCTCTCTGCTTTCTTCTCAGCATCAGGGCTGCCACATTCTTTCATCATAATGCACCACAACCGGTACCAACAGTGCATCGGTGCATTCATTCTGCAAGCTGCCTCAGAGTCAGCCAAGGTAGATCTATTCAACCCTGAAAATGACATGTCTAAGAAGTCATGCACTTGAATGAGGGCTGAAAGGAGACTTTTTTTTTTTGTCAAAACAAGAAAGCGTGAAAAAGTGAGACTGCAACCACAGACTAAGTAGTGCATAAGTGTGAAAAAAAAAGTAACATAGGTTTGTATAATTTGAAAACAGTGATGCATTCATATTCACCCCTTAAACTGTACTTATACTTAGTAGTACCACCACTGGCATGCAGACAGCAACAGGTATTTTAGGTTAGGAGTCTCTAAGCTTCGACTCGCAGGCATCAGTTGATTTATCTTCCTGATCCGTAACACTCCATGGGTCCATCCTAACGGTGCTAATCAGTACAGGCTCTTCATTCAAAGCGGAACTGCGTCATTAGTCTCCATGATAAGTCCAAATAGTGTTTGCTGTAAAAAAGGGTGTAGAAAGAGGATGCTGGAGGCTTCCTGTCCATAGTTCTTTATCTGTACTGAGTGGGACATATCAAATGTACACGCCTGCTTTGGATGCTATAAAACGTCCCACCTAGTACTGGCCTGTTGCCGAATCGTTACAAATTTTTGTTTTACCAGCTTTGAGCTGAATGGTTTGAGTCAATTCAATTCCAGAGCATTTATGTCAACATATTGGCCACTTTTCAGCCTATTCTAAATGATTATTATATCTGAACAGAATGCTGGGACTACTTATGGACAGATTTACAGACATCTTTAGGCTGCATACAAATGCATGATGCACTTTTCAGATTTGTTCATTGTTTTACAATTATGCATTTCCTTAAACTAATCTATGACTTTATATTTAAACACATTAACACTTACTCCTAGTTATTTAGTGAAAGTATTCGTTTAAAATGTTTTTGTCCATATGAAGGGGTGCTTTATATAGTCTTAGAAGTGAAATGTGGTAAAATCTAAACGAGTGGTGTAATTTTTTTCTCCTGACCTCTTCTACCACTTTTTCCAGAGGGAATGGATGTCGAAGATAGAGGGTGCTGTAGCGGCGCTGCTGAAGCTGGACTCTCAGCAGCCGCGAGTCAAGAGCTCCTCACTGTGGCTGGAGTCCTCCCAGATCTGATCCCCTCCAGCAGAATGTCCCATCTGAATCCGTCCCATCGCGTCGGTGAAAGTAGCTGCTCCAATTCTAGGATTATTTTCTAAACTGTTTGCCTTTAAAGGCAGCTGATATGTTAGTGTACAATAAATATCTAATGTCAGATATAATGCCCACGTAGTTTCCTTTCAAACAGTTTTGGATTTTCAAAGAAGCTTTTGGCAAATGTGATTTTTTTTAATAGGAATACATTAAAATAGATGATTAAAAGACTTTGGTGAAAGAAAGAAATGGAGACATGACTTCTAGAATTGTTTCCTGGATGCGTCCGAGATAGATAAGCTGCTGGTCATGCATGATGTTCATTAGAAGTACAAACACCCAACAGATTTATAGAAACATACTGCAGGTCTTTATTTAGCGGTTCCATGTCAACAGATAAGAAAAATCAACTGGTGCATGTGAACACAAAGTACACCACCTCCCTCATCCATGCAGGTCACACGAAGCAACCCAGACTAATACAAGATCTCAGTGAGCAGCAGTGGAACCTGGGCTCAGGCCCACCTTCACAACCAAAACAGATAAAAACATTGAGCCATCATGCACGAAAACCGACGGCAACACGCACGAAGCCACGAGTCGTTGCATCTGAAGCAAAGTCTGTGGTTCCCTTTGTTAAAATGAGTGCAATCCAAACACTGTTTCACATCTCTACGGCCACATATAAGTAATTCACCTCTCTCATTACAAACATTTACAAAGATAATTATGATGAGCAGGAGATGCTGAAGCCTGTATAAAGCGGGTTGTCCTTTTTGCGGCTGCAGTCTCAGCCAATAGGAGCCCAGCGTAGATTAAGGTGCAAAACCTCTCACCAATCCTAGATCCTGTATCAGATGCAAGTGGAGAAACATTTATGATGCCCATAATCTAGAAATAATGCTTTTTTCGGCCAAACTGAGGTAGGCATGAAACCGATTTAGCACAAAAAAAACCTTTTCCAGCAGATGAAATGGACATTCGTTTGTAATGAGCATTCAGGAGCTAATTTGGTGAATCTGAGACGAACTGCAGAGAACGGTGCATAATCTTCTTTACAGTGTTTCCACCTGATCCAGTCAACAAAATGTAAAACACATGAGATCCTATCAGAACCCACAAGCAATTATAAATAAAAAGAGCAAAGAGTTCAACTGAGCAGTGTTCTCAGATGGACGGAGAACCGGCACCGGTTGCTGAACTTCGCTGTCCCAGGCAGCAAACTGATGCACACGCCGCTGCAGTTATTGCTTCAAAGCAGAGCGCAAAACACAATCAGTGCTGTTGAATTGCAGGGAAAATTAAATTAACACATGGAGGCACCTTCAGTTACTGCATCAGCAGTGTTTAGAAAGCACCTAAAACTGAAGAAAATAACAAAAGAAAAAGTCCAAAAGCTTTAACGGCTACTACAAACTGTACTGCAGACATTCTTTGGTCATGAAATGGTCATCATACATACATTTCTGCAGATTAGCAAACAAAAACAGCAGGCTGTAGCAACTGGGTGAGATTCTGTACAGGACCAGATGGTAGCTGGTGACCAATCACAGGAGAAATCAAAACAAAAATGATCTACACAGTGCATGTTCTTTAATTTTAAAGCCTACATTTAAGTATTTCTTTATTAAATTCTACACATAATGAATAAATACTAAAGCCAATAGACTAAGAAACATTCACCAATTAAGCAGAGATGCATTAATCAGCTGGCCAGAGATCAGAGCTCTCCAATTCACTCAAAGAAAACGCCTGAAGAAATGCAAGAATCCTTTTTAAAATGTTTTAGCTCTGATGCAAAAAAAAAAAAAAAAAAACTGAGATAGCTCAGAGTTTCATTTCTAGATTAAACTGGAATAATAAAAAATCAGAACCCCAATTAGTGAACTGAAAAGGATATAATACTTCAGATATAGCTTCATGATAATTGTACCTACAGTATATCATAATTGAGATCAGTGTGTTTGGCAGGTTGATTTAATGAAAAATGTATTTACTACCTAAAAACTAAAACCTCCCACTTGATTGAAGTCATTCAGAGCATCAACTGACCTCATGTAGTTTAATGGAGGACATTTGGTTTTCAATGCATAAATATTGGAGCATCATAATTTTCTGTAGGATTAAAAGCTACTGATAAAAAATTACCTGCAGGATACTTTTCCTGTTTTAGGTTTTTCAGAGGGAAAAAATGTATTCTTAAAATCCGTATAGGCAGCTCAGATATTAAAAGAAAAAAAAAATAGAGTAGATTATTGGCCAGAAAAAGCCTGATCAGTGCATCTTTACAAAGATTCTGGTGTCAAATTGGCAACTTTAAGAACCCACATATTGTTTGTTGGTTAAGTGATAAATTATAGAAAATTAGCGTTTTATTTAGGTTAAACTCTTTATTTATAAGCATCGGTTTAAGAGTTATTTGTTTTAATTCAAGATTCTATGATTAAACACAAACCATTAGAAACGTTGCCTGCTTTTACCTTTGCATGGCAGAACTGCACTGAGCGGTCACTGGTGACACCAGCAAAACATGAACCAAGATCAAAGCAGCTATATCACAACTGCTGCTGATGCACCAACACTGATGGAGACGTGAACATGAACATGATGAGCAGGCTTCCTCATCACAGACTCCGCTCTCTGGCAGTCCAAAGGAGTAGCAAAAGGCACAAAAACAGATACAGACGGTCTCTGCCACTGCATCCCAGCAGCATCTCTTCAGTCAATCCCTCCACATTAGGGCCAGGAGGCCTATGCAGCGGGAGGGGAATCTGTTTTTCATTAGTGCACATCAAAAAATGATAAAGACGAGCCGTCTTCTGCTGGCAGGGAATTGACAGGATTTAAAGGGAAGGAGTTAAGGGGCAGGAAAACACGGAAAAGAAATAAATAAATCAGCCTTGGAGCTCCTCGAAGCACGTTTCGCAGACCCGTACAGGCTTCTTAGAAGACGGCGTGAGGGCGCTCTTCGCTGAACACTCGGCGCAGAAGATGTTCCCACAATGTCGACAGTGATGCTGTGGTTTCAGAGAGGAAAGGAGAGACGGGCAGTGAGTGAGGAGACGTTTCTGGCTGTGAATAAGCAGAACGTTGAGGAGAGCTCACCTTTCGGACTGTGACGCTGAAGCCTTTCCCACAGGCCATGCAGTTCTGAACTTCGTGGTCCTCTGCCCACTTCCTGGTCAGACTTTGCGACTGTTTAATCTGCAGACATCGGCAACGTTATAGTTGGAGAAAAAAACGGCATCAATCGGCCTGTGAGCCCCGCCTTACCTGCAGCGACTGGTTCTCCCTGCCCAGCTCCTGCATGGCTGCTGTGGTGTCGTCCAGCTTCCTGCGGAGCTCCACCACTTTGGCCTGCAGCTTCTCGATCTCGCCTTCACCTGCAACACACCTGCAAGACAAACGACGCACAGATCGGTTCTGAGTATTTATACAACATGGAAATATGTGGGGGGTTTTTTCCTGAATGATGGTAGTAAAGCAAAGCTCTCTGATTGGCCCAGACTTGCATCCACCTTTTTCACTGTGTGCCGTACGACCAGCTGTCCCTGCAGCGCTATTTAACTTCTGAATTAGGAGCAGCGGATGCATTTTAAAATGTTCTTGGTCAGAAAATGACTTTTCTCAGTTTTCATGTTCAGATTTGACTATAGCTCACTATGTCTGTATGTCTATCAGAGGAAAAAAATACTAAAAAGTTTTTTCCAATAAAATAAATAACATATTTCCACCTTGTATTCTCAAAGTCAGACTGTAAAACCTTTCCTAAGTTTTCAAAGGATAAAATCAAGCCAATCTTTGTTCCTCTATTAAATCTCTGTACTTCCTTTTAATGTTTATTGCCCATCAGGGTCGTCCTTCACAGCTGCAAATGTTCAGGACATTAACTTCATTTAAAAAAAAACTACAATATGAAACTCTCCAAGGTCTGGATATTCTTTCAGCCTGCGCTGCGTAAAGCGTCGCTTACTGACCTCTCCAGCAGAGCCCGCCGTTCATCCTGGTTGTTTTGGACGGTTGCTTCTAGCACAGCAATCTCCCCTATCAGCTCATCCGTCTGTTTCTCCAGTTCGCTGACTCGGCGCTGGCTGCTCTGCCACTCCCTCTTCAGCGTGGCCACGTTTTCATTCAGGGCAGTAACTTGAATGCTCAGCTTAGCCTCAGCCTCCTCCCCACGCTTCACCTGCTCCTCTCTGGCTCTCCTCTCCGCCCCCTGTGGAAGGACAGCATGGAAGCTGAATAGGAGGGAGGAAATACTGCTGTTTCCTTGAAAGAAGCAGGGGGCTTACGAGTTGATCCTGGACTTGTTTTGTCTGGGCGAGGAGCTGCTCCTCTCGTTTGCTCCTGCTGTCCCTGGTGGCTTGGTGCTCCTTCTGCTCCTCCTTGAGTGCTCCCTGCGCTGCCTCCACCTGATTCTGCAGCTCCAGTTTCTGCTGGATCAGAAGCTGCTTGGCTTCCTGCAACTCGCCCAGCTCCTAAAACCCGACAAGCAGAGCTTTTATTCATTTTCCGACATGTTTGGATGCTAAATAAAGAGAATAAGTTACTTTAGGTCACAATATTAGAGGTTGTGCTGAACTGACCCACCTTCTCACTTTTCTCTGCCAGTGTTTTCAGCTCTGAACTTAGTTTAAGGTTGTTTTTTCCCAGCTCCTCCTTGGTTTTGCTCAGCTCCTCCGTCTTACTTCTTTCCTTCAGCAGTTCCTCTCTAACTTGCTCCTGCACAAGTTTTCACACTGAGTGAAAAAGGACTTAAATATAAGGTGTTAACGGTTGTTTAAACCGACCTCTTGCTTCTGCAGCCCCTTCAGACTTTGCTGTTGCTGCTGGAGCTCCTGATGTCGTTGGAGGAGTTCCTGCTCCAGTGCTGACCGGGCCTCCTTCAGCTCCTGAATCTGAGTCTCTAAACCCGTCTGATGGGTTCGGTTGGCAGCGAGCTCCTCCTGGGCCTCGCTCAGTTTCTCCTGTGAGGTCTGCAACAACAAAGCATTGCTTACTTTGACGTGTCAGAAGAACGCAGCATTGCAGGAAGGTCACATTTAGTCACATTACAACTCAGAACTTTAATGTAAAACAAAAAAAAAAGATGTAAAACCTTAAATGAAAGGAAAAATGTGTATTTTTCTTTTTTAGACAAACAAAAGTCAGATTCAGCCCCCCTTATTCTATCTGCACCAAATAAACCCACTTTAACATGTTGCCTTCAGTAGTCAAATAATGAGTAATATAATAATAATTCCAGCTGCTGTTTGAAGGCTTAGAGTCAAATACCCTGATGATTGTAGGTGGAATTAAAAAAAAAAACTAGAAGGGTTGAAGTGGAAGAAGAGTTTCTGATTCATGCTCTAGATAACGCAGTACCTTCAGGTCCTGACGCAGAGCCGACGCCTCGGACTCTTTGCCGTAGAAGTCAGACTGCAGCTTTGTGAGGTTTTCCTGGCTTTGCTCCAAAGCCTTTTGGAACTCCTTCGCCCGGCTCCTCTCAGAGGACAGATCCTGGCTGAGCTCTGATACCTGAGCCTTTAGTTTACTCTCCTCCTCCGCCTGGATATAAGAGTCAATGAGCATATTCTCCTTTTTCCCCCGTTCAGATCATTCTGAATCCAAGTTTAAAGCAGCCTCTCACCTTCTTGACACCTGCTTCCTGCAGCTGAGCCGCTTGGTCCTTCAGTTTCTTCAGCTCCTCCTCTAAGGAGCTCTGGACAGTTTTCAGCTGATCCTGCAGCCCATCCATCTGAGCCTCCTTTTCCTTCAGCGCCCCCTGAGTCTTCAAATGCTGCTGCTCTAATGATGCCAGCTGTGCTTTCAACGTTTGCTCCGCCTGACATTTAAAGAAACAAATCATGTAAGGAGTTGAACCTGAAGTAGAAAAGATTGATCGGCTGATTGGTATTTAGAGCCTTACCTCTTTCGTTCGCCCCAGCTGCTCCGTCGATTCATTCATTTTCTTTGTGATGGCCTCGTTCGTTTTTAGAAGCTCCTTTTTTGCCTTTTCGTGAGACTTTTCCTGAAGATTAAAACACAATATTTCTTTCATTCTCTTCCTGTTTTACATCAGTGGTTATTTATTGGATACAGGCTGAATTTCAAAGCCACCTTCTCCGCCATTGTTGATTTATGGTTCTTCCTCTCAGTCTCCAGCTGGTTTTGACACTCCTTCAGAGCCTTAATAGCCTTTTGAAGGTTCTCCTGAGTAGCTAAGAGCTCTTTCCTTTGCGCTTCTTTCTCCTGTTGGGTTTTCTGCAGCTCTGCAGTCAGACTCTGAGCCTTCCTGTCCAGTTCTGCTTGCTGAGTCTTTCCCTCCCGGGTCACCTTGTCCAAGTTCTCCCTCAGAGCAGCCATTTCCTGCTCGCAGCGCTCCAGCTGCTGCTGCACACCAGTCAGAGCAGCAGCTTTTTTCTGCACCTCCTCATGCAGATTCTTAGCTCTTAGTGAAGAAAACACATGTTCACCTTATTAAGAGCTGTTAAAGAACTAAGAAATCATTGGTTAAAATGCTTATCTCACCCTTCTTTCTCCGTTTCCAGCGAGCGTTGCAGCTCCTTTGCTTTCCGTTTAACCTCTGAACTCTCCTTCTGCAGCTTCTGCACCTCCTGCTGCAGCTGATCTTTCGCAGTCTGGACCTCCACCACCTGTGATTCCAGTTTCTGTTTAAACAAAGCAAAGCAGCTACATTTCAAAGCTTTATCTCCTTCAGCAAAATCTCTGATGACTGTGATCATGTTACAAACACAAACCTTAGTGAGCCCCTCCAGCTGCTCCACCCGCTGCTCTGAGGCCAGCAGTTTGTCCTTACATTCTTTCAGATTGGTTTCCAGCTGAGCGAACAGCTCCTGTCTCTCTCTGAGCTTCTGGTTCTGCTCCTCAACCTTCTTCTGAGCTTTTTGCAGTTCCTGCATCACATAACGATGGATTTAGAGGGAAGTTGAACAGAAACTGAGCAGAGAGAGATGTAAAACATTGCAGAAAACTCAGAAGGGAATGGTTTCAGACGAAAACGAACCTGCTGTTTGTCCTGCAGTGCATGCTGGGAAGCCTCCAGGCTGTTCTCCAGGTCGGCCTTCTGTGCAGCTTTGGAGGCCTCTGAAGACAGAAGCAACTCTGTTTTGGCCTTAAGCTTAAAGAGAACGATAAAAAGTTTTCATTCTGACAGCACGCTGCTTGAAGTTCTGATTGAAAAGTGAGGTTCTTACCTGCGCGTCCAGCTGGGAAACTTTCTCCTTGCTGTCGGTGAGCTGAGCGCTGAGCTCGCTGACTGACGTCTCCAGGGTGTGAGCTCGGTCCTGTGCTGAGCGCAGCTGAGTCTTCTGCTCTTGGACCTGTTTGTGAAGGTTATCCTGGGCCTGCTTGTTGCTCTCTGATTGGTTCTTCAGCTTGTCAGTCAACTGTGCGACCTTTGAAAGTCCCAGGTGAAAGAAAGAAACAAAAATGCAAGAAGTTCATTCTCTGGAGTTTCTAATCTGCAAACATGCAGATACATGTATAGATAGGTATAAAATGTTCTTAGATTTGGCAGCCTGCAGAGCTCCACCTGTTCATGCAGAGCATGGTTCTTCTCTTTGAGCTGGTTAAGCACAGCCGTCTCTCCCTCCCCAGCCTGGATCTTGGCACACAGGTCCTCCCTCTCAGCTTCCAGCTGGCTCACAATGTCTTTACTTTTCTGAAGTAGAGCCTCCAGGTTCTGGATCTTCTGGTCTTTATCTCCAATCTGACGCAGCACCTGCTCCAGGTCATTCTACAGAGAGCCAAAAGAGCAGCTTAGTGTCCAGAACTAAATCCAACTAAATCAGGCGAGTTAAATGGAAATTGAAGAAATGGAAAACTACAATACATTTGCTTCCACTTTATAACTACTTTAAGTTAGGTTACTAGATATTCAGTTTTTGTTATATCAAGAAAAAACTGGAAAAAGTGCAAGTGGTTGCTAATGCTTCTACAGGACATCATTTCAGATGAGGGGATGTAGAGGTGAGCTGTACCTGCGCCTCCCTCAGTTTGCCGTTGGTGTTCTGCTGCAGCGCCTGCAGCTCCTGCTGCTGCTGCTTGGCTTTCTCTAACTGGTGCTGTAGCTCCGAGTTCTTACTGGAGCTCTCCTTCAGCTGGAGGAAAACCCAGACGCATTTTTTGGTTATTGCCACCTTGATATGAAGTGAATTTGGATCTTATTCTGGTTCTACATTTATTAAAAGGTTCTAGTTTCCAGGCATTGGAAATGAGATGGAATCACTTTCAAATGATGTGATTAAAATGGTAAAAAGTTTGTGCAGATCCTGACCTGCTCTTCTGTGCGGGATAGTTTGAGCTGGAGGTCAGCTGCTTGCTGCTCTTTGTCCTTTAGTTTCTCTCCAGACAGCTGCCTCTGCTCCTTCAGACGACCCTGCAGCTCGCCCACCTGCCTCTCAGCCTCCAGCAGCTTGGTGTGCAGCTGCAGCAACACAGAAGTAAAAAGACAATTATAAATGGGGAGAAATACCTAAGGAAGCCCTTTTCTCAGACTAGAGATTCATTTACAACACATGAGATGTCATTGTTTCAACTTCCACAGACATAATTATCAGGCTTTTTTTCCATTATCAAAACTTTTCTCCACATTATTTTAATTTCAATCACAACTATGATGTTCAATCATAAATATCTACCTTTGATCATAATTCTGTAATTTTTTCCATAATTATAACTATTTTCTGGTTAATAAACTGGACTTTTTCTATCATCATTTCAATTTATCTTACATTTTCCCCTCATAATTTTGACTTTAATACGTCCTAGTTTTGACAGACCATGTGTCCTTTACTATTAAGGGGCAAAAAAAAAAAAAAATCTATTTTTACTGTGAGCTCAGCATTTGGGGTCAGCAATATTAGTTTAGCATTCAGAACCAAAACTCAAAGGATATCAGTGTTGCTATTTCTATGTGAGGGATGTAACCGGGACTTTTGACATCGTTTTACAGAAATTTAACTTTGAACAAAAGATCTACCGTACTCAGGCATTAGAGGCACATTTGTTATATTTTACAGGGGGAAAAAAATCCAGCATTTCCTCTCAGAAACTTCCCTTAGAGTTTGCTGAGCATTTTTAGCTCTTAATCAGTATGGAGTTAGCTTTACGAAGGCCTATAGAGGTTAATTTGGTCTTTCCATCATTTCTGCTTTTAACTGTCTAAGGCACATTTCTTCATAAAGAATGTTAACCGAATGTTTGAAGTTTGTGTTTATGCTCTGAATTCCTCCCTCAGCTCATCCTGCATGCGGCTAACTGAAAGCAAAATACTGACTATGTGGAGATAACCTGATTTTATGGTTTTAAAATACTCATATTTGGGAGCTATTTGCTGTTACTGTTAATTTTTTCACTGTGACATAAAAAAATAAAGGAACAAATCCTGCCTGTAGAGGATTAAAAGTGACCTCAGTTATAAACGCAGTGCAAAATGGAGGGATTTTGAATCAAGGTTTTCTTTTCACTCAGTTAAACTATTATAATACAGTATGTGAATGAAAACAGATGTTTTGTCGTTTAGCCACTGTAGATGAGGTTAGTGAGAGGAAAGAAACATGAGAAACGGCTAGGCAGTGCAGGAATTCATTTACTAGTTCATTAATGATGTTTTGTTTTTTCTGTTTATTTCATGACAGATTAGGGGAAAATTAAAAAAAATAGTTCAAGCTGGAGTCATAAATGTAATTCAAAACATGGATGAGTACGAAAAGTTAATCCAGTTAATCCTTGCAGTGGAGCTCAGAACAGAATCTTAATCCATTAGTGCTATACTCCCCATATTTCACAGGGAAACCTTCCTTTTTTTTTCCTTTGGAGGTTTAATCTGAATAAACGCAGCTGATAATCTCACCTGACTGATCTCCGTCTGCTGCTGGGCACCTTGGCTTTCTTTTTCCTCCCTTTGATGTTCAAGCTGCTTCCTCTCCACCTTCAGCTCTGCGTGCTTCACCTCCAGCTCTGCCAGCTCAGCCTTCAGCTTGGACACCTCCTCCGCCCTCTCCGCCAGCTCGGTCTGGGCCTTGTGAAGGGACGTTTCGGCCCCCGAGGCTCTAGCCTGCAGCTCCTGCACCTCTGACTCCTTCTCCCTCAGGCTGTCCTGTACTCCCTTCTTGGCAGCTTTCTCTGCTCCCAGGTGCTCCTCTAGCTCCTGGTGCTCCTTCTCCTTACGCACAAGCTTTTCAGAGAGGCTCTGGGAGAAGAAAGACAGAACGCACAGTAAAATAACAAGACCTTGAGCTGAGTTTGTTGATTCAGATTTGTTCTATGTTTTTTTATGATGTTCCCAACAGAGCACTTCACTCTCAATCTGCAGGTTTACTAGTGGTTCCTAGAATTTCTAAAAATAGCATGGGAGGCAGATCTTTTAGTTATCAGGCTCCTCTCCTGTGGAACCAACTACCAGTTTTAGTCCGTGAGGCAGACACCCTGTCTACTTTTAAGGCTAGGCTTAAAACTGTCCTTTTTGATAAAGCTTATAGTTAGAGTGGCTCATGTTATAGTTATGCTGCTATAGGCTTAGACTGCTGGAGGACATAGGGACCACTTTTCATTATTCTGCTTAATTCCATCTTTATTCTCCCATTCCACAGAATTTGTTAGTTCAATCTGTAACATTACGCTGTCTCTGCTTTTTCCTCATCAAAGTAGCTTCATCTGGTCTGTTCCTGCTTGGGTGTGACAGCATCCTGGACAGAAATATCAGCTGTGCTGCTGCCATCAACACCTTTGTTTATAAATGTTGGCCTATTTTTCAGTGAAGTCCTGTTTCTCTGACCGTGACTAACTGTATGGAACTGAGCCCTGTTCTGCTGGAAGTTTCTTAATGTTAAAAGCCAGTTTTTCCTCTCTAGTGTCGCTACAAGCATGTTTGGTGTGACGGATTGCCTTCGAGTCAATGAGTCGATGCAATCAGTTGGTTTTCCTTATATAGAAAAAACTTATACCCGGTATGTAAACTGAATTGAATTGAAAACTGAATTGAATTATATTAAGATAATCAGGTGTCAAACTTTATCTTTAAAATACAAGGTTCATTATCTCATATTTAGAAAACAGGATGTTCTCACTTGTTTTGCCATGTTAGCAGTGTTAGCCACCTAAGATAACATCACCTAATGACTTTAAGCTTTTTTCTTGTGACTATACTTCAGGAATTTAAGTCTTATAAACTAATCTTAAAGGTTGTTTATTGCAATAAAAGCTTCATTATCTCATTAGTTTAATAAAAATCACAAACTATTTTTATGCAGTTTCATCCTCATATCTTTTAACAACAACTTTATTGTCATGTTATTGTCAAGTGAGACTTTTAAGCTTTTTTTGCTGTCAAAACAGTTTGATTATCAGATACTTTGGACATATCAGAGCTCAGCTTATTCTAGTTTTTCTTTCGAAGAATGAAACAAAGAGAAGAATCCCAAATATTTACAAATACAAATATTTGATATCGGAGTCAATAATAGAAAAAAAAAAAAAAAACACAAATAGCTGCTGGCGATAAGGTAGGCGGCTAACCTTGTATTTGTAACAGGACACATGTATAACAAACACACTAAACAGCTTTCTTTGGTGTCTCCTCTTTCTAATCTTGGAGTTACAGACCAATACGCTCACCTGTCCTCCTACGTCCACAAAGAATAAAGCAATCTACTAATTATCAGAACAAAAAGGGGCATCAGACTGGAGATCCTCTGGCATCTGTAAACAAACTCAACTTATTCCTCCTTGGGGGTGCCACATCCGAGCCCGCTGAGAGAAATTTTAATCTCTGCACTGCATTCCTTTCCTTCCATTGCACTGATCACATAACCTGGCTGTTATTACATTTAAAAGCTGACTGAGGAGGCAGCAAACACTCCTCCCCTGGTTTATTAATAGTGCTTAACATCATAAATGTCAGTAAATGTCTGTAGTTAAGATGGATATTAAATCACACACACATTTCTCACTGTGAAGACACGTTTTTGGCTGCAGCTATTCCTTAAGGAAGACCTTTAATGGTTGTTTCAGTAAAGATTACCTGACATTGTTGCTGTAAATTATTGAGGTTGCCCTGCAGCTCGTGGATCTGTTGTGTGTAGACAGCGGCTTCCTGTGGACCCTTCTCCAGCTCGGCTTTTAGTTGGGATATGGTCATCTGCAAATCAGAGGATGATTGTTAAGAGTCTTGCTTAGTGTGTCCGTTAAAGTGTGTATTTAATGAACTCTATAGGGAGGAGATGGTTAAACGGTAACATACAAGACAATAAAAAAAAAACAAATGGTCTGCAGTGAAAAAAAAAATAAAAATAATACTGTTTGACAAGACTTGGACAAGAAACCAAATTCCTGAAGGTAAAACGAATTAAGTGAGCAGCTTGAAATGACAGCGTTTACCTCCAGTTTTTGAATCTTGTGTGTCGGACGGACATGGTGAGTGAGAGGCAAAGGAGAAGGGAAGGAAAGGAGACACGAGGAAAGGAGGTAAGTCAGGAAACAACAACAAGGTTCGATCTGCAGCTTAGAGACACGACTTTTAGGAGAACAAACAGCTTCTGAACTGGCGGGGATTATGAGGAATTTGACACAGAAGGAGGTTTGGCGAGTTTACTTTGTCTTGTTGATTAATGAATACAAAACATAACTTAGCCTCAGCATTAAGCCAGTGTTTTAATAAACACCATTTAGCATTTTCACATCATGCAACATTTTAAGCTTGTAAATAGTTAGCACGGCTCTTCTCATATGCTTAACATCTTGATTAAAAGGCTGTTTAACAGTGTTCATCTGAACCACCGGTGGAACCATGATAAACCTCGGCGGTTCTTTGATGACAAAGCTTAGACTTAGTGCTAATGCATACAGGACCACTGTCCTATCAAAGTTTGAAACAGTTTCTAGCTGTTGATCTAAGATTACGTTGGGAAAAAAAAATATAAAAATCACCGGCAGTCTTATATTTTAGTTATTTTTTCTAAATTCTAGCAGGATCAGACTGCTGGCAGCTAAGCAACCCCACAGAATGACAAACACTACCATGTTTATTTAGTGTTAAAGTATTCTTAGGTCATTAATAACACAGTTAAAAACTGGTATAAGTATACAGTGGGTACGGAAAGTATTCAGACCCCTTTTCATTTTGTTTCATTGCAGCCATTTGCTAAAACCGATTATTTCTCATTAATGTAAACTCAGCACCCCATTTTGACAGAAAAAAAAAAACAACAAATGTGGACATTTTTGCAAATTCAAATTAAAAATAGAACACTGAAATATCAAATTGTCATAAGTATTCAGACCCTTTAGTCAATTTTGAGTAGAAGCATCCTTTGCAACTTGTTGCATCATTCCCAGGAAGACTCATGGCTGTACTACCTCAAAAGGATGCTTCTACTCAATACCAAGCAAAGGGTCTGAATACTTATGACCATTTGATATTTCAGTGTTTCGATTTTCAGAAATTTGCAAAAATTTTGATATTTCTGTTTTTTTCTGTCAAGATGGGGTGCCGAGTGTACAATAATGAGAGATAAAATTTACTTCATTGATTTTTGCAAGTAGCTGCAATGAAACAAACAGTGAAAGCTTTATACGGGTCGGAATACTTCCCATACCCACTGTATATAGAGTAGGCTATCATTATGCTCTTTGCATAACCTCAACCTCATGCTTATAGAAAATGTGTTAGATGCATTTAAAAAACAAGTTACTGGCAAGAAATCTCCTCACTTTGATTAACTCTACAAATTAAACTTAGACAGATTCAATATCCAGCTATAAGTATGAAAGAACCCTTTTGAAGGCATTTAGGATGATGATGGGTATACATAGAGCAGGAGAGGATGGTTTTCTTTGTTCATCATCAAGCTTTGCGCTTTGGTTAGAGATCTCTCTGTTCCAGCTGCCCTACCGGGCTTAAAATGCAGCTGCTAACCTCACTGCAATGTTAATCATCACACAGAGACGCTTCAGTGCAGAAAAATAGGAGTGATATTTTACAGAAAATAAAGGTTTCAAACCTAAAGCTACTCTAGAAAATCTCCTCTCATCCAGAATGCAGGGAAATCTGCATAACTTATTTTCACCAGGCAATAATTAAAAGTTGCAATCAAAATGAGGAGCAGGAAAAAAGTGTTCTAGCCTCCAAACCTCTGAGGTAGTGTAGTTGGACTGCAGCTCCATGTAGTGATTTTTAAGGCGCTCGGACTCCTCCTCCCTCTCACGGGTCATACGGTCCATGAGCGTCTGCACCTGTACCAGCTCCTTCTGCAGAACCTCCACGTCCTCCACTCCCGGCCGCTGCAGCTAGGGGGCAGAGCAGCAAGACAGACAGATAAAGCAGGGACGCCTGCCACTGGGCTGAAAAGGAGAAACTTTGCTGTGTTTACCAGTTCTGTTTGAAGTCTCTCATTCTCCTGCTTCTCCTTCTGCAGCTGTTCGTTCAAACTGGAAATCCTCTGATCAGCAGCCTCCCTCAGACTTCTCTCCTCATCATAACGGGACTTCAGGTCTGACAGAGTCGGTTTTAAAAATAACAACAATCATTTTACCCAAAACGATTCATGCAAAACCTTTAAAATAGCAGCAAAACAATCAAACGTGTGAATTAAACACAAAGGAAGCTTTGAGGTTGGCAGCGGTGGAGCAAAACAGAACTTCAGTTTGTTAAACCAGCCCCAGACCGCGACCTCTTCGTCTCCCAGTCCCACACTGACCTACTATCTCTGTGGCCAGCTGCGCAGCCTTCTGCTCAAACAGGTCTTTCATCTGCTTAATGTTGAACTTTTCTGTCTCAGCTTCCACCAGCTTCCTTTCAAGAGCTGAGGAAGAAAAAGAGCCCAGAATGTTAGCAGCAAACCATTCATGCTCCATCTCAACGTGTTCTTTCAATGCAGCGCTTCCCCACCTGAATCCTCTGCTCCCATCTGTCCGTCTGTCTGTGTAGCAGAGAGGAAAAGAAGAGCATCTTTATTGTGAACACTGTTTTATATTCAATGAGCCTGTGTGTTACTGAAATAAATGTTAATATCTCAAAGGATTTACTTGCTTCAGGTGTCCTTGTACTTTGTCTAACTCTTTCTTTAGTTCTCCAGAGAACCATCGCTCCTCCTGGTTAAAGACAAAAAAAGGATCTTGTTCCAAATATTTTTCCACAGATCTAATCCGATTCTCAATGTTTGGAAGCTTGAACGCACCTTAAGAGAAGCGTGGAGGTCCTGGACCTCCTGCCGCAACATTGTTAGGTCTTCACTGAAAAGGAAGAAAGAGTTTAATCAGAACTCTTAGGCAGGATCCGAAATTAACTTTTTGACTCACCGGCCAAGTGAACCAGAAGACAAAATGATTTACGTGCCAAAAAAAAAATCCTCTCATATATTTTTAAGGAACATTATATGTTAAAAGCAAATAGAGTTACAGTAAAAGGTAGTTTTATTGAATAAAGTTCAATTTCATGTGAAAAAGTGCAAAATACTTTATCTGATAAGGTGTACATAAATAAAACCATTAAAAAAAGAAGACTATTTTCAATTGTTATATTTTCCATAAATAAAGGTTTAGCCTTTTTTCCAGTGGACCGTGCAAAATATTTTCATCTTTTTGTGTTGTGACAGCCATCAGCTCACTCACAGCTGCTGTAGCATGGCTTGTTTTGACTGAGCCTGAGACATGAACATCCAGTGAATGGCATTTACTGTGTTTATGTTCAGTTTCATAGACCAGCGTTTCCCAACCTTTTAATTTGAGCATTTTTATTATTTTATGTTTTCCATCTTAAATGAAAAAAAACAACATATGTTGCCTAACCAACCTATCCTAGTTGGCTTTTCAAACACTCTTCTTTGGTTCATCTATCTTTCAAACAACTTCCAGTCTATCCAGTTTGGTTCATTTTCTTCCAAATGCTCCCGTTTCATCAGGTGTACCCCAAGGATCAGTACTCGGCCGTCTTTTATTTAGCATATATATTTGCTCACATTTTCAGAAAACACAACATAAACCTCCATCGTTATGCTGATGATACTCAACTCTACAGCTCTATGCCTAATTTTATTGCTTGTTTTCATCCAGCCATTTGAGATGGCTCGGGCATCTGGTTAGGATGCCTCCTGGATGCCTCCCAGGTGAGGTGTTCCAACCACCGGGAGGAGACCCAGGGAGAGACCCAGGGCACGCTGGAGGGACTATGTTTCTCGGCAGACGTGGGAACACCTTGGGATTCCCCTGGAGGATCTGCCCAAGTGGCTGGGGAGGGTTACGGCTGGGCCTCCTTAATTAAGCTGCTCCCCCGTGACCCGACCCCGGATAAGCGAAAGAAGATTAATTTTATTTCTCTCTTTGTACAATAAACTTGTGTTTCTTGAACGGCGCCGTGGAATAAGGTGAGATATTAGTATTTATTATCACTGCATGTTAGTTTATCAAATAAAACCCTCCCTCCCCCAAAAATACATCCTAGCTAGTGGAAAAGATCAAGAGGTAGGACATTTTGCTCTTGGCGTAAATATTAAGAGTCAGTCTCACCGGGTGGGCGCCACGTGAGCAGGCAGGTCTCCCGTGTCATGGAACAGCTCATAGTGCTTGAAGAGCTCGTCCGCAGAGTTGTGAGACTTCATGCACTGAGGACAGATGAAGCCCTGGACGGACAAACACATCATCAGAAGCTACAAAACTCGCATCAGGACTGATCAGAGCATCTCGGCCTCCATCGTTAAGTCAGGAAAAGGTTACCTCTGAAGTCTGGTCGTGGTTGAGGTCGGTGCTGGGCTTCTCTGACTCTGCATTCTGGGAGCCTCCTTTCCCAGGAGTCTGCAGACGACAAAATACACTTTGACTGGTCTGAATAAATAGAAAGTCTATTTGTTCAATCAACCGACTGATGCAGAGGAGTGCAACTTCAAGCAACTGTCCATATGCATTATTGGCATTCAGAAGGTGAATGCCTGTAGCTTTAAATAATGTGTGTATTATTAGTAGTATTTTTTGTATTGCAGAGAGTCTACTTAAAATGACAGTTAGTTCCAAATAAGACCACAGAAGCCATTTATGTAGGTATTTATTTGGATTTCTGCATGATTGTCTGAGAACTTTTCAAATAGAATCCATACATTATTCTGGGTATGAAACAGGAGGGACAGGACCAGATGACCATGGAATAATTGCATAAAATTCCCCCCCGCAAAAAAAGAAAGCAATAGTAACATTTTGAGATCTATTTTTCTTCTAAGAAGTTTGAAATGTGCTGCTTTTTTAAACATAAAATGAATCATCTACCTTGTTGCAAAAGTTGTCTTTATTTAAAGAGCTGATAATCGAAATAAAATACAGCAACTCTTTTAAAATGACAGCCAACTTGATGCAGAAATGCATCCAAAAAAAAAAATTCTTTTTTTTTAAATGTCATGAAATATTTGTGGTTCTACACAATTTTAATTGACCCTATTTGGACTGTAAAGAATCCAGGATCTTCACACCCAAGACTTACTGCTTTGCTTGACTTTCTAGATTCTTACTTGAAAATGTCATCAAGTCAAAAGTTCCAGGAATTATATTGAAATAGATAAAAAGTGCCCTTATTATCACGATTCTGCAGCAGTGAGTTACTGAGGCTTGTTTTGTTTTTTCCCTCCTTTAAATTACTTTAAAACAAAGAACATGTGATGAAATCTCTGAGACAGGACGATGCTCTGAGGATGTAAAAAAGCAGCAGCAGCACTTTTAGGTCAAACCACAAATTCTAGACTCAGCTAGAAGATAATCATTTCCAACTCCACAAACAACTACATTTTTGTTTTCAAGTCATTTCTGAGCATGCCGTGGATCTTTTTGGTCGAGCTATATTTTTCTTCCAGGTTTTATAAACAATATTCCACTATGAGAGAGCTAGCATTGCAGTGCATTGCATCACTCCCACTTAGCGAGCCTCCCCTGGAGCTGTTTAGATTACCTCTGGCCCCGGTCCCCTCCTCAAATGTTCTCTGCCTTAGAGCGGTTAAACTAAACCAACTCTTCAAATATCTTCTGCTCATTAGGAGGCATTTTAGCCTTTCATGATGTGTAATTTACTTTCCTCCAAATCGGAGATGTCACAATAAGCTTTTATCCTCAAGGTCTTTTTAGTTTATCTTCATTCAGATTTATTTTTTCCCAATCGAAAAAAGGTTAATGATTAAAAAGGAAGTGTTGTGACATAAATGAATGAAGTCTCAGTCAGGGTTGGTGGGATTCTGTCCTGTGTGTGCATGCTGGAGAGAGTTGCTGCAGAGCGGGCTAAAGAAGCAATAAACAAATTGTCTGAAAGCAGACCGAAGGTTTGCGTCATGGAACAACCTTTGATCCAAATCAAACAAGCATATGCCCACACTACTACATCTTCGGCATATTTGAAGCAATACTGATCAAATATTTGTATTTTTTATGACTTTTTTTATTGGATTTATCCTGTAGAGATTTGTTGATTTCAACTTAAAATGACGTCAAATTCTAAAACATGCAGAAATATAATTCACTAGTGCTGAAAGGAGTGAGTAAAGCTGGAGAGCGGTGAGATGACAGACTAATAAAACTCATAATATTTCCTTATTGAAGAGTTAGGTTTATTAAGGAGGGTTTAGGATAGCAACAAATGAGCTTAACATTAACAGACACAACAGGTTAGTGTCTTTGAAAAACTGTAAGAAAAGGTAAAAAGATAGAGAAGACACCATTACTCAAAGCGCAACAAGACACTTAAATGTTACTGTATGTCCACATGCCTGCTTATCAATAACGTCACGTAACGACCACATCTTCTGAGTTTTTAGTTGAGATAGTCTGTGACAGACGAACAAAATAGCAGAATTATGAATTTGATAAAAAATTGGATCGTTTTCCCACAGTGGCCCTTTACTGTGATACTGCTATATAAAAGTCTAAAACAGTCACTTTTAGGTGGAATTGAAATTCAATATAAATCCAGTGGTGTTGTGAAGGCCTCATGTTTGCTTTGTTGGAGAATAATGGAGATCTAACATGCTTTCAGAATTGCCCGTTATCCTTATTCATTCACCTTCCAATCCTCTCTCTGACCAAAGTTCTGCCACACCAGTATAATGCCGTCAGAACCATGTTTCACAATGGGAATAGTGGAATTTAAAGTGTTACTTTTATGTTATGCATATGGTTCTATTTCCGGGTGGATGATCTAAATAAGTGGTCCTCCTTATCGTCAATTATTCTGGGGATATGTTTACGTAAGGCCATCCTACATGCTCGCCCAGTTAACCATCTTTTTCTGCACATGTGCACTTTCAGGCGTCTATCTGTGGCAAGCTACGGTTTCAGACAGTCATTAAAGTTTACATTTCTCACCACGGTTTCTTTGAAAATGGCCGATGGTCCTAAGAGAAGAGTCTCTAAGTGTCTACGAAGTGAATGAGAAGAAAAGAAAGGCCTCGGAAGAGGCAGATATATCCCAGAATGCTGTGCATGCAGAGCTCTCCTCACTAAGCATTCTGGGACTTGCTGTCAAAGCGGCCCACTGTCGACATAAGCTGTCGCTACCCAACAGCGTCGAATAATAACAAAGATTGTGCAGGCACCGTGCAGTCGAGGAGGAGTTACATGACCAGGCAGTGATCATTTGTCTAAATGGTCAGTTAAATGAGTTTGCTATAACGTCCACTATATAGTCCCCGCTGTATGTGGACACAGTAAGCTTATATGAGCTATGAGAACAGCACATTTTAAACAGGGCTTGCACAAAGAGAAATGGGATCATGCATGCTCTTGCACATGCATTTTACTTTATTTTTTTAATCCTCCACAATAACTTCAATGGTTTCCTTTCTATTAAGTGTTGCTCTTGCCTCCCTACTATAATGAATCATCTTTCCATGCAGACCATTTTAACTTGTGCAAAAACCTTATCAACAAGCTGTTTGCAGATTGACAGAATCCCTGTGCTACTATTAGGAGCAGAAAATAAGACAATCTGCATGTTTACTTTAAATGCAAACCAAGTGTATAAGTGCACTGGATATTTATTAGTTGCAAAATAAGTCACATAAGACAGCAAAATAAAAGTCAAAACAAATTTTTCATGAAAATTAGGTTTTTAGGTAAATTGTTTCTATATTATTTACTTTATAATACCGTCAGTTTGAAGCAATGACAGAGTAGGACGTCTGTGAGAATAATCTTTATCAAAAAATATTTTTTAGACATTCTAGAATTTTTCTTCATGACTCAAACCGTTTATTCAATCAAATTATAAATCCTGGTCTGACCTGTTGAACGAATGCATTAGAATCGGGACTCATGGTGCATTCACAGCTAGAAATGTTTAAATATTGTTTATGCACATGTTTCTATGACAGGTGTCCCCTTAACTGTATTATAATGTTATGAAGTTTTTGCTGAACTGTGTATGGGAGTGAGTCATGTGGCCCAAATATACGTTGCGGTTTGCACGGAATTATGGGTAATGTGGTCCAACGAGTAAAGCTTATTTAGCTCAATGTATTGCGTTAGTACGACAGGTTACTTCAATGACATGCATAAACACTGTTTATCTATACAATTACTGAAACAACTAGAAGCCCAGTTAACTAAAACAGCCGTTTATATAGTACCCTGAGCATGTCTTCAATGCCTGTAGCTAACGATAGCGTTAGCATCTGATGAATTGACCCACACACAACTAACGATTAGCATAAGCAGTGTCTGTTTATTTTCTTCAGCTCACTAATGTATACTTTCCGAAACATAAATTTGATAATCTGCATTCCATTTGAAAATACAATTTCCCCTCCCAAAGGAATAATAATGTAACTAAAACATGTTAGCAACCGCTATAAGCTAGCTGTGTCATCCAAATGCAAGGTGCGTTTGATATTAACACACAAACATAACGAAGGAGCGGGACGTTTCCGGAGGATAAATACACGGGCTACAAGCACACAAGCTCCGTTTTCTAGCGATACAATATTTAAAGAAACACGCGCACCCACGAAGAAACCAGACACAGATGGGCCTGGAAAACGCAACTGTTTGCCCAAAACAAAAGCGATCCCGAATAATTAACGCCACAAAAGCTCACCATTTGTAGTATCCTTCTGAACATGACCTGTGGTGGGTTTGTCCCGACAAAGACGATGCTTAATGTATCAAAATGCAAAGTTTACGGTGTGGGAACAGCCAACACCTGACCAGGCTGTGGGAGAAGCGGCGGATGGGCGGGTCGTTGGTGGGCTGGCGTCTGGATCAATGTGGCTGCTCGCTGTGAACACAGAGCTGTCATCTTCTGCTTTAATAAAAAGACTATGCACCATTAATCATCTTTTCTGTTTCATAATCAACGTACAAGATTCATTACAGTCATACATGTTTTTTTTAATAATCTAAAATATACAGTATAGCAGCTGGTGGCAGTAGGTTAACCTCTTTTTAAGGAAATCTGAACAAAACAATTCCTGTGCAAGTTTCTAACCCATTATGTGTATAAATTAGAGTGACATCAGGGCTAGTCCAAGGTTTTCTAAGCCTTTGGAGGGGGTGGCACTCAATAAAGCCCACCAGAAATGTGTTGCATTACATTAGTACTCATCTTTTCCTGGTTTTTCCAACTTCAGCGTTGTACGATTGAATGTAACTCGTAAAAGCAAAACAGTTTGAGTAATATATATAGGTGTTACGGGTCTATAAAAGATGTTAGGAAAAGTGTTCTAATTGCACATCATCATTCTGTTCTAGGCTGTGCTCTGGACTCTCTGGAGGAAATGGCTGATGGGAGGGTGATGTCCAAGCTTACATCCATCATGGACAACACCTTCCACCCTCTGCACCAGACTGTAGAGGAGCTGATCAGCTCCTTTATTGAAAGACTTGTACACCCTGTTTGTAAAAAGAAGTGCTACCGCAGGTCATTTATCTCTGCTGCAACCAGACTCTACAATGCCACACTACAACGGCAATAACTTGTGCAACGTATAATGTGCAATTACTATTTAATGCCCCATGCAATAACCTTTTTTATATTTGATACCCAGTGCATATAAATATAAATATCCATCTATATAAATACCCATGTAAATGCCCTCGGCAATAATTCAGCTACATATATATATATATAAAAAAAGAATCTTTAGCTGTCATATACTGTATATACCTCCATGTGCCTTTTTCTTCTCGTTTTGACCATTTGAGCTGATGTAACGACTACATTTCTCCACTGTGAGATCAATAAAATCAATCATCTAAGACATACACAGGGCCTTCGGTTGTGATGTATCGAGCCTATAAATGGGAACCTGTGGACATTCACAAATAGGGTCATTTATTCAATCCATTTCATGTCCATCTGGGCCCTATATGAATATATTGGCAATTGAAAGTTGTAGAAATACATTTACTATTTGTGCTTCTGATCTTTTGTATCTTACAAGACCAGTGTACCCTATTTTTGCGGTTCAAGAGTGATATAGATTTCCAGTAATGACTGATCACACTGCATCACTGCAGACAAGGGACAGTAAAAGAGGCACAAGTTGTTTTGTTCCAAGGAGTCATGGGAAAAAAAGGTCAATTATTGATCCTTTTAACGTGTGCAATAAGTGTCCAAGTATTAGTAAATCTTATATTATCAGGAAAATATGATTGACGCTCTGTTAATATGTTTTAATGGATATATACACATCAAATCCCATCTTGTACTAATACAAGTTCTCCTGTGACCCCCAGATAGCCCTTATACTGTAGCCCTTATACATAGGGGCACCTAAGAGTTCCATTTCAAATTATTCATTAAAGTACACACTATTATTTTAGCTGTCTTATAGATATAACCTCCACAAAACCTTGTTTCATGATGATTAACATTTTTTTTATTTATGTTAAGGCACTTTAAAATAATTATAACACTTTGACACCCATTTGTTGTAGTTCAAGGCTTCCTCACACATGATACTCTTGAATGTCACATTTTTTAAATACTGCTAATAGATCACTGTTAGGAAATGTTATTTCTCAGTAACATCTGAATGCCTTTGACATGCTGGGTATGTATTTGAAGAGTTGCTTCTTCTTGTACGGTTTTTGTTCTACTGCAACTACAATTGCTCACACCTCCACAAAAGGTGTTTAAAAAGCTTTTAAAAAAGGCTTTTTTTCTGCTGAAGTTATGTAATTTCTTTCAAAATGTAATAAAATCGAGCCTTTTCATTTTAGTGCGTTCACTGAAAGAAATAATGCAGCCGTTTTTGGCATTCACTTAATCATATTTAATTACTTTAACACAATTGCCTCATGTTAGCAGGATAGGACATAAAAAAAATGTGTTAAAGTAACTAAATATGATTAAGTAATTGCCAAATGTGTTTGCATTATTTCTTTAAGAGGACTTGGGGAAATCTGATATTAAGTTATAGTTGCTTTTAAGAAAACTCCAGTACCAAACATTTTGACAGTCATAACACTTCCTATACAATGAGTATTGCTGGAGCTTTTTCTGAAATGTATGCTTTACTTTTTAAGTTGATCAGAATAACCAAGATTTCAGTTACTCAACGTTCTGATTTCAAAAGAAATAAATGTACTTTATGGCAGTATAGCCGCCATTTCTCTTGGCCACTCTTCACAAAAAAAGGAAAAATAAACATGAGATTCTCTTATGTTATGTACCGTACATGTTGATTTCCAGTTACAAGAAAACAGCTCATCACTAAAACCTGTTGATATGAACAGTCAGAGCATTGTTTACAAAGTTTTAAGCAACTGGAGATGTACCAAACAAGACAGGGAAAAGATAACCGTTTATTTTGCCATCAGAATTGTAAGGCAGAGACACACATGTCTAAAGCTCACTGCTACAGAACTGCAATAAGAGAGGCATCTCAGTGTCACCAAAGCTTTCATGATCATTTCATGCTCTATACATGGCAAGTGGGAGATTAGGAAGCGTGCCATAAAAAAAATCTTAAAAATCCTTTTCTGTCTTATCATTACACATGTAAACATGAAGAGGTTGCCATGTGCTACGGGGACTTTAATCTGAACCGTAGGCTTCAGTCAGATGATAAAATTAATTTTTTTAGCCACAAAGAATCTGTGGGTTTGCTGTGAGGCAAATGGCTATGCATAGTGGAGGATCAGTGATGCCATGGGTCTCTGAGTTACACTTTTTTTAAATCTTCAAATACTAGATTTTTAGGTTTTTTTTGTTGCTTTATTATAGTGCAACTATATAAGATGTTTCTAATCTAAGGGTTTTCACTCATCTTTATCAAATATTCATCTTATTTATGAGAACATTATGAATACACATACAAAATAATATCTTAGTGTTGATTAAGGCAAGCTCCCAGGTTTAAAGTGTCAAAAATCCTGCTTGTTGGAATTATGCATTCACTTAGGATTACAAAAAGGAAACTTTAAACCAAGTTCTCAAAATATGAAAACTGTTTTATGAGGAAACATACAGAAGATTTCTCAAAACCATTCACACACTTGCGGCTACTTCCACTTTAAAAAACTCTTGCAACAGGAAATTATCTGACAATGAGTCAGTATGGGAACAGGGCTTCCTCTTATGGCAAACATTTCCCAGTTTCGGCTTTCTGGAAACTGAAGGAGAGAAACAGTGAGAAAATGTAACACCACGGTTACAAATGCACCACGTAAGACCCTGCTAAGAACTTTACAATCACAGTTCCAAGAAAATGCATCAAAAGTTGCACCATATAATGACACCTATTAGCTCTGCTGACTTATAATTTTCAACTAAATAATTAAGAAAAGAGTAAAAACACCTAGAAAGCATTTTCACTCTCTCTTAAGGGCAGCTTTAAAAAAAAAAAAAAAAATTCAGCAAATTTTTTTGTACAAGAGAAAAAATTGCTTTTATAAAGCAACCGATGCTCCAGTGTAGTCCATCAGTGTCCTCTGGAGGAACTCTTAGCTGTAGGTCCTATCTGTTAAAGAGATCCGAATCCTGCGTTGAGCAAACAACATAGTGAGGTGCCTTGCTCTCCATCGCTCGGGGCCCGCACACAGGCACGTAGGGGGGGCTGCAGGTGTCTGCCAGTCTGCGGAGGTACTCTGCATGGACAGGCTTGTGGCCTTGCAGCACCCTGATGGCGTCCTCCACTTTGAACCACTTCCTCTTCCTACCTGCGTAAACATTCCAGAAACGAGGAATAATGTGACCGTGGAATGTGGATTACATAAAAGAAATATCCCCCTAGTTATTTTAAAGGTGTTTGATATTTGAAATGTATCTCTCCTATAGGGATAGAGTATCACATAACAAACATTTCCAACTGGTCTGTTGAAGATGCCTGTAATGGTTTACTTCATTCACCCACAGAAATAGGTTCAGCCTGTTAACGGGGAGAAAGGGGGGCAGGAATGTTTGCTGTGGCCAGTTGTTTTCCAGTTATCACTCATCGCAGCCAACTCTATTCTCCTGCATGAGAACTGTAACCAAAGCAAAAAGAGTTTAGCTGCTCTAACGTTTCCTTTCTGCAGGTGGTGAACTTCACTTCAAGGTGCAGACATGTGGAGCATTGTAAATCCATCCCTTCTATGCCATTCCTTGATTCTAACTGCTTGCATGGATGCTTTAAAAGTTTCATAACTTCTAGTATATTTTTAGGAAAATGACTGAAGCATATTTCGGTTACAGCTTTTAGAGCTCAGGGATGTGCGGTGATTATAAAAGCAGTGAATGTAAACAGAAAGTATTGTGTGGAAGAAAATAAACACAAAGGTCCTTTAATTGTATTTGAAGCAAAGGGTGGAGAGACCTAAATTACAGTGTGCGGAGTGGAGAAAATGGCTCACTTTTAGTTGGTCAAGAGAGCAACAGTCTGTCAAAATCTAACAAAAGTAAAAGCTTCTAACATAAAATGGTAAACCAAATTAAATTATGCATTCTTAACTTTTAGTGCTCATCTTCCGTTTGTTATTATTACTCTACATATTGGAATTAAAGCGGTAAAAGTAACTCCTTTTAGCAGTAATTTACCATCTTATTGTTTCCTAAACCTTATAATCTCCTGACCATCCAGGCCTAAATGTTTACCAAGGTATAAACAGTTTATGGCTGCCTCCAATTGGTTAGATTATTCCATGCCAAATTACTGAAAAAATAAATAAACTTTAGTCAAGAAATCACCCCCAAACAATCCATTATGCTGAGGTGAGTAAATTGTCACTACATATAGGGCATCTGCATAGAATAGGATGAGATTAAATAGCCTTATCACTAATTGCTTAAACATTTGCATATTGATTTTTTTAATTATGTTGTCAAAGTTTCAGATTTTTTTATCAGTGTGAGTAACATAATCTGGTAGTTGTCCCTGTTCCATGTATTCTGTGTGGTTAGGGCTGAGTCTTTACACCGACAGCAGCTTGAGTCTGTTTTATCTTTTATCGTAAATTAAAATAATAAGACGAAGGGAATGATAGATCTCAGATTATATATAAAAAAAATATAATGTGGTCAGTCTGAATTTCATGGGTAGAATCAGTCTTCTTCCCGTTAATACTTTTTATTATCATTATTGATTAATACAAATCAAATTATCTCTTGTTTCACGTTATTCTCTTTGATAGGAAGTTGCATTAAAATGAGAAGGTTGAAAGGTTGAAGGTTGCAAGTACCTGGTTGGATCTGCATTCTAGATCTCTGAGCAAGACCCTTAATCCCAAACTGCTCCCTGGGCGCTGCACAATGGCAGCCCACTGTTTCACAAGGGGATGAGTTCAATGCAGAGAAAAATTTCTCTGGTGTAAAATCAATAAAGTTCAGTTATTATTATTGCCAGACAGTGCTCAACAGCACATCTAGTGGTGCAAATTCACTTGTTGCTCTTGTAAGCGTTAAAAGCCTGTTCGAAGAAGACAATAAGTTGTGAGATTTGACTTCAGCCGGGCATACACTGTATGACTTTTTGCCCTTTTCAGGCCGATTGCTGAGTCTCAGCCTTATCGTGTGTCGTGTAGTGCGCAGGTGGTAACGAGGGGCGATCAGCCTCTCACGTTCACCTCGCGATCAGGAATCGTGAGGTCGGTGGAATATCAAACATGTTTGAAATTCAGTCAGCCGTCGTAAGATTGCATCAGAGCATCGGGCCGCACAGTGTGAGGCTACTCAGAGCTTGTTAAACAAAAAGAAGTTTAAAATCTATTCTAAAACAGACAAGAGGCCAATGTAATGAGGATAACAGGATGCAATGTGGTTGCACAAGGGATTATTGGTTAAAAGGTGAGCTGCTGCATTCTGCAGAAGATGGAGACAGCTCAGTGATGACTGAGATGTACCAGCATAAAAAGCGTTAAAATATCACTCCAGTTTGCAACATTTAAAAAAGATTTGACCTTGTTTATAGGGTATATAGAATAAAAACTAAAATGAACAAAACAGGCTATTTTATTATTATTGTGATCTCTAGGACTTTGACTTATTGAATAAAAATGTTCAAGGCCAATTGCTCTTTGTCACCAAATAAAATCTGTCCAGTATTTCAAAAATGAAACTAATCCATATTTTAAACATACTTATGACAACTTTTATGTGATTTTTTTTGTGCACTAACAGCCTTTTTATGTTGATGGATAGATTACTAAAAATCTAGGTCTGATGAAAGTTGGTTTAAAAAGCAGCAATAATGGTTTTCCAAATTTCAGCATTGTTGTGAACAATGCTCCCTTTACTTTTTCATGTGTCTGGGCATACACACAAGCCCCCTGAGTAATATGTGCAAGCTGAGGCCAAACTTATATACTGCTCTCTTGCCCAGCCCTCGTATCGCTGGGTGGAGGGGAGGTTGCTTCATCTCAGGCTCAGGTCTAACTCTAAGAAACTTAGCTGTCTCTAGAACTGTGCATTTCTGGACCAATATCTCTGATTTTTCTCCAGGTATCTTATGGAGCCACTTTTCCAGTGTGTCACTGCCCCGATTGCTCCAATGACCACAGGCACAATCGTTGCTTTCACCTTCCAGACACTCTCTCTAGTTCTTCCCTGATGTTTTTGGTATCTTTCAAATTTCTCATGTTCTTTTTTTCATGATGTTTCCATCATTTGGGGCAGCCACATCGATCACTACGGCTGACCTTGAATCTTTGTTTCCCATTGACATAGCTTCCATTTGTTGGACCCCCTGGCACTCTAACTGTGAAATCAAATCAGCTGCTGTTTCTGAATGTTGGAACACTAAGATATTAGGTATTTAGTTGTTTGTTCAGAATGTGGGTATCAAATCTTATATTGTGCCCACACTTTTTTCATATAACCACGTGATGAGGGTTACTAGAGTAATAGCATCCCAATAGTGCCTTATTAGTTTCCTGCGTCCATTGTTTACATTGCGACCTGTCTAATTATGGAGTACCAATATGGCAGGCTATCAGCAATCCTGTGAATAAATAGAGCACTGCAAAAAATATAAATCTCAATAAGTTATTTTTTCTTAAAATAAGTGTGTTTTTCCTTGATTTGAGGAGGTAAGTAAGACACTTTGCCAATGGAACAAGACAATTTCCTTTTAAAATAAGAAAAAACTATTTTATCGTCTTATTTCAAGTAAATATTATCTAACTATCTTATTTTAAGAGTGAAAATACTCATTCCATTGGCAAATCATCTTATTTACCTGCTCAAATTAAGGCTAAATATACTTAATTTAAGCCATTTTTTACTTATTTCTGGATTGTTTTTGCAGTGAGATCAGTGGCCAGAACAGCTACATTTTTTAATTCAACAAAGCTGGCTAGCACATCTAGTGTCCAGGCGGCTAGGATGCTATAAGAGCCCAACGAAATTAAATAAAGATGAAGTTTTTCCTTGTTTATTTATTATAATATATAATGTTGTATGGCAAGCAAAAAACGTTCCTTGTTTCTCAATATTATGTAACGAATCTTGGGGGGATGTGAGAGTTTGGTTTCTGGTATTATCATTGTTGGTTTTAAATTCTAAAACAAATGATAAAATCAAAATTACAAAATAAAATAAAGTGTGTTTAGTCTATTTGATTTACAGTTTCTGTTGGATTTTATTTTATGCACTGCATAGATTTTCTTGTACTCCTAGAAAATGCGAGGAGTGCATGATAGCACAAGCGAGCAGCTTAGAGGGAATATTGATTAGGAACACCTACTTTTCTATACCAATGCTAAATGTAAAATGCATTCTCCTTTTGTTTAGAGGAAACATTTTATTACTCTAACATCATAGATAAGGATCAACCACAATAAAACTAAACCTCAATTTATTTACTATTTTATGCAAACAGCATGAAATGTTTACAGATCTCGTTAAAAGTCTTGTGATTTTCCGGCAAACACTGCATGAATTTAAAATATTAATTTCAGAATAATCTGTTGCTGTTATTCTGCAAAATTGTCTCAAATATGAAATAACAAATTTGACTTTGCTTTACATTTTTCATACAAAGAAAACCTGACATTAGAGCCCTCATCAAGTGATATATAAATGTTTATTTTGTATTTTTCTTTTATGTTGATTTATTTCATGGTATGACAAACTGGATTAGAATGGAGGTTTACCGATGTTGACTGAGTCCTCCCAGTGCTCCAGTGTTTCTGTCACAATAAGAGTGTAGACGTACGTCCTGTGCTTTCTGTCTTGGTTGTGCTGCTGAAAAAGAAATAAGAAGGAGAAAAATCATTTACCACTTCTTATATGAACTCAATAGACACAATATGCAAATGCTTTCATCTATAATAGAGAGTTTGCCTTGTGTATTATGCTAACAGTGGATTCCTGTTATCTTATTTGTTGCAATCTAAAGTAATGGTTAAAAAATATGCCTTGGTAGCCTTACCTCAAATATCCCAAGTAACCTGCCCAGTGTTCCCTTCACACCAGCCTGAAGTAAAAGGAAAAAAGAACTTTAAAAAAACAAAGTGCATTACATGTTTGGAATATTTACTACGTCTTTGTCTTTAAGCTTTAAAAAAAAACTTTGACCTACTGGAAAACTTGTGAAACATAAGCACCATGATGTTTTATTGCCAGAAATAACATTTTCCATATGATCAAAATCGGTTTTCTCCCTATGGGGTTTTGAACATGGTTCACCTCTGTACCAAATGTCATAATTCTCATTGTATGCATGGCTTCAGACAGGGGCTAATTGTTTAGAGCTTCTAGAGGGCACTGTAGAGATATAAGGCCATGCCTACAGTACCAAACCTTGATCTGGATTTATCGATTTGAGGCAATGTAAAGAGTAAATTTCTCCACTGTAAGATCAATGAAGTCAATCAATCCATCAATCAATCAATCAATTTCTATATTTAATGCTGGTTGGAAAACATACAAAACAACTTCCATATAAGTAGCTTAAAAAAAGAAAAAAAAAAGAAAATTGTTTTTTGGCAAAACCTGTGATTTTGATGCATAGCCAGGTCCACATGCTTTGCAGAAGGAAAAATCCTTTGACAGGCCTTATGGGGACCAAAGACACTTTTTAGTGTTAGGTTGATTAGTTTAGAGGTATGGTGTGGATTATCTTTAGATTAAGTTTTAGGTTTAGGAAGATACTGGTAAAGGTTAGTGTTAGAGTAAATACTGCAGCAAATTATTGGACAATATGACTTTAAGCACATTTCTGGTATTTTAATAAATTTTACAGTCCATGACTGCAGTTTTTGTCACTAAATGAGATTAAAGACACTGCAGTTTAAAGCGAAACAGAAAGAGACGCAACACATGAGTGAGATAATCCGTAGGCAGTACCGGTCAAAATGAGTGACTTTGATAAGTTGACCAAACCTCCCTGCGTTAACCCAGATTTTAGCATCTGATGAAAGAGAAAAAGATGCTGCATGTAGACCATTACTAGGTTAACAGTGAAGAAAGCGTGATGCTCACAAGCAACCACCAGTCAGACAGATTAAGTTACAGTCAGAGTAGAAGAGCTGAGCACAGTGTGGAGCCTTTAAATGAAAGAAGAGTGAGAGCATGTTACCGCAGATAGGAAGCCTTTCTGTAATATCATGGTATGTGTGAATTAATTCATTTGGTTTAGCTTGAGCTGATCCATGCTGTGATAAAGATTCGATTCTTGTTCTGCTCAAGAAAAAAAAAAAGGGCTGTGATTTGTTTGGTTCGACTAAAGATGAAAAGTGCAAAATAAACGAAACATTTATTAACAAGCTTAAGAACATAGTTCAGAGAAGAGCAGAGTTGTTTTAGAACAGTTGGGATCAGACAGGAAATCCCTATTGCCAAAACAGAAGGGAGGTTATTTTGTTGGTGTTTCCCACAAAAGGAACAGCTTTGTCACTGCATTAGTCAATACGCAGATGCAGAAGCTCAAATCATTTTGTAGAACTGCTCAATCAGTGTCTAAAGGGATCAGTCTAAATATGAAAAATAAATAATTAGATTTTCAATAACTTTTGAGAGAAGAAATTTAAAATAATCCAATTTTTGTTTTCATAATTAATTAATAATCTTCGACCTCTGACTGATTGGTCAGAGAAGATCGAAGGCAGATAAGGAGATAAAAAAAAGCCTAATGCTAATTTTATTTTAACTGTAGATATTAATTGGTGACTGTAATCGTGTTAGACTACAAAACCAGGACTATGAATGGTTTAGTTTTTGAGGAGCAATCATGGAAGAGTTACCCTTTTATGTCAACTAATGCATCACAGCATGACACACATTTCCTCAAATGAGTAGTAAGGAGGAGATTACATTTTTGATTACCATTCTTGCCATTCTTATAGTTAAACCTATAATGTGTGTAATTGTCAAAAAGAAAAAAAAGGTTTTGTATCAGTTTGAACATCATCGTAAAGCAGCATTCACTTAAACATCACACTTTTGCTGCTTAAGACTAAAATAGCAACCACAATATCTCAGTTAACTTCGTCTGATTGGTATATTATTCTTTAATGTATACGTTTTGAAAGCAGCCGTTTTAAGATGCCAAGATGGGAAGGTCTGGTTATCTAAGTAAGTCCAGTCTGGCCATGTTTTTGAAAGCAGAATAAGTGAAAACTCTGAATAAGATCGGGGGTTAGTATCCGAGTATCCTGGTTTTTCGGTTTCAAAAATCGTTAATGCAATTATCCTTAGTCATGTTACAACTGCAAGTTAAGCACCTCTGGTCAGTAGCAAAATTGATGATGAGATGAGGTGAGAACTGATGCGAGGGAAGTGTTGGAAATGGCATGTCCCTTTCTGAAGGACATTAACTAGATCCGATTTTAATTCTGGGATCAAACTTTGGGGCATCATCATTTTCACCTCAATGATTTCTTTCAAAAAAGTTCTATCAGCAGATCACTCATATGACTATTCTTCGTCTGCACTTCATTTTTATGCTTAAGGTAGTCTGTCAGGGAGAGAGGGTTAAACTTTTACTCTACATCACAAATACCCATGAGGTCGATCACTAATTAGCAATAATGCCCGTTTCTCCAGTGATAGAAGGGAGTATCCCTACCCAGCGAGCAGGTGAAGGAGTTTTGAATCCACATCGAGTAAGTGTGGATATTTTTTTTTCTTTAATTATTGAATAGTTTAGGCTTTGAACAATTCTATTATCCAATGGAGCTTTGCAAAGATATTCATTAAATTAACAAAGTCAGCAGAAACAGATTGGTACCAATCAGATAGCTGTGGATGTGACACAAAAATGTCTTTTTTTTTTTAAAAGAAAAGCTCTTGCAGCAGCCAGTTGTTGAAATGTTAAAGCCATATTTAGCTCATATGGGAGACAAAGGGCATCATTAAAATATCATGCTGTGACTGCCATCTAGAATGTTGCAGTCACACAAAATAGCTGATGATTTATGGGTAATTCTGCTACAAGCGTAAACTCCTCCTAGGTGCCAAATAAATACAGATTTTCCAAAAGGAATGAATTATAATTTCAACTAATTATGACCAATTTCTGCAGTTACCCATTGGTACATAAGGGAATGATATGAATAAAAAAATCAATTATATTTTGGGTATATTGGAAAATGAAAGAAGAAAAAAAAACAGCAAATCTTTTCAAATTTTTTAGAACAATCGATGTGACTTTCATAAATGAACTGAAATTTTTCCTTCTACTTTGCTTCAAGAGTTGATTTAAATACTGTATATGATTTTTTTAAAATGTTATATCATCCACAGAAATATCTGCTTAAAAATGTTTTCTAAAATAACATCTTCACTCATATGATTGTAGTGTTTGTGCAGCCCATCTATATCCAGGTACACATCAGATCTATAAGCTCTGGGTAACTGGGGTAACTGGAAACTCTACCCAAATGTCACAGCCATCTTTCAAAGCTGTCATCACATCATCGAAGCCACAGCAGAAGTTCACAGCTCACCCTGCTGTGAAACATGTTGGAAAACTACCAGCCACCCACTATAGTGAACCACAGAACTCATTAATGGGACGTTTGCACAACACCGTCAATTATTTCTTCCTCCCATCTGGGTTTCCTGTTATAAAAAGCCCATATCAGACTGTGAGAAGTGATGACACCAATGAAATTAAAACAGTAATTGCCTAATTTCACTTGCTTCGTGGAAAGATTCAGCATCATACCAATGGGATTTCATATTTAATTAAAACTATTGCGTCACTCACTGAAATGTGGTTCGCTCAGGTTTACTGCTGGACATCCTCAGACTTGACTCTGCTTTCCTTTTCTTAATATTTGTATTATATCTACTTTTAAAGTTAAACCCCTTTTTTCAAGCCTAATTACTTTCCATCATCTAATCTATGGTGTTTTTGTGTATAAATATAGCCAGAGAAACGAGCCATTAGTCCAGATTCCCACCTTCCATCCATATGGATGGTCCGTTTAAACGATTCAACAGAGCCATTGTTTAATCTGTGGGGAGGCACTAAAAATTATGGAGGACAATAGAAGTTTAACAACTCCTCACCAGCAGGATCCAGAACAACAGGAAAAGTGGTGGAGTTTGTATGTCGCTTCGCAAAAAATCACCTCTTCGTATACCTCCCTGACAGCGGCTCCACTGGGCTCCTCGTCGGGCTCCATCCCTCCTCCGGGCACAATCCACTGGTCTGGATGCCGACTGCTGCTCACCAGCAGAACCTGGAGAAGATAGAGAACTCGGTCAGATCTGCACCAAATGTACTGGTACACTGGAGACCAGAGTCTGTCCCGCACTAAAGCTACATGATGGCAATCCATACGGTTTAATTGATTTGCATGATCAAGATACACACTTATACTATCTTTAATGTCCAGTTAGAAGTTATTTGTGACACAAATAATAAAAAAGTCTAGTTACTTTAAGGCAGGGGTCTTCAACCTGTGGCTCCAGAGCCATAAATGGACTTGGGTTTAATACCCCTGTATTACACCATTGCATTAAAGCTCAGGCAGTTTGTTTGAGGAGATTTTCCTGCTGGACATTAACCTGCTTCCCAGTCTCAAGGGTTTTGCAGCCTATAAAAGTTTTTCCTGGAGCATTTACCCAGATTGATCACCAGCGTTTTTTCAGCCAAGTTTGACCAGCTTTCCTATCCCTGCAGAAGAATAGCTTCCCCCAAGCATAATGCTGCCCTCTTTGTTTTGTACGTTTTGGGTAATGTGCAGTATATTGCGAGGCATTGTGTAAAAGATGTTTAACAAACCTCAAGATTTTTTTCATTAATTTCTTTATTTGATGGAACAAAGCTTTGGATTGAAGACTCAATATGGAAGCTATCTTTTGTCATTCCTTGGATTTTTTTAAATCCTGACATGAGTTAGAAAAAGGCAGTCAGACAAACAGATTGAAAGAGCAGTTTTTCTTACAAATCTAAGAACTGCAAAAATGTGCTCAAAGCCTCTGAGACCAGCTGTTTGCTATGTTTTTTTGTGGCGTTGTGGGTTATTAAAGCTATAGAAGATAAGAGCAATGGTGAATCTCCTCTGAATGCCAGAGTCCATTAGAGCCCTTCTACAGGGCTCTTGGGACAATAGAAACACCAGCATTTGGCTGTACAACACAAACACCTAACCCACAAAAGCAATCTCACAAAACACCATGCAGAACACGTAGGCACTCGCACGTAGACGGCGACGAGGCTTTTCAAAAACCCACCGGATCAGCAGTTGCCTTTTAGTATGAAAACAAGAAGCTTAGCAGAGGAGGTTAACGATCCCAACAGGCATAGCACACGTCACTGAGTGCTCAGAGAGCTACACTCCTGCAGGAGTGGAATATTTTGGAAGGTTTTGAAATTTCAAATAACATCTCAATGGATAGTACTGAAATTGGCCATGCCTTTATATTTATATGTCCCAGAAACTGAACACTTCACTAATTCATTGGCCACAAATACATGTATGCTCTGTCCTCTGTAAAGGGATTATAGGGTCTTTGATTTAACGCAGGCCTTGTTTTAACCACTTGTTAACAAACTTTTCTTGGTTGACCACTTTGATTTAAAGGAAAGTTTTTGCATCCCCTCTCCTGCATATTTATTCGACAGGTAAATCAAGAAAAGTCAACTGCAGTAAACCACATTGCAATAAAATAAACTAAGGTCCCCTTTAAAACCCCAAACTACCACTTTTAAGGTTTAATTATTTTAAGCTCAACTGTTTGCTAAGAGAGGCCCATTTCCATTGGCTACTTTTAAAATGGAAGCGACAAAAAAAACAAGACAGAGTTACTAAAATGCCTGTTGATATTTCCAGGTCAGGGAAATTTTTCTATTTTTTTTTATATCTAAGTCTCCCTATGTCTACAGTCAGAGCAACTGCGACTATCAACCTCTAATTTGGTGGGATATTTGAATCTAAAGCACCGCAGGCCTGACTTGCCACAGTTGTAACCAACATTCATGGTTCAAAAACAAAACAGAGGCTGAACAAAAATGGCATCAGTGGCGTTTGAATTTAAAACCACTCCCGATTAGAGAGAACACACAGGAACAACTTATATCAGTCAAAACCATCTTGATTATCCACAAGATCTTATTGGGAAGTAAGCATTTTATTATATCTTACATAGAACTAAGACTAATGAGGCATTTGTCCTCAATGAAGATGTCAAGGTATGTACCAATGGTAGCTTGACAGAATAGTAAAATAAAAAATGTTCAGCTGTCTGGTAGCTAGAAATCCTAAAGCAGAGTATCTGACGTTAAGTTATGTTTTAAAGCTCAGGAAAACCTAATTTCTATCCATTGAGTTAATTTGGCGTGTCCCTGAAGAGGCTTAAAAACACCAAAGTGTAGCTGAATTGAAACAAAGTGTCTCCAGAGTGACGAAAAAGACTTGTTACCAGTTATGTTTAACACCCAATAGCAGCTGCTGCTGCACAACCAGTTATCAGGTTTAGGAGAAATTAACTTTTTCTTAAAGGGTCGGGATAGTTTGCATAGCTGCAATATAATAGAGTAAATGAAATGCAATGATTACTCTATTAAAATAACTGTGAGCCTCTGAAACAAACTAGTGCAAAGAACAATCAAAAACAGAGAGAGAAAGAAATGTGTCAGTTTGTATAACTGTATGTGTTTCTGCATTGTTGGTATATTTAACCCTTTATAGGGCAAGTTAGCGTTTTGGATCACTTGCATACCCCTAACAAATGGAATCCCTCCCATCCCTCAATGAGGTCTAGAAGCACAAGATCTATATCCAGCCATTCAGCACAGATACTGCTACATTGCTATACATCTTATTTAGGTATTTGTCCAATTAGATGAGCCCTTGAATGATATATTACCTAATTAAAAAGGTTAAAAACAAATTGAATAGTTAGAAAAGTAAAGTTAAAAAAAATTATAAGCCTAATTAACAATTATATTTAGGTTTATAAATTAAAAATATATAAGTGCCAGCATCAGAATTAATGCTTATAAGGTTATGTTGTACCAAAAAGAATGTGTTTCTTTCACTTTCTGTTTTTCATGAATTTCGCTTAGAAGCACTTTTGTTATTTTTCTTAATATATTCGGGAAGTTGGCGTTTTTTGTTCTTACATTTATATTAATTTTTGACAACAAAATATCCCTTTTTCTCGAATGTTACAAAGGTAATAAGGTCTTGTCCTGGATTCCAATAACACCATTGGCTTCAAATCATGATTTTCAAAGTATTGTAGTGGCCTATAAAAGGTTAACAGATTAATTGAAGTGGTCTAGATGCAAGTTACAAATAATCACTTTGCCTTTTGAAGATATTTAACAGAAAGATAATGCTTGACAGTTGGGCATAACTATTTATTGGGAAAATAGAATATGTTATCTTACCAGAAGGCTAGAATGAACAGCATAGAACCAAAATTACATCCCTGAGGAACCCCTCCAGTGAGTGAGAGAGATTAGAATACACAAGAACAAAGCAAGGAAATGTATTTTGCATCTATCTAGAATTGCTATACAGGATATAAATATTTATTTACGTGTACAGAAACTATGATTGTATGGACTATAGAGTAATTCTAAGAGGCTATAAAAGAAATAAATATGGAAGCTATATACAGATTACATAGGAAAGTTAGAATATGGCTTATATACTGTATATTAGTGAGGTTATGATACAAGATAAATAAGCATAAAGATTTACAGATAATATAGAGCTTTAGTTGAGAAGTATGTGTAAGTGGTGTTGGAGGTTGTGGTTTGTGTGTGTGTGAGAGATGTTACTCAACTAAATGAGCACAAAAAGATCGGTTTGTCAAATAAGTCATGAAGTATTTCATTTAAATCCGCCTAGATCAAGTATCTAGATTTTTTATTTTAGAAAGGTAGAAGTATTTAAGCGATTAACAGATTAGCAGAATGCAGCCTTATCTGACTTGGTGAAGAAAAGGCAGTGAAAAAATGCAAAGCTCTTTATTTATCTTCCATTAATTGTGCTAGAGAGAGTTTCTGTGGAAAGAGAGGGAAGACATTTCCTTGACAGGCTGATCCTGGATAACAAAAGAATCTGGACAGGCAATTCAAAGTATTGTCTTTGATACCAATAAGCTGTTTGAGTTCAACAGTAACCTTCTATGTTGAACGGTAGCTCGGCTGCTGACAGGTTAATGACAGCATACATATTCAAGAAGAAGAGCAGAAGAGACCTTGATGAAAAGCAGCACAGAAAATGGAAAAAGGTTTTGAGCACAAGGCAGATCTGTCCGTACAGTCAGTGCCTGCACCTTGTTTCTATAAATTGCACCTAAAGGGTCACTTGATGTTAAGCACACTGTAACAGGCACTCATACTCTGCCTATCACATGTGCTCCTTAAACTGCTGCCGTCACTAGGCTGACTGACACCTTCCACGTGTTAACTGGACCTACAATTGCCCTGTAAACCATATTAACTGTAGGACTAAATATTTAAGAATCCTTTCCAAACTAACAAAAACTCTCAGACTACTTTACAGGTAGACGACTGTAGACTGGTATCTAGGGGGATTTTACAGGTAATTATTGTCTCAAATAAATATAGAAAATGAGAGAGTACATTGTTAAGTGTGGGCATTTGTTTGATGAAAGAGCAAACCACTTTTGGCAAATGATTCTAAAGCTTTGAAGGTCCCAAAATGCTGCAATTATATGAGAAATAAATCAGTGCCCTGATAATACTTTAAAGGGCTAGCCAAACATCCCATTTAAAAAAAGTATTTTAGTTACAAAAATGATAATAAACTGTTTGGCCATTAATCTGATCATTTAGTGGTCAATTGATTTAACATTTATTTTATCAGTACTATTATCTCATCAAAGGTTCTACTGCTGCTCTTCTCAATATAACTAGGGTCCAACTGAATTCATTAAACCAGTAAAGACTCTTAAGGCAAAGTGGAAGTGCGTCAGCGGTTGTAATAAGTGCTGCCAGCAAGGAAGGAGGTAGAAAAATGAAGCTAGATGCTTTAAGAGTTTATTTAGCATTTAAGGTCCTGTAAAATTGTCCTGTAAAATGTTATTGTTTGGACATTAGTCCATTGTGACATTTGCAGGACAAAAGTGGGACGGCTAGTTCCTAGTTAATAAAGGATGACATAATTCAGATTATTTTTCCTTCCTTTATGAGGGACTGGAGCACTTTACCATAGAAAGCTTTGTAAAGATTGAATCAAAACCTTGAAGTGCCTCAAGTGCCAGAATCCATTTGTTTAAGCTTTGAACTGCTAATATGAGTTTCTGTTTGGAAAAACTTGTGCCATTAGAAACCGAATAGTAATTACCCAGAGGGAATCTGTGTATGCAAAAGTTAAAATGAAATGTATTTATCTGAATGCGAGTTTCACTAAATAAAAAAAAGTAATTTTAAACTCTTTAATACTGACTTTGCTTTTCTGTTTTTTGTACCACACCTTCAGGTCCTAGAAAAATAGAGTCACTGAATACAGGTTCGCATTTGGCATAAAGAGAAACTTCCAATGCGACTCCATGTAGACCTGGAGAGGTGGAGCCAACAAGAGATTCCTAACAACAGATTGGCTGATGCCCTGCATCGTGTCAAATGACCAACAGCAAAACTCTCGAGTTTTTATTAAATGTATTAAATAAAAAATAAAAGTATCAGGGAAATAATGACAGCTACACCACTAGTTGTTTTTAGCTGAAAATGCTAGATTACCCAAACCTAGAACTTTACAACTGAAACTGAAATCTAAACGGAAAGCGAAATTAGTCGAACTGAAATTTTAGTTCAAGGAAATATAGTTTTAACACAAACAAATAAATAAATTATTACGTATAATTTTATTTATTTTACCATTAATAAATACATTTTAATTTCAAAATATTTATACAGATGATTTACTGCAGGTAATTCGAATGTATTCTCTAATGGCATAGGTTTCTGCCCATATTATTCTTTTATCAAAATTATACAACATGCTGTATTTCGCTTGAGTTATGCTTGTCTGAGTAAAGACTGAGACACATCGGACATGATTTAGCATCTAATCTGACGGGAAATCCAATGATTTGAAGTTGCTTCAATTACATCGCATTAGCTGGGTTTACATCCACAAGATTACAAAACTGGTTTGGCACAATTTGGACTCAAAAACAAAAAATAAACAATCAGCTTATACTGTTTAAACCAAAACTAGTTCCTGCACAACGGATGTGCTTTACACCACTAGGGAGAAACGATCTCCCACCTGTTTAAGCCCAGAACCTTAGTTAGGGCATATATAGGATGCTCACCCTATTTTATGCGTTTAAAAAAGATACAGAGGACAACTTACCTTTTCTTTCCTCTACCTAATGTTCTCTGGGTGAGCTTCCCATTTGTTTGTTTTTCTAACAGATCTGGCCCATAGACATTAATTTGTAGTAATGTTCAGTATGTGTTAATCATCGTCATGGTCTGGATTGCTCCTGTTATGCAAAGCTAGTTTCTAGCTTTTCCTAACTTGCAGTTGTTTTTGCATTTATTTGCAGCAGGTTTTGTGTTTGCAAGATGTTTTCACTTCGTGGCTCTCTCTTTTTTTCTTTTTTCTTTTTTTTATTACAGCAAATTTAGTCTAAACTTGTTTTGTGTGTTTGTTTGCAAGTATGTTTTTTGTTTTTTTAAGTGAAAGTTAAAAATCCATCTGTTTAGAACTGCCCTTGACCGTTAAAATTAAACCGTTGACTGAGGTATTTCTAGTTTAAGGTTGTGGTCCAACTGTTTTGTTTGTTTTACTACTTGCTTTTATAGTGTTTTATCTTCATTTGTTTTTATTCTGCTTTTATTTTTTCTTCTTTATTGTTTAATTCACGTAAGTGTCCTTATACTGAATTGTGTCATACAAATAAACTTACCTTGCCTTGTGTTTGTTAGTCTCATGTTTGTGTTTGCTGGTCTCATGTTTGTGTTAGTAGTACATTTTGAATTTGTTGTATATTCATGTGTTTGCACTCCTCGCCCACAGCTCATTTAGTACCTGGTCTACACAGGGACAGAGGTTTATTTTCTCAGTTGTGAAAGGTCACATTTTGTTGAGCCTTCTTAAAGAAGGCCAGAAGCGGCATTATACCATACTGCAGCAGATCATGGTATGATTCTAATTTATGAAAGGAAACAGGCTGCACCAACATGTTGACGCAATAAAGTCAAGCGTCTTTCCTGTTGAATTTCAAAAAAAAGTACCAGAAAATTGATTTTTAAAAAAGAATACTCAACTTTGTTATAGCCAATAATTATGTGTATGCCTACAGCTGAGTTTGAAAGGCAATGAGGTTAAAGCTTGGGGAGGAATAAGTCTTAAAAATAGCTAGTGGCCCTACGTTTACCTCCAAATTAGTTTTCTAAGTGTTTACTGTAAAAACGCAAAGTTAAATGCTGTAGAGAACAGAGAGCTATATGACTCCTAAAGTGTATCTTTACATTTTGAGATATTTGTTGTATCAGTCAAAGTGTCACGAACACAAGTAATACCCTCGGAAATCAAACAAATCTAATGAAAAAGGATCATATTTCCTATTCATATCCATACTTATTGAAGCTTGCATGAAAGAAACATTGAAAATAATTATAACTAACAATTTCAACAATAGCCTACTTGTATGTTGTGGGTCTACAACGAGCACAATCTAGAATTTATTAATTTTATTGATTTTCTTACAAATTATAACAATGGTAAAATAATTATCAATCTTCAACTTGAAATGGCGACTACCATGGACGAAATGATGATTTTGGAAGTGGGGGGGACGCAAGTATTTTTTCAATATAACTAACTTCAGCGTGTTTGACCATCCAATCACAGATCTGATTCAGTGGCGCATCAGATGTTTGTAAAGTGAGCTTCTCATGAGTGACAGCGGTGACAGCCAATCACACAAGAAAAGACGATGGGTCAATCAGGAGCTTTTGGGCGGTCTAAACTCAGGGAAGCGGGCTTCAGATTAAGCTGCGGTTTTCCACTTGGTCCTAGTGTTCGACGAATGTCTGTGTACTGTAGTGTAACCTTGTTTTTGGACAGTAAAAGGTGCAGGGGACCAAAACGGACATTTGACTAAGTGTAGGGGACATGTCCCCCCCTGTTCCCCCCAAAAATTACATCCATATGCTCTACATCCATATTTGTGGAGAGCTGGAAATGGGCTAAAAATCAAGGACATCTAAACAAGTCTGACTAGGTTATACAAGTATGTTAGTATTTTTTTATATATTTTTTGCTTTATATTATATTACAGTTTATATGTTTAAGTTGGTTATTTCATTTAGACAGGTATATCTTAATGGGTGCACCATTTAGTGTCTGTCTGAATGGTTTATTTACACTTGTTTTTTTGTTTGAGGTGCTGCTGCTACAAACCAGCTGGAGGAGGAAACCTGGAGCATACCATTTGTTTTCTGAAAGACTGACGGGGGAGGCTTGTTTCAAGTCATTTTTGATTAGTTAATTTTGTCACTTAAATATTCACTTAATGTTGTTTTCACTAAATAAAAGTTCGTTTTGCTTTTTTTTCATAGGATGCTTAAGTTAATTTTGTATTTATTGGTTTTTTTGTTATGTCGTGCCTCCCTCATGTGGTATCCTTGGGTTACTCCATCCCTATTTAAACAGTCTTTAGTTTGTTTGCAGGTCAGTTTTGTTTGTGTAGAGTTAGAGTTCAGCTGACCTCAGTTAAATTGGGCCCAAATTTATTTATCCTTTGATTTATTCTTACATTAAATCTTTGTTTTGTTTACTATTTTTGGAAGAATTTAATTGAATTATTTTCTACTTTTTTCTATTTTATTTATTTATTTATTTTTGTCCTTGTTGAGTCTGGTCCCCGACACAGTATTCGGAGGAATGGGCCAAAGTTCCAGCTAGTCTATTAAGAGAAGCTTGTAAAAACCCAAAATGGATCCAAGACAAAAACACTGAAGGGATTTCAACCAAATACAACATTTCTTTGTATTTATTTGTATTTCCTAAATGACAGAGAAAAGAAAAAAGTGTCTGTTCATACACTGAACAGGACAGCAACACCTCTGGTCCCTGTGAAATGATAAACTCCATAATGAACAAACTTCAAAACTAAATACAGATGCAATCTCTTTATAATGGCAGCAGTGTATTAATAAAGATTGACTTTGCTTGCATGTATCTGCCAGAAGTTAAATACAACATGTCATTGGATAAATGCCTGGGTGTCACCGACAATGGATTAAAGACGTGTTGTCTGCATGGATTTCCTCGAATTCACGGTCGGGTTTGCTCAGACTCCCTGCAGTTAAGAGGTCAAATATTTCAGCCCTCAGCCAATTAAAGCTCAACTTTGCCCCACCTAACAGCACTAATTAAAGCAGAGTGAGCTCCCTCATCGCACAGGCTGTGCTTTGTTTCAGTTTGAATCCAGAAGGATATATTTTTTAAAATGTCGCACCTCTGTAAACACCGAGAGCTACAAACTTCAGCTCACCTCGTCCTCCTCTTCGTTTCTCAAACACAAACACGCAGCTCTGCGCTTGAATCCCTCTCCGTCGTACGTCCTGGTCTGATTTGCCTTGTATTTCATCATATATGCTCGATTCTTAATGCAGTTCTCTATATATAATAAAAAAATAAACCGAGATGGTCAGAAAGAGATAAACTGTGGATTATCCCACCAAATGCGCATAAGTTGCTCCTTTTTTCAATGGTTCCAAACGGAGCAGTCGGATCATTAATTAGTGCGCAGAGACTCAAGTCAGACTGGATCTGCTCTGAGTTTCCAGCCGCTGTCAGCACTCATGCTTTAACATACTGACACATCTGTCAGACAAATACTCCTCCTCTCTAGCTGCTGAGGTCAGCTGACCAGAGAGTGAAGCTCCATGTTGGTCTCAGATTATCCCATCATCTCTAAGGCAAGCTGTAGGGTCATGGACGCAATTTATTGGGGGGGACGGGGGGGACATGTCCCCTGCACATTTAACTGTCCAAATACAATGATACTCTATTGTAAACAGAAAGTTGTCTAGCACTAGGGCAGGGGCAGAGCTAGATGGGGGGCCAGGGGTGGCCATGGCCCCCCTTAAAGGGGAACAATGTTTGTTTGTTTTTTTACATTGGGCCCTTGATTTTATGTTATTATATCATGTTCTACTCACCCATATGAGTTTTGTGTCATTTGGAGCTGTTCTGAAGATATTCGGTTTCGTTATATCCAAGTAACGTCTTCCTTTGGGCAACAAGTTGAAGGCACAAACTAAACTGTTCATAATTTATCATTTATGGTACGCCAGCATTCATAATATGAAGGCGAATCACTGCCCCCTGACGGCGGTTATATTTTTTATATTTATATATTTTCTTAAAACAAAGCGGAGTGTGTATGACGTCATACCCTTTAAGGTTGGATTATACTTTTGCAACCGCACACATCAAATATCGCTTCCGTCTGGTCGCGAACCAGTTTTGCTGGTATGCTTCTGCAACGTAGGTCTGGAATTACTAGGGACGCACAGCAGTGTCCCTCCAAAGCGCTAGGGGGAGCCTATTCGAGAACTCGCAAGAACTTCGGCGGATGGTCACGAGAACTTCTTTGGCAGCGCCGCCAGGAGTGTTTATTTTCCAAAACAACAACAGCGCGTCTGGAAGATATCACGGTCACAAAGATGGATCTCGAGTATCTATTGTTGTTATTCCTCAGTTTTTAAAAATGGAGCGACCCGGCACCGAATTGAGAAGGATGACCACACAGATTGCCGGAAAGGCATACCAAGGACCAATCACAGCTGCTTTTTGGCTGTGCACTTCCGCTTGAGGTCTGTGCGGGTTTGGGATCGTCCGACGTGTAGTCAGGGTTTTTTTGAGGTGCGCGATGACGATTGCAGAGCCTCTGCGCAGGGGGCGTGGTCGCACACAGAGACAGATTTGACAGTTTCAGAGGCTATGCTTTAGAAGTATAAATTGGCCTTTTGCCAATCAATGGCCACCCCTGTGGCCACCCCTACCATTTTTTCCCTCTAACACAGATGATGGCATGATGGCAGCAGTAATACTCTAAGGTGGAATATTCAAAACATTTACACTTTTTGTGGTTAATTATACACATCAATATACTAACATTGAAGATGATAAATACAGAAATCATGCTCTTTACAGACCTAGATTTTGTGTTATAATGGGTAAAGAGAAAATGTGTCTCTGCAAGTCATCTGGGAGTCTTCAGTGAAATACTAGATAAATAATAATTTTAATAAAAACGTATCAAATATTCAATTTATGTAGATATTAGTTCTTGTAAATATCAATTTTATGTAGAATGTTTATCTATACAAGTAGGTAAGTAATGACGACGGAAAAGATTTATGCCCCAGATCTCAAAACTGAAAGACTTTTGTCCTCTATACCTTTTATTTAGAAAGCACGGAGTTTAAATATATGAGTCTACTTGTTAGCAAAGGCTGTAGGAAAGTATAGTTTGTCTTCATTTAGAAAATATGAATGTTTTGCTCTTTAAATCTCCTGTTGGAACAGTGTAGATTGACCCTGAGGTTCTGGCGCCTATCCGCTTTCGGCCACCCCTCAGTGTACATTGGTTATTGCCTGGCCACCCTTATAAAAATGTTCTGGCTACGCCTCTGCACTAGGGCCAAGTGGAAAACCGCAGCTCAAGTTGAAGCCTGCTTCCCTGAGTTTAGACCGTCCACAAGCTCCTGAGTGGCCCTCAGTCTTTCCTTGTATGATTGGCTATCACTGCTGAGAAGCTCACTTTACAGACATCTGATGTGCCACTGAATTAGGTCTATGATTGGATGGTCAAACACCCTGAAGTTATATTACAAAATAATCAAAAAGTCATGACACAATATCTGTCACTAAGCGCTACTAATTTAGTCGGTACTCGGTACTCAACTCTTAAATTCAGTCTTTTTTTAAAATACGCTTCATCCATCCAGTCTTTTGGATCTCCATTGTGGCCAAATGTGCCCAAATTGTCTAATTTTATCATTTGTTATTTATTAAGAAGTAAACAACACTTTACTCACGTAAATGATTATTTAATTATCCGATTAAAAGACTTAACGGTATGGGGAGGATGTTCTTTTTGTGGGTGGATCATCAAAATAAGTGGTCCTCCTAAATGTCAATCATTATGGTGATATGTTTGCGTAAGGCCGTCCTCGGTGTTCGTCCTCATTTTCACTTACCGATGGTGAGTCTAACATAATTGGAAAAATTGCAAATCTTCTTTTGGAAAGTAAGCTTGTATGAGTGATGCAATTAGTAACTTTTAAACAGAGTGTGCACGAGGACAAATGGGCTTGTGCATTCTCTCGCACACGTTTAATAGGCATTGCCTCTCGAGAGGGTTGTGCATGTGCTTTTTTTAAAAAGTGGATAGGGTGGGTTTTTTCAAAAAATCACAAAAATCCTCCACTATACCTTTAAATAACAATATTAAAAACATTTTTTTCATTCTTCCGATTGGTCAGCGTATGCAGCTGCTGAACTATTGACCAATCAGATTGGCTATAGGAGATCCGAACTAATGAATTTACAGGCTAATATATACAACTCCCCTACGTGCATTCTATATATTAGCCTGTAAAAGTCACTATTTACAATCTGCTATAGATAATCTGATTGGTCAATAGTTGAGCAGCTATGCACGCTAACCAATTAGATGTTAGGGTTTGATGAGGCATATATGCAAAAAGTAAACTAAGAGCATTATTTAAGTCTTTTTATCACAATTAAATAATCAATTACTCAAGTTATTTGTAAATGCATCAGTTTATTTTATTCTTTATCAATTATAAATTATTTATTTACTCAGTTGTGGTGCATTTGAACACAATAGGGACCCAAAAGACTGGATGGATGAAGCATGTTTTAATAAAGAAAATTTATTTAGGAGTGTAGGAAGGGCATCCAAGACTATCAGCTGGACAACTGACAATTTAACTGTTGTAAATTTATAGTGTAGTAGACCTTAACATGTCTTAAGCTAACATCATTAACAAGGCTCTCTAACACTTTCCCCTTGCAAATAATACAAGTATCTCAGCACATGTAATAACAAATGCTTTTTATATTTTTAGTGTTCTTCCTCCACAAAAAGCAATGTTAATTTCCATTCTATTAACTTTCCTATATAACCTGTATTCCATTATTCTACACATTTCATTATGTCAAATATTTTTAGATATTTGATATGATTTTCATATACATAGAACAGGAGGTTTCATTAGATGTAAACTAAGTGAAGTTAACACAATTCTTAAAATGTTTCAGAATTTCACTTTTTGAAAATATATGCTGAAAAATGGAGGATTAATTTGTTCATAAGAACGGACCGATATCAAAATGGATCAAAACCTGCTAATAAGTTCATTTCTATCAGTTATGGATAAAAGATCTTTAGCATGCACAAAAAAATGACTCAGAACACATTTTATTAACCTTTTGCACACCATAAATAGTCAAGTATTAATTCTTCTTTTTTTTCTATTATCTGTCAAATGTTGTATAAAAAAAAAAAAAACTCACTTTCACACATGAACATGATTTCTGGTATTCCAAAAAAGAAACCAAGTCCCTCTATTGGTTTAAAGCAGGGATGTTAGCAAGTCACAGTTCAGTGACTCGCTCTAGTGGTAGAGGACAGTGTTTACACACTAACATTAAACAATCAGCACCATGCTGTAATATGTTGGGTTTCTAACAGGAGTTGCCAGAATCAGAACCAGAACATTCTAAAATAATGGAAATAACTTCCATCTTTTTAATTCAGATTTCTTTTGACCATTTTAAATGTAGTGTACCTTAGCCCCTAGAACCCTACGGACCCACCGGTGGGTCCAGCTGCTACGTGACCTCGTAATTTTAACAAACCCCCAGTATTGATGTAAAAAACACATTTGGCACAGTTTGGTGACATTTTTGGATAAAAGTGCCAAAATGGCCCCTCCGCCTAAGAAATTTCTCACTAATACCATTCTAAAATAAATATGATTCATCTGATTGAGCCCAAATTTGGTATATTTTTACACAACATTTAGATTTAAAAGTCTGTACTACTTTTTTGTGCTATAAATAATATTTTGGTAGTGTTTTGCAATGTTTATTTCAAAGAAAATTTTGGCGAGGTTCAAAAAATGCAAAATATTTTGTATTTTGTCCCTAATATTTCAGGCAGGGTCAAAGCTACAATGGTGCTGACACCAGAAAACCATTCTATGACATGTTACATTTACAGACGTACCAAAAGTTTCTTCTTAAATCTAATACCTGTGAGGCTATAAGTGATTTACTTTTGTGTGTTTTTGTCAGGCAGAAATTTATTTATACGCCCTTAGGGTGTAAGAGGTTAGAAAACCCAAATTCAGGTGTGAAATTATGTCCCTTTAAGAATCACAAAGGTCTCTTTTTTTAATCAACAGTTTATTTACAGAACATAAAACTATGCAGGTGAACGTTTTCGTAGCATTTTGAGCAGCAAACTGCCTCTTCAGAGTTATAAAGAATTTACACTTTGAACTGAACAGAGACCGATCACAGCAGTTTGGACTCAGAGCCGTCGCTGATCTGTTTGGAGTTTGATCCATGGACAATACATCATCTCAATGCCACCCAGGAAGCTTCTCCTCCCATCAAATCACAGGACATCTCATGGCTCAATGGAACCACTCCTTTGTGAAATAAATAAATGGGAGCAGGCAAACAACTGAGCCTCGTAGAGCCACAATGGAAGAAAAAGCACAAGAGTAGTGAGTAGAGGCAGAGTGGGACAATTTAATAGAAAAAAAAATCTGTCATAACTCTATGTA